AATAAAACAGATGAGCAAGCAGGGCCTTTTTTTTAACTTTCAGAGGCTTGTTGCAATAAAGTACACAAGAAACAGAGAAAAGCAGAACATAAAAGTTCACTTTCAGGCTCAAAACAATAATATAACTCAGGTGCAGAGTGAGTATACACAATGTTCCTGCCCCGCTATTATGCCAGCTTCACCACAAGTGACTTCATTGCTATTCAGCCCGTGCTCTCTCCTTCCTGTCTTTCACTTCAGTTACAACGCGCAGTGATCACTGGAACAAGCGAGCGGTGCCACACCTGCCCTGATTACATAAACGCTTGGACGACACTTGACAGTAGCAGCAGGCCAAATTGCCAAGCTTGGGTGTTTTGGCAGCAATTAGACCAAGTGCATTATATTCACATTATCATGTGGCCACAAGCACTTTGGGTTAAGGTGCAGAGCTGAGCCTCCTGTCTCCCCCCTGTAAGGCGGTATTATTCACACTGGTGAATGCTGATGAGTGTGGTGCAAAAAAACACAGAAATTTGGAGGCCATGCTGATGCTGAGCTGCAGAGGATGTGGCATTTTGTGTTTGGTAAACAAGGATGCTGTGGAGGCAAAGCAGATTAAAGCACCTCTGTGTGCTGCTGCTGCTGCTGCTGCTGAGCTGGGAAACATGAATGCATGAGCAGGTGTCCAGCATTCGCAGCTGGAATCCCAATAAAAAATATATAAAGAAAACCCGATTCAATTACCGACCCATCGCCCTGGATGTATGCAAACATAACCAGCAGGCCGGAGTTGTAATCAATCATGTTTGTGTGTCCCCTGCTAACAGGAGGCTCCATCTAGACCTCTGTGGACTACGTGCACATTAAAGCAGGGTATATTGTTTAAAAGGGTTGTTTTTAACGTAGCATTTCCTCACGTTGATTGATGACAGGGGGAGTGATGATAAACTCAGGAGGCTGGGGATGGAGATGACATATTGCAAAGGTCCTTGGTAGGATTATAACTAGGATTTAGTGGATGCACAGTTACACGGTACAGACTTAGATCCGTAAGCCTCCCAGGACACCCCACGTACTCCAGCCATAGTTTGCGCAACAAAATACCAGAGCGTGTTCATAGTGTTGTGTGTATTTTTGACACGCTGGCTGTTGTTGGCAACATCGGATAGGAACAGGTGTGTTTTCTGGGATGAATGAAGACATGACATAGATTAATGACCTAGGATCTGTAGCAGACCATTATATCGAAGGCCACTGCTGCCCACTGTGGGTGGGTGGGTGGGTGGATTGTGTGGACCTTGACATGGCCAGCTGCTAAAAATAGCTGAAGAGAATAAACAGGCTGCTGCTTTGGCGTGTTTCCTCCCTCTTATTGACAAAACACACACACACACACAGGATCAGGTACAGATGTGGCCGCACACACACATTTGTCGCCACTGTACTGTACCTTACAGTCATCAAGCTCACAGCTCCCTCACATTAAGTCAGCCACTGGCCTCCCTCCTATTTGAATTTCCAGGAATATTAAATGACACCTTTGAAAGATGTTACACCCAAGCCCTGCATCTTTAATCTTGCCGACCACCCCCATGTCTTTACCCTCTTCACAAGTATTGCAGCTTTCTATTTATAGAAAGGTGACCAGCACTGATTGAATGCTTATTATTGTAATAGAACTGAATGTGACTTTTGCTCTCCCGCTCCTGCAGAGGCTCACAGTAAATTACAGCCTTCCACATTTCTTTCTCTCTCTCTCTATCTCTTCCACCACACACAGACTCATTTCACATTCTACACGGCACGTTAATACTTTAGGAGCCCAATGCAGCAGTATTTTCTTTATCTATCAGCGACTACACCCAACTTCTTTGTGGGGGAGCTGACTCTGAACTGTGGTGTATCTCTCTAATGAAGGCGTTATGAACAGATGACAGCATGTCTCTCAGCGTCAGAGGCAGGAGCTGTGGACTGTGAGTGTGTCCGCAGTGTTGTTTGGATGATGGAGTGGACACATTTTATGACAAATTGGGAAGGGAAAATACAGCAGGCAGTGACAGCGAAGCGATGAGGCAGCCAGCGTAGTCAGTCAACTCTTTTTGAGTTGGGATTGATTGGAATCTACTGACAAAGTGAAAAGCTTGAGCTGAAAGAGGAATTTCCCCTTTAACGTACTTTTCTACTCTGTGCCATGTTTAACTTCTGCCAGGCATCTATACCGTATGGTGGCTGACAAGGGCAAACGCACTGCAGCCGCCAAATAGATTTCCATGTTGCAGCTTGTTTGCCTAATTTTGCAATTTATCACATGTATTCCCACCATGAAGTCATGCTACTTCAACTCTTTTTCATTGGACTAGCATACCCAGATAATGCAGTTGGGGATTGATCTGCTCTTCCATGTACATTCAGCCATAGACTGTATGGACAACTTGGTTCCGCCTTCGGTCAGTATATGGATTTGAAGCCAAAAAGCTCTTGGTATTTCCGCGTTTTTTCTCCATTTCCTGAAACCAACATTGCGCAGTAGCATTGTACACATTCGGCGGGAGGGTCGCCGAGAGTCGCTGTGATGACGCTCGGCTCAAACAGCGTATCTTCCAGGTGAGCCACGCAATCTTCGTACGCCCATAGGCTGTTTCAAATGTCAATCATAGAAAACATGAACCCCCTAATAACTTTTCAAAAATGAGCTTTACAGAAAAATAAGAGGACTTGAGCACAAACCAGTCTGACAGTAACTACATGTCAACATCGCGACCAGGGGGGAGAAAAAAATTCTATTCTGTGTAATAAATGTCTAAAGTTTGTCTACAGCTCCATAAGGATGGCTGGTGAAGGCGGGATCTATGACCTATACTGCAGCCCGTCATTAGAGGGTGCTGTACTCGGGGTCTTCACCCAGCGAGGAGGCAGACGGCGTTCATTCTATGTACAGTCTATGCATTCAGCTCAATGAGACTGAAACTGGCCTCAGCGTTTTGTATTTGCTCCAGTGTTAGCATGCTGGCTCTGGAAGCTGTATAGCATGAACACATTGTTTGGTAGCTGGGTGGTAAACGAAACCTTGACAGATGAAGAAAAGACATTAAAAAAAGTGAGAGTTTACTGTCACACAAACAAACAGAGCAGAGCTTTAAAAGAGACAGTATTTTCTATGTTTGACTTACATCATGTTGGCCTCTTAGTAACCTGTTCTGCTGACAGTTTTGATACGTAATGGGAATCACAACCAGCAGATGAGAACGGAAAGGAAGTAAAAGGGGGTGTGTCGCTGCCGAAGCAGATGCTGACCAGCTTTTGTCAATAATTCAATATTTGCTCAGTGCTTGTAAACTGGGAAACTTCGACAAGGCAATTTTAACGGTCTGTACAAACACACACACACAAAACTCAAGTTAAAGACAAATACCTGTAGAATCAGATTCTTAAACAATGAAGGAAAAAAATGTGCGGAGGTCTATCTTGCTCACGGTACATGGAAACACTGTCCAGGAAAAGTCACAATTTACAGATTTCAAGCTGCTTACAGTGCCTTTGTTGGTTGGATGCATGTTAATTCAAACTCCTATAAAGGTACTGTACATGTAAGCCGTGTTAGTGAAGTGTATTTGCCTGTTGTAGATGTTTCAGTGCACAATTCTGCTCTGCTGATTATTTTCCATCATTACTAGCTCTGCATCTTGTCTCACAGGGCTGGTTATTGGCTGCCAGTTTGATAATAATTAATGAAAGGGGACACAGCCAATTGCCCTTAATCATTTCCCTTTACGCTGAGGAGCGGCTGTGTCATCAGCAGTTTTGTGTTTAAGAGATTAATTTACGTCTGTCAGTTAGGGGTCAGGGGGATGCTTCTCTAGTCCAGCCCTGAACTCTGTCAAATTAACGTCTTCATGGTGTCAAAGTAAAAAAAAAAGCCATCCTGCAGTTTTTTTTCTGGATTTAATCGCCACCATGTGCAGTAAAACTGAATCTTAGCACCAAGGATGCATATTTTTACATGACCCCTCTGACCATCTTGCCATATTCAAATTAAATTTGCATGGCAAAGAGGTGGCTGGAGAGCCAGAGCATGGAAGTCACATCCAAATAATTAATCAGGTCCATATGTAAAGCCGTAAATAAGATGCAGGACTGTAGGTTTACTGTGCAGGACTGTGTTTAAGCAGATGTACTGAATATATGACATGTGGACACAGCCAAAGCCTTTGACCTTCATTCAACAGTGCCCACACGGTTAAAACATATATACAAAGGCTCTGTCCACTCAATGCAGCAGTATCGATCACTTGTCACTGGAAGGAAGAAACATGGCAGGAGAATCAATTACACATATGCAGCATGTAATCAAATTTCTGGAGGGAAAAACGCTTGGCTAAGGGGAAATGTTCAACCGACACATAAGCTCAATAAGGAGGAAATATCATCATCATATTGAACAGTTTTCATTCAGGAAGAAGAGAAGAGGAGAGAGAGGAGAAGAGGAGAGAGCTCTCCAGCTCTGTAGGTAATGATCTCACAGATAATATGAAATACATAATTTAATATCACTATTTATTCATTTAAGAGCTGGGTGTGGGGAGATCATTTCATATTGATGGCTTACAGATAAGACGGGGTTTGATTACTTGGAGGTGTACAGTGCACCTGCCTGTCTTTATCACTCCTGCTGCTGACTGCTCTCTCTTAAGTGGTCACGCAAGAAAAAGGGTCAGGGTATCTGCAGGTCTGTCTTGGCCAGATCAGGTGACATACTATTGTGGGTCATATTGAGCATCTCTTTGTTTCCTTCGAGGTTGTAGATGTTTTGCTTGTAATGACTGTGTGTGAGTGACAAGAGGGGGTGGGGGAAGCAGTTTGTTGTGCTTATGCTCTTAAAAAGGACCTGGATTCATACTGTAATTATAGCACTGTTTTATTTACGCTCTACAAAATAAAAGCTCAGCATTTACAATCAGAGGTAAAATAAGGTTTCAAGGCAATTTATCACCAATTTAGCCCAGGACCACTGATGCTTCTGTGTGTGTGTGTGTGTGTGTGTGTGTGTGTGTGTGTGTGTGTGTGTGTGTGTGTGTGTGTGTGTGTGTGTGTGTGTGTGTAAGAGAGTTGGACCTTAGCCCTTATCTAATATCTGTTAACTAAACGCTAATAAATCGTGCGCCAACACTTCCAACAACTAGCTCCCAGATCACAAACGTCGTCGTTTTTCATTTCGCTCTCACAGAGGGCACTCTGATATCAATTTGCATCGAGGTGTAGGACGTGGTGCAGCCCGCGTGCACCCCTCTCTACTCCTCCTCGAGTAGTATACAGCGGGACACTCCGCAGTTCGCTTATCCCGTTCCTTCCAGTTGGCTTTTACGCGCGACGTCTGCAGTACTCAGTGATTCAGTGAGCCCTTCTCCTCTGCACGCGCCAGGCTGTATTTGGATGAAGACAGGCAAGGCAGGAACCGTTTTACCCCTCAGTGCTTCAATGGCGAAACAACGCTGGTTTCGTCCCAGTAAACAATCGTAGATGAAGACATTGACGCTTTTTTTCTCCTCCTCGCGACTCATTTTTGACAAAATGTGGGACGCGCGTTCTCTACGCGGAGACCGCGGAGTTCTCTCCTCAGCTGTAGCCGCTTGACTGGAGGGGGTTCCCGGCTCCCTTTTCATCCTATACTCCCTCAGGAACGAGAGGAGTTTGCATGCAAAAGGTGGTTTATCTCGGCAAGGTGAGGGGGACTGTTTTGTGTCACTTTGATACGATTTTGGACCACATAGTGAACGGTACTGAAGTACATTTTACGTGATGCCAGGACAGATTTTTAGGCTGATTTACATTCTGTTCAGGATTCTGATACGGTAAAAAAAGAAAAACCTAACCTAGAGAAAAAGGGGTAGTAGAGTAACAGGTATGCAGTATTTCTGAATTTATGGGACTGCAGAACACACTGGGAGTCCAGATTTCTTTTGTAATGTGATCTTATATTCCCACTGATTCTTAAATTGCATCTCACGGTTTATTCAGATTGTAAATATGCTGCTCTGCTGCTAATGGAACAAATATTCTGGCACAGTTTAATACAGCTAAAAAAAAAACTGTTGCATTTAAGTATCAGCTTAATTCAATCCTTTAAGAGGGTGGTATTAAGTAAAATGCCAACCTGCTCTCTGTCAAGATTTTTACATTAACAACTTTCATTGAAATTTTACACTAAGTGTTTGAGGAATATTAAATATTCTGTTACACACTGAAAAAAATTAATGTCTTTTTCCTGAATTAGGGGTGATATTTGTCAGAAAATGAGACTGTATTAACCAAATGTGGCAGGGGAGAGCTAAAAAGTTTGAAAAGAAATTGAAAAAATTGCTCAAACGTGTCTTTCCCTTAGAGAGTGTATCAGTGGATCTCAAGGCACCCTTCAGTCCATTTGTTTCCTGACTAACCACTCAGTGAGTCCCGAGCTTCCAGCGATAAGACTGCATAGAAAGTAGTGCTCCCGCAGGAGTTCCTTCCCTCACTACAGCCACAACAGTGCTGGGGGGGAGAGCAAAGCAAAGCAGCCATATTGAGTGTTAAAACAAAATCATTGATTCTGTCCAACACTTTCTTAGAAATGTAATGAAAGGGATCAATAACTATGCAGCTGTTGCTATTTTGGAGTGAAAATGCAGAGTATCTCTGACTGTGTCCTTGTGCTGCTTGAAGGGAACAGGTTTAGTCTTGGTTTTATTTTTTGAGACATGTGATGCACAGTGTAAAAAATGAAATAGCCAATCTTTTGATGCTCAATTTGTTCAGCTTGTTCCTGATATTTAATCATCTCACTAACTTTGTTGTCTTTTGTTTTCTCAGTCATGGAGGGACTTTCCTAAAGAGGATCCCACTTGATTCAAAACTTTAGACCCCCTTTTTTTCTACTTCCCTCTTTAAGTCATTTTAACATCTCCCTAAATTAGTTGCCTTTCCATCAAAATGGCCGAGAGGATTGGACCAGCAGGGCTCAAGCCCACCAACATCCGAACCGCTCCCTCCTTGCCCCCAGAACCCATCGACATCATCCGTACCAAAGCCCGCTCCCGCAGAGTTCGGCTTAATGTCGGGGGGCTGAACCATGAAGTCTTATGGCGGACGCTGGACCGACTACCCAGGACCCGGCTTGGCAAGCTTCGAGACTGCAACACCCACGAGTCCCTGATGGAAGTCTGCGATGACTACAGCCTGAACGAAAACGAGTACTTCTTTGATCGTCACCCGGGAGCCTTCACCTCCATTCTGAACTTTTACCGCACGGGGAAGTTACACATGATGGAGGAGATGTGCGCCCTATCGTTTGGCCAGGAGCTGGACTACTGGGGTATAGATGAGATCTACCTGGAGTCCTGCTGCCAGGCCCGCTACCACCAGAAAAAGGAGCAGATGAACGAGGAGCTGAGGCGGGAGGCTGAGACCATGAGGGAGAGAGAGGGGGAGGGAGAGTTTGATAACACCTGCTGCCCAGACAAGAGGAAGAAGCTGTGGGATCTCCTGGAGAAGCCCAGCTCCTCTGTGGCTGCCAAGGTAGGGAACTGAAATGGGAAGTGTGATCTCACCGCCCCCATCTCACATTCCCCGATCACATTCAGAGCAGAACACTCTGCCTGGATCATAGCACATTACAAGCACACCTCAGCTCACAGACCTCCTCCCACCTGTACAAAATAGTCCATCTATTTGAATCCTAAACAGGCATGGACTGTACTCTTATCAGGTGTGTTCTTGTGCCATCTGTCTGGTTCCCAGTGGAGCAACAGTTGTTAGGTCTGGACTAAATATATAAAAGAGATGCATGTGAGGGTGTAACGTGAGCAAACATCATGTTTTAGGGAAATTTATGGTTCCGGCACTAATTGGTTAGTTGTGAAATCACAGCAGGAGCTACATTTAGAGTCTACTTACTCTGACAAATTAATTGGTGAGAACGTCAGCTGCTCGTGTTGAATTCTGTGCAGAGATTAAGTGTGTCAGTGTTGAGCAGATTTGTCAATGATGTGTGACGCGGCAATTCTCTTCTCAGGATTGGTACATGTGTCCTTCCTGGTGCTTTCGTGGATCAATCTCAGTCTAGGTCTTTCATTTTGGATCTGACAGGATGATGTCAAGAGTTTGTGGCAGGTGTGTTGAGGAAAAGTGATGCGTCTGAGGCATTTGCTATTTTTACTCAGAGTATATTTCCTTCATTTGGAGCCAACTGAGGCAGTCATCAGTGCCTTCTCTCCCCCACACATGGCATTTGTAGAAAACTGCAGCATCAATCCCATGCAGGTTTAGCATCCTGGATCAACCTTACAGAGATGAAATAACAGTGTAGCAATGTCAAGCCTTGCTAAAATGATGACATCTCTTTCAACTCTTTTGCCACCTCCTCCTCTTCTTCTCACCCCATCCCCGCTCTGACTCAGTCCTCAATTAGGTAGGTCAGCGTTGATGAAATCCAATCATTGGTAATTTACCTTAGGTCTCCAGTATCCTGATCTCATTACTGCGCGGTGCAGGGCAGGGTTGGCCCAAGGATTATATTCCGTGTCAGCGTATCATAATCATAGGGGTTCCTGTGTTTATGTGAGATCTAAGGAACATCATACGCTCCGAGTGTGTGATACAGCTCCTGTTGCTACGTGTGCTGCGTGGATTCAGACTCTTCCATTGAGGAGAAAAATGTTTGCTCAAGGATCAAGAGAGCAGATTCAAAGTATACAAAGTGTAGACTTCAAATTCATTAGCGCGGATAGAGGCATCAAAAGGACAAATTCAGGACTATGAAGCAATGATCAAAGAAACAAGAACAAAGAATAGACATGAATTTGTAATGTAGAGCAATAAAAAATTCTTATTCAAGAATCATGGGCACTGGCTGGAGTATATGGGAAGTAGATTCTAGTATTAACACTTAAGATTCTAGAAGCAGTCAAGAGCTCAGATTCTAGAATGTAGAGTTGAGATTCTAGAATCAAGTATAGGTTTAAAGGTCCTTACACACCGGGACCGATGCAAATATACAACGCAAAATTACGAAATATTCAGAGGCGAATTTTAATGCACCTGACTACACACATCAAGCCTGATGCAATTTTGCGACTTTCTGGGGGGAAAAAAGACGTGTCCCGGGTGGAAGCAAGAAGACTGACACACAACCAGACTGATTGTTTTTCAGTTCTGATTAGACACTAGTGTTGAGATGTCTGTCTGTCATGATAGCATGTACTGAGTCGGGGCCAGTACCAGATAAGCACATTAAACTATAATCCATAAACATAAGGTAACAACCGAGACCTTGTGGGGCTGTGACAGCAATGCGATTGAGTTTGAGACAGTGAAAATATATATGGTATGTTGTATCTGAACAGGTTAGCTTACGAGCTAAAGTTACTTAGCACAGATGAAAGTTAAAACAAAGACGTTTAGCAAACTGTTAAAGCACACAAACCATCGTCATATGAGAAATCTGACACTATGACTCTCCACAAGTTGTCCTTCAGGTCGTTAACTTTGTAATGTTTGTGTCTTTTATAATAAAGCACTCTGTTCTCTGACACGTAAACAATCAGCCGGTCGGCCATGTTGGATATACCGGTGAATCAGACGTCGCAACAACACGAAATCTGATTGGTCAGAAGTGGACACACAGTATGCGAAACTTTAGAAAATTTGATCGTGATACAAAAAAATATCGCTGCAATATCGCAGGACGGGAAAATGTCGCTGATGTGAATGCAGTGCAATGCAAATACACAAGAATCTACTGCATCTAGAATCTAGAAAATATGAAGATTAATCATTCTATGAAGGTTTAAGACAATGGAGGGCGCGATACAAAAATCCAGAATGCTGAATGTAATTTCTTGGGTGTTGATTAAAGAAACAATCTGTGCATTTAAGAATCTAAGTTGTTTAGAGAAACGGTAGCCTTGAATACAGGACTTAAAAAAGGTTGAAGATTCTTGAATTGGATTTTTAAAAAATCTTGTTTACAGAATTAAAAATCCTGAGCGTAGATCAAAAAATCTAGAGTTGAATCAGGAGTGTGGAGTCAGGAATATGTAGAATATGTAGACTGAAGAATCTGGAGTGTTGATACAAGAACCTGCAATGATGATTTAATTTTTAATCACCTCAGTCTAGATTCATAGAAACAGCTAACTGAGTAAGCCAGCTCTGGCAGGCAACTCAAGCTGCACCAATGTGACACTTGATTCCCACAATCACATGACAAATAAATCCTTCCAATTTGAGGGTCTATTTAAGCTGAAAGATTTCTGATCTCTGTGTCTGCTTGGCTACTGTCACTGCTGCCGTGCATTAGTGCTGTGCTCTAAAATTTCAGCCCCATCACGCCAGCATTCACTCTGATGCATTTAAGATGTTATCCCATCTCTCCTCAGATCATGCAAATAAAAGTAAACCTTAAATATGTGGTGAGTTGTGAAAACTGTGTGGTAATGTGATGCAATACTTGCCGTCCAGGTGTTAAAACATGTTTGGCCTTCCTTGCTGTATTGGTACTGCACAGCTAGTTTTCCCTCACTGATTTGTGATTGACAAGCCTCCTGCCTCATCCTAATAGTTGTCTCCTGCCTCCATGAGGAAGCTATATATCTAAAGAATCAATGACAAGAAGGTTGCCAGTATCCAACTTAAGGCAAACTCAGGTGACAGCAGCAAGGTAATTTGATAAGCTGTGGGATATTTAAAGTGATTTACCTCCTTAATATGGCCCCTCGGTCTCAAGACGCATCAGGGTATTGCTGACCTGATCACTATCATGTGGGGGAAGCCTGTGAAACCTTCAAGGGAAATCCCACCCTAATTCAAATTGCATTGATATTCTGCTGAGTGCTCCACCAGGGGAACTTGAACGTGGCTGTAATGACTCTGCCTTGCGACTGCGCAAAGGTAATCCACCGCTGAGAGTGCATTGGAAAGTAGACTCTCAAGGGGTGTGCAACTGGCAGTTCCCTGAGGTCAGGGAAGTCTTTTATGGGAACATTGAGGACCCTTGAAAGCCCTTGACCAAGGAAATACCATTACCGGGCCTGTACACAGCCCTGTGCTCCTGTACTCTTACACATGGCAACTCAGCCGTTTATCAAGTGCAGTCAAAGTATCCTGGCACATATATCCTCTCTTTTTCTCACACTGCTTTCCTTAATCAGATATTAGCGCTGCCGTAAGAAACCTTTGGCACTCTCTGCCCTTAAAGTAAAGGTTAAGCATGAGAGGACTGACCTTTTCGGGGAGGTCAATCAAGCTAGGATTACATTTATCAGCAATAACAGGAACGTGTGCTTTGAGAGTTTGTGCAAGCCCTTGTAGAATTGAAAAGGTTGCAGCTATTGCAACAAGAAAAAAAAATGTGCTGGAGCAAGCAGCAGAAAATGTCTGTGAAAGCTACAAGTGAAAAGATGTGCTTGGAATGATAGTTGCAGAAGAAAGCCCGGAGAGAGAGTGAGCGATGTAAGAGAGGTAGTCCTGTTAGTTACGCCCCAGGATGTTGGAAGAGTTCTTTGCAAACATTTTCCAGTAAGTAAAGAAAGAAGTGGTCCAAACAAAGAGTTACAGAGGGGTTGGCTGTGCCCTTTCTGTGTTGGTACATGACTTTTGGTGGCCTGATCTAGTATAGCGTGAGGGGAAAGAGAAAAGGAGTTACTTCTTGTCCTGTTCTATCTGGTCCTTGGCTCGTCAAAGGTGAGTCCAGGGGGAAAAGCAAGACGCTAATGTCAAAACAAGATCTCGCCAACCCCGGTACTAGATAGAACACCTGCAGGAGCTTCACATCAGAATATCCTCAGCTGAACCTCCATTAAAAGTGTTTTTTAGCAGTTTTATTGAGAATTAAATTACAAAAAAACAGCATAAAAACAGCATTTTCACAGCTTCAAGCCTTGGCTAAATGACTGTCATTTGCTATAACGTTATATAAGATTATTGCAGCTGAGTATCAAATGATTGTTGCCATTGTTTCCTTACTGTAGGCTATAATTTCTATTAATCCGGTAGATCGTGTCATCCTTGATATGGAGCCAGAAGGATTTGTACTGCCCTGACCCTTTTCTGTTTACAATGAGTCACCGCTTGAGCTCTAGAGAAGCACACTTAGCAAAGCTCGTACAAGAAGTCACACAAAGTGCTGCATTGCTGTAAGGCATCTATTTCGAATGCTTTAAACTAAGGTACATAAATATATATTAACTGTAAACTTGCAGTAATCATAAAAAGTCTTTTTGTTAGCCTGTGTGACAATATTAGTTACGATCTAGAGTTTCACTTCACAACCTTTTGTATACTTTTGGTCGAAGGTAAGAAAGTTTGGTACATTAAACATGAATTGTAATCCCAGTATGCTTTATTCACTCTTCTAGTACTGTCATAAGAGTTCATTGAGGGAAAATACTTCAATTTCTCACCCAGCAGTCATAGATTGCATGCATAATCAAGCATTATTGAGTGTCATTTGAATCCTCTTTGGAAGTATCCAGATCATTAAATATATTTACCTGAATAATAAATGTTAGCAGAGACTGACTATTCCCCTTTTTATATCACCCTCTTTAAATGCATCACTGTTAACAATCTTCTTTTCTGCAAAGACAGATCTTTTTGCAACATAAACAGAAATGTAATTTAAAACCTGCCAGTGTTTTATCTACCGCATGTCATATGTCAGTGCGCAGTTAAGTGCAATTGGATGTCTTGAGTTCAATTTCTTCTATTTTCAGATAAGCACGACTCTATGAAGGGGATGTATTATAAATATTCGGATGTCGCCGACTGTTTCCTTCACGACTGGTGATTTAGTGAGAGCTTCAATATTAACACGAGTCAGGCTGTAGTGCTGCTATCATAAATTAATGCTATTAGTTTTAACATGGATGCCTACAGTGCTCAGTTTTAATATATGAAGAGTTCAGTTTGCAGGAGCAGCATGTTTTTGCTTTGATTAGTGTTCATGCAAAGCGACTTTATAAGCTCTCTGGAGTATTAACAACGTGGTCTGAAATATTAAAGCTGTAATATCCCCTTGCTATGAGACAGAAACCATTCCCCTCTTTAGGTTTTCTTCACTTTAGAGTCCATTCAGTGTGCGGGCAGTCCTGGAAAATAATGACCAAAGATTCAGAGCGTTTTAAAGAGATCAATGTTTCTACTTGCCAGACCTTTCAAGTTAGGTTTTCTATCTCCCTCACTCCTCTCTACACGAGCTGTGTCTAGCCTTGTGCTCGCTCTTAATGTGGATGTGCACCATTAGTCTTTCCTTATCTAATAATCCAGTCTATCTAGTGGGAATGCAAAGCAATGGGCTTGTATGGGCGCAGACTTGTGCAGTTTGGTCCTCCCACGCTCCCGGAGCAGCAAAAGTGAGTCCAGCACAGACACTGCTGAGGATGATGACACAACATGATGAAGCTGGAGCATGATCCAGTACAGTAACAAACACCTCAATCTTAGTCTTTATGGATGTCAGATTTGCCATTTTTACTTTTCGACTTTCACATGGCAGACGTTTTTCTCTGACGCTAAAACACATTTGAGAACCTGTTAGCTGTTTGTCATCAAGTCATATTTTTAAACCTAATTTTAATCGCTCACTTTACATTAGTAACAAAGTTTTAAGTTCGCAAATAGGCTGTGATGTTAGTCCCACAATGTCAGTCCATATATCTCACAACGGGCTCAAATGCAGGCATGCTGTTTTTATTCATTCTTCATATTCGTCGCCATTTAACAGTTTTGTATAGCTTTGTTTTGCCTAAAGCATAAAATCAAATTATTTGAGGTTTCTACAACAAACCAGTGCCACATCTCGACAGCATTTACGCTTTCCACCCTGATCATGACACAAGATGACAGTGGTGGCAGTGTGGATGTGGTCAATTGCTACAAGTTAAGTCAGGTTTTGGACATGTGATGCATTAGGAGTGACATTAGCTTGACGTGCGACATGAGGAAATTTAATTAACACACTTTTGTACTCTAGTCGTACAGCACTTGTTTCAGATCACTGCTGCTGACAGCCTCTTACTCTCCACCCATCCATTTCCTTGCAGGCTTTTACAGCACTGGAGCGCACATTTGGCCTTTTGTGGGTATTGATGTAGTTTCTGACAGTGTGAGAGTCAAAGATGGAGAGGGGCGCTGAAAGGGGAAAGAAGATTGACGGCATTAAGTTGGTTAGAAGTTTAACGTCCTCCCATTATGTGCCCTGAGGTCAGATTTTAGCAGGAGGTCCTCCCTATCATCCTTTAGTCTGTAGGTTGTGGTCACTCTTCAGAAGGTTAAATCAATAGGCATCAGCATTTTAGGAGAAAAATGTTCTCTGGCAAAGAGATTTTTTTAAACTTTGTGCTTATTTGGTGAAAAGCCTGCCAACTGGACTCTGACCTTGCCTGTTGAAATCAAATTTTGATGTTTTTAAGTCAGTTATTGCAGTCAAGGTGATACCCTGTTGCAGAGACAAGAGTAGCTCCTAGCTGCAGCACTAAGTATTGTCGTGCATTATCTCATTTGTTCTTTAGAGAGACATCCGGATGTACTACAGGAGAGGAGTTTTTTTCATTTAGGAGGAGTGCACCTTCTGCAGTCTCCTGGTTACATAAGCCTTCCTCCAGGCCTCTAATCAGTACAGCCAAGCATTTAGGCAGCAGCACCTAAATCCTCTTTACCCCACAATCATAATCAGATAAGAGCGAACCTCCTAGATTATAGGTGACATGAGTTCTTTTAGTACATGGGTGGAGGAGGCTGTATCTTTTATCTGTATGTTCCATGACACAGTTAAAACAGATCTCCCTGTGCTGTTTGCTGTGTTATCAATCAAACTAAACACCTGCAAAATAAGGATTACACTTAATAGAAATGATTCCTCCAGTTATCATGTTTAAATATTGAATAATTAAGGTTAAAGAGGAGGTAGGAGCTTTTAAGAAAACAGGCAATTTAGCTGCTAATTCAAAATCACTTCTTTTCTTGGGCATATTTTACTCTTTCTGGTTGCCTAAAGCTTTTTTTTGTCCCTTGTGTACATTAGTTTTTCATTCATTTAAAGCAAACGTAATAATACCTTCCATTTTTTTTCACGAAAACAGCTGATTTGTTGTATATACAGTGGATACTTACGAGTTCGCTCTGCTATATACACACCATGTGCATGAATTTCCTCATAAGGACAACCATCTGCACAAGTGGTGTAAGCAAATAAAGCACTCTCGACTCTCTCCCCTCTTCTACTGCTGCTGTTTGAATTTATGATTTTGTTTCCAAGAATAAAAATATTATTTTTTTTACCACAGTAAAAGTTCCATGTTTAATATTATCAAACCGTGAAGTAGAGAGATGGTTTTAGACAAACTGTACAGGAAAGTCTGCAGTGTGGATGTGTTTACATTGTATCCAGGGAGCTTATACTCATGTAATGGGTGCATGATCGCGCTGATGCAAAAATAAAGAGGAAATTAACACTCAAGGGGGACATAGCACATCTTTTAATTTTGAATGCACTGAAAATGGTGCTTTTGAGACTTTTCGTGATCGCCTCCTGGTAAGAATCTGACTGGATGTCATGGGTTTTCCAGCAGAGGTATCCCTGGGTTATATTTCAACTGAAGAGCAGGATGGGACACTGCAGCCCTTTATTGATTTAACTAAAGCGTTGAAACTGTGAATCCCACCCGCAGGGTTGAGAGGGAACATCTAAAGTGAGGCCGGGGCAAGTTGTTGGAGACAAAGTACAAGGAGGCTATTGATGCAGCTTGATTCCCAGAATTGATCTGTAGAAACCATTTTTAATTATTTCAGAAATACCCATACATCAATGTCTGCAGTAACAGGAAAACACACCTCCATCCTCGTCTGATTTTGCTTTGCTTTGCACAAATAACCTGCCGCTGCTTTCTTCCATTTCCATTATTACTAGGAGGGACTCGCATGCAGAGGAATTACAGTCAGGATGCAGCTCAGTGGCAGTGGTGTCCTGGCAGAGCTACAGGCACGTCTTTAGGCATATTACTGTGCGGTTAAACATGCATGCACTGAATCCCGAGTGGAGATATCATGAAATGAAAGTCAAGAGGCAGGACTGGCAACTCGGTTATTTGCACACATAAAGGGGGAGGAAGCAAAACTAAATCCAGGGAAAGGAATAAACTTGCTTTGAAACAAGTCTAGTACAAACAACATGCCCAGTACAAGCCAGGGCTAATGAGCGGCCAGATGGTGTGAGAGGCCTGATGGCTGACGTCTTATTAGTAATTCTACTGTCATCCCCGGAAAACACCCTCACATTTCCTAAGAACAAATCTGTTATGACTCCAAGTGCCGCTACTGAGGGCTTTTTTCATAATCAATTACTCTGTTTTGTGGAAAATGTTCATTTCCCAGAGGGGTGATCTTCAGAATGCTTGCTTTGTCAAACCAGTGGATTCAAGACTGAAAAATGTGAAACTGGAACAAAAGTAGAGGCAATTCTATAGATTTCACCAGCTGTAAAAATGAAAAGTTTAGATCTGATTTTATGGTTAATAGTGATTATGAAGCCTTTTATATTTTGGTAAAAAATGGTTTGATCTTTGGCTCCAAATTGGAAAGCTTGACACCACAGTATCGTTACGTTCATTTTGACTTGTGGTCTTGAACACAAGCCCAGTAATTCATCTCCTTTTAGCTCTGTTTTGGTCTTCTTAAGCCTCTGAGGGAAGTGCCCGGCTCTTTGGAGTCTGAAAGCTTCACTGTTTTACATATCTGTTACTAAAATAGCGTTTTCTGTCCATTAAGGGTGGGAAAAAAATTTGCTACAGCACAGTATTGCGATATTTTGTCTGGTGATATATCGTATCGCCACATGAACCAAGAATTGATTTTTTTCAAATTGGCGTAAGTAGCACTTATGAAGTCAAATAAAATAGTATTTGTTGTTTGAAACAAAGTTTCGGCTCAGTTTGCTCAGTATCCTCATTTAAAACAACTTGGGTTTTTGACTGATCAACAATGTTAAATACCATGATATATTATTACTTTACTGTGATATGTCTTGTATCATGAGGTTCTTGCAAATATACAGCCGTATTGTATTGTATCGTATCGAATCGTGACACGTATCGTGATATGTATTGTAACATGAGGTCCTTACCAATACCCACCCCTACTGTCCACTATTTGTTGCTTGTCAGGTTTTACTGTAAATACAGTTTGTTGCAGCCAAAAACAAGGCTAAAGCTAAGCTAATTGTGACTCCAGAGTCAAGGGTTTGTTATTGTAGCCTCTCACACCTTTACTGCTTCTTCTCCACCATTTGGCCACCATTTCTTGTTACACACTCTATATGAGCTGAACACTTCATGCTTGTTCACCCTGCAAGAAGTTCAGAGGTATAAACTGGCCGAAAGCCCCACGTCTTAGCAGCATCAGAGCGAGACATAAATCCCATTGAAGGCGGGGAGTGGCTGTGGACCAGCAGCGAGCGTCAGCTCTGGCTGGCACTGCCAGCTTGAGTGACACTGTGGGAAAGAGGCTAATGTGTTTCTTCCTTCTTCCTGCCTGGGTTGTATCCTCCCTGTCTTCCTTCTTATTGCCTCCACTGCTGCCCCCTGTGAGGTGTGCTCAACCTGTCTTCTGCTGTTTTCCTCAACTCGGAAGGCGTCAGAAAATAGGGGGAGACGGGGTGGGGACGGGCAGAGAAGAGTCATCATTCTAAACGCTACGAACACCAGGTCTCTATTACGTGCTTCAGTAAACCCACTTCACACACAAGCACACAAAACACACACTATGAACTCACAGCTAACAGCCAGTCTTCCACATCCCTGCACATACGTTAACTTTAATACACACAATATGCCCTCAGTGGTTCGGCACACAAACAGAGGTGCCTGTGCGCGCACACACATACACACACCTCTTTATCAGTGAGCTTTCAAATAACTGCTGAGCCAGCTTCCTCTGAGTGCCACTGTTGTCTCCGTCGCTCCCCTCTGTGCCATCTCCCTTTCATTATCCCTCACCTTTTTTTGCATTCCCTGTTTGCCACCCAAGCTGCCTTCAGAGCCTCATATGTGTTTGATTTTCCTATCCTCCATTTCCTCTTAAACCTCAGACTTCCTGCGTCCTCTCGTCTCCGTTTTCCTTCTCCTTCACACCTCTGTTTTTATTTACTCTTGGGCTGAAAAAAGCTGATTTGTGATCCTGCTCACCGCTCCATCATGGAGGCAGTGATATGAGAGTGCATTGGTATTCATTGTGGGTGTTTCTACATTTGGCTCTCTATCAGTCATGTTTATGATTTACCAGCACAGGTCAGAGAAGTGCTTCCTCAGGTGTTTCCACTTTCTGCTGCACTGAGGTGCCCTGCTGCCTCTTTATAAATCAGGTGGATTTACATGCAGTAAATACACAAACAATGTAGACACTTTGATAAATGACACATTGAGAATCCTTAATAACCAAATGGAAAATCCTCTGAGGGCTTTCCTTCTTATCTAACTGAGAAAAACCCCTTTAAGAAAAAAAAGGGCATGTGTAAACAACTTAATTTCACTTGTGTCTTCTGAAACACAGTGTTTGCGTAGTTTCCATGGTGACCATGGTGCGCCATGGTGACTTATCGACACCCAGGGAGCAATTCATCTCTATACAGGCTGTGTGAGAGGCAGAGCAGCTGGTCGCTCAGCCCCCACAAACCAACCCCGAATGCAAATGTGAGGGGAAACGCTTGTGCAGTTCAGCCCTCGCTGGGAGGATTTTCTCTCTCCCTGTTGAAGTGTTTTTGCTAATTTTTCTGTTTGTGTCACTCCTAACAATGCTTCAATAGTTCTCGCTGACACTGAAATTACCTCCCATTGTGTGGCAGAGTGTTCAGATGAGCTCACACAGTCATACTCTTTACAGTCGCTGCTGTGATATGATGAGCGTGGAAATGCCGTCATCTTTAATTGCGCCAAGGAGGAATAATCTGCTCTCCTCTGTTTGAGCATAAAGACAGGAAAGAGGCAGATTTCCACAGTTGGGTTTGTTTTGATGTGAAAGGAGAAGAAGGATATTGTCTCTGCTTTTTCTTGAGGCTGATCACAGAGGCCTCCAGAGCCAAAGCAGCAGAACGGGGACTTGGTTTTGTTGGGATATAAGAGATTAATTAAGAATCTTTGCTTTAAGAAGGGGTCTCTGAGGATGAGTAAGAAAAAGAGACAGATAGTGTGCATCTGTGGGGGGTTGAAGATGGCTGAAGCTGCGTGTTAGCCTTTGCATCACAAAAACTAAAGGAACATTCTTAAGTTTTCTGATTGGACAAAGCATTTTTATCATTTCCTCTCTCATTACCGACCTCTTACTCCTCCTCCTCCTCCTCCTCCTCCTTCTTTGAGCTTTCCTACTGTATCTCCTCTGTGAAACGGCCTCCAACTTCACCACTTCTCTCTTGTGTCATCACACTCTTGGCGTCACTGCTACCAGCTGTTTGCTGTCTCCTCACACCCCGGGAAGTGACAGAAGAAAATATAAGATATTTTTTGCTTCTTTTTGCTCATGTGTGTGTGTTTGTGTGTGTCTCCTGCAAAGCCACAGGGCTCCTTCAGTGCTGACCACAGTAACTCTGCTCTGTCTCAAATGCTTCGATGCACCTTAAATTTCAGTTTATCTGACATCCATCCAGAAAAAAGTTCATCTGGGATAGTGTATCAGCACACTTGGTCATAAAAGTTTGAGCACAATATTAAAGTATTTATTTCCATGGCAGAAGATACAATATTTTTGCTTTTTCAAGGGTTTCTTTGCTTGAATTTTCTTGAGATATGAGCCAAATAATGTTTTTTATTGCTGCTGCTAGTGACCTGGCTCAGAGACGAAAGGTCAATGAAGTCCAAAGTCTCAGTTGTTTCATCGAGCACTACCAGTGGGGTCAATAACCTGGCTAAGGTTTTGTTTTGCTGTGGTCCACTTTGACTTGACCAAAAACCAGCCAATCTTACATCCTCTTTAACCTCTTTTAATTATCAGATGTTTGCTTCCTTGTTGACAGAAATGAAAAATCCTTCAGTTACATCTACAAGAAGAGGAAAATGTGTGATCTGATTTTAATTGGTGCTTCACAAATGCTGTGACCATCTCTGACACTCATATCCAGAACTGAGTACATCTGAAGAGTAGGAAAGTGCTATGTAATTGACTATCAATTAAGAGTACAGTCCATTTTCTTCTTGCTTAGAGAAATCAGCTGCAGTATAGTCTAAAGGTCCTTACACACCGGGACCGACGCAAATATAAGATGCGAAATTACGAAATATTCAGAGGCGAATTTTGTCACACCTGACTATAGACATGAAGCCCGATGCGATTTTGCAACTTTCCGGGTGGAAACATCAGACTGACTGTTTTTCAGTTCTGATTAGAGACTAGTGCTGAGATGACTGTCTGTCATGATAGCATGTACTGAGTCGGGGCCAGATAAGAACATTAAACTATAATCCATAAATGTAAGGTAACCTGAGACCTAATGGTGCTGTGACACACAGTCTGCGAAACTTGAGAAAAATCGACCGTAATCCCCCATAAAATAAATGCTGCAATATCGCAGGACTGGAAAACGTCGCTGATGTGAACGATTGTATTGACAGGATACAGGTTCGAAAAAAAATATTGACGTCTGAAATAATCGCAGAAAAAAATGCTCCAGGGTGAAAGGACCTTAAGTCTTTCTATAGTCTCTCTCGTGACTATTCGTCTGATCTAGATTCTGTGAAAACGACCCAAAAATATCCACATCAACTGAGCAGAAGAAAAACATGACTGAACAAATTTGTTAATTAGAGCGGTTTCTTTGGACAGCGGGATCCCAACCATACACTGAAACCTCTCTGTAACCCGAAGATCAGAGGTTTAATTCCCCCAACAGCTGCTGTGTGGACTATTTCACAGGACTGACAACCTTTAACTGCTCTTTCCAGCCCTGCTCTACCCCTCTCATTCAGTTTATATCCAAGCCATTCATGAAAACAGGAAATAAGTCAAATGCATCTCCAAATGGGGGCCTTAATTGGAAAGGTCCATCTGTGTGTCTGGTCGGCAGAGGTGACAAGAGGCATTGATACAGTCATTTAGCTCCCTAGAGTGATTGTAATCAGCTTACTGCCATTGGAGGAAAAGGACCTGGCTAGCTTGAGGGCACAGAGTGACGACAACATACACCCACACCATGTGACCCTGTGTCAATGACAGGAAGCTCGGCAGTGGGCCAAAGAACTTGCGTGCGAGACATCTGAAATGTCACACAGGTTTATATCTTTTCGGACGTACGTATGTGCAGGTTAAGGGATAATGAGAGTTTAAAAAATAGCTGAGTGTGTGTTTCTGTCAAATGTAAAAGAACTGTGGGTGTCCTTGTCCCTGAGGTTTTGTCAGACACATCACAGCACACATTTCCTTGTGTTTTACTGTGTTGCTGTCACTGCTCGTGGGATCTGCCCTCCATCACTGCAGGATCAGAGCACATTTGGGTCTACTGGGTGATGACATTTGGTTGAAGCCTTGCCAATCGATAGGATAACTCCCAGGTATTGACTGGTGCGCTGAAATCTCCACCTGTCTCTTTGTATTTCAGAGTGCAGGGCCGTGAAGCATGTACACTTAACTGTTGACCAACACTCACCGCTGACTGAGCACACTTGCCTGTGTCTGATATTTGCTCTCTCGCTCCCTCTGCTTCCCCTCCACCAGATATCATGCATTTATGTCTAGATTCTTTTATGTAGTTTTCTGAACTTTGCACTTCTTTTACAGCAGTTCAGCTCTTTTCTTTAAGCCTGTTTATGATTCACCTTCAGTGACTCACTGTAAAGTTGACTCTCTTTATGCCCTTCTTCTATTATCTGCATCTGTTAGGAGAAATATGCTTGTTTGCCTCCTCTTTTCTGCCCTTCATCATCTTCCCTTGGTGTCTTTTAATCACTCACCCTTGCTCCTAAATCGCTAGTTTCCTCTTTTAGGTTTCCTTTCTTTCTATATATATGCATCTACTGAACTTCACCTACTTGTGTTTAATTTGTTGTATGTGCTTGCAAATGATTCAGCCAGACCCCCTCAAATTCCAGACTAAATGATGCTGGCTTCTGTATCTGGCACTGAGCGTCGCTAAAGATTTTTAAAGTATACTTGTTTTGCAATAAATCCTCCTTTAAGTAGTGTGACGGTATCTAAGGGCTGCCTGTTAGGTAGCACTGTTTAGCATCCTTAGTTTCACTTCCTGTGCCTAAGTATTGAATAAGGTGTCTAAAAGGAAATAACACTACTAATGTTGATGGATTACTGTAGATTCAAGACAAAGTGGTGCTCGCCTCTGTCACGTTTCCAGTGTTGCTTTTCCTTTCTTTTGAGCAGCTGCTTCCAGCCACTGTAACAAGCATTCCTGCTCTATTTGGATCGCATTTATATCGTGTAAAAAGTGCATTAATGCTGCTATAAAAGTCATCTTTTGCAACAGACAGGCATCATAAAGCTTAGTATTAAAAAGGCCTAACACTTAAGGCAGCTTTGCAGGGACTCTCACTTCTAAAAATACCGACTAGACACCCAGTCTGGCCACAGTACAACATGTTAAGTAAGCAACAATGTGTAATCATGCGGAGAATAAAACCTGGAAATCGAGATTTTCTCCTCAGCGCTTAGTCTCGGGGGAATACAATGAGAGATTAGGAGGTTTCATTTTTACATATATCTGCTTTGTGAATGGATAAAAGCTAATGCGGATTATAACGTGAGGCATTAAATCGGGTACGGCTGTGATTCATCCATCCAGGATGCGTGATTCATCTCCGCTGTTATTACTTCAATATGTATTTATTCCCTTTCTTCACGTGTCACATCTGAAGAAGCCCTGGTCTTTAATCTCTGTTGAATTCAGCTTTCAGGATGACCTTTTTGGCTTTGTGTGATGCTGTATGTATGAATGTGTGTTTAAGGAGGAATAGGAGTTGGAATATTAAGTAGTCTTAAGCGAAAAAGTACACTCATATATGCATGGACAGTGCTTACAGAGGAATAGTCAAAGCAAAGATGACAAAGACAACATTATGTCTGATAAATTTTCATGAGGATGTAAAGTACACGCATCAAATGACTGATAGTGACCTGTAAATCTGTATTCTATCAATCTTTCACTTTAACCTTATTTTGTAGTACTTTTGCGCTGCTGGATCTCTCTGTATTTGGAGGAATGTGTTTGGACATACAGCACAGTCTGAAGCAGTGGAAAGTAGAGGAATCTGTTTATGTTAAATAGTTTGAAAGTTCAATAAATATTAATTTAAAAGGTTTACCATTTAGGCCTATTTGAGAGGAGCACTGATTTAATCACGGTGGTGTAATCTATCTTCCTCAACGCAAGAAAATTCCACAAATTACTCTTTCCTAATTGAACGCCTGAGTCTGTCCTCCTGCTGGGATTAACTGTGGTGTGGAGAGGTATAAATCCGGCCTCCTGTCCGTCTGACTGACAGGCGGACACACCCCCAACCTGATGTGCTGCTCCCTAATCCCCTCTGACGACACTACAGAGTCTGAGGACAGAAATTAACAGCCCTGTGTCAGCTGTGACATCCTGCCTGCCTGTCATCGCAACAATCACATGCTCATGACGATGGCGAATCAATTAGCATTGCTGCCATATATCAGATTAAGACTAAACAAGTCCAGAGGCGGGCTCATTAAAACGGTTGTCTGTTTAGCTTGTCTAATAGAAAGCCAAGCACAGGCTTAATGGGGGAGGGCTAAACTTGTTGAGGGACACTGTGGATTGCCGGGGTTCACATCCTAATCCAGAGGGATTGGCTCTCTCTGACCAGACTCTGAGAAAAGACAGGAATAGAGGGGAAGGAACGAGTGGAGGTGGATTTGGTTTAAAATGTATGTTGTTTGGATGGAAGACAATCAATATTTCAATACTATTTGATCACATGACTGCCAACAATTTTTCACTGTTTAAGTTGGCTTTTATCAGTGTTGTGTCAAAGCAGTGGGCACCGATTTACACAGCTGTCTAATACCAGCAGGGGGAGACTCCACCGGTTGCAATCATACGTCCACTAAGAAGAATTTAGACGTAGAATAGGTACCTTCTCACATAATTTAGTCATAATTTGAAGTTCCCAGATTTTTTCAATACGATATGACATTCATTTCAGTCAGGACAGGTCCTAAAATCTTCACTTACAGCCAAAATGCTCAACTGGACATCTGCGTAAAAGTTGCACAAACCAATAAATGACGCCACAGTGCCTGTGTTTTCTTCTTTTATGTAGCACAAACTTAATTCCATTCAAGAAATGCACAAAATGAGACATTTTTAGTCTGTGTTCATAGGAGGAGGAAACTTTTTGTGTATCAAAACAATCTAAAATAGCCTGATATGGTTAGCAAATGACATCATGCACACATCTTAACTACACTACAGCAGAAGATGACGTTAAACATGAGGGATCTAAAAACAACCAGGTTGTTTACAAGAAAGCTGTAATAAGCTGCTCCACAGCAGTGTGCGCACCTGTCACAGTGAGGAGCAGAGCAAGAAGAGAGTTAGCGCTCTGATCTGGGTTTGTGTCCCATCTCCAAAAAAATGAATTAATAAAATGACAGCTGATATACCTGGGAGTGATGCCAAGGTACAGTCTATGTATGGATGTTTGTTATCTTTTTTATATTTCTCGTAGAGACAGCAGCCTGCCGAGTCGAAGAAAAATAAAACTTTTATTCGCGGAGATCCAACAGGTGTGGTTGTGGTTTTTAGCACCTATTCAGCAGACTAAGGTAGCTAGTTAAAGCTACAGAAGAGCCAAGCTTCCTGCAGTAAAGTCGGATCGGGGTCCGTTTTTGTTCGTTAACAAACAGAGTCCAACAAAACAAATCGAAACCTACCTTTCTTAGGGATAGGGATCAGTTGGGTCCATTAAATACCCAGTTTGACGGCACAGCCAGACTTAAGAGCAAGTGCTGTTAGTTAAAAACCCTAATTCAGTGTTGAATTTGATGTTGAGATCCATGTCGACATCAGCAGAATAAAAGCTAGTTCTGTAATTATAGAGGTAACGTACGATTTCATTGTCAAAGTTGGGCTGGAAAAAGAAGAACTTGGCAAAAATAAATTTTACGTTACCATGATGTGTTCAAATGCCGTGTCGTGAATGTTTTTTTTTGCAATGAAAACTGTAAAAGTACTATTGTTTAAAGAAAAAGACAAGACAGTGGTACCAGTGAGAACTTGAATCATAACAGTCTTGTTAATGGTATTCATATGGCTAAAAATAACAATCCCATTATCTAAACTTCCCTAGCAGACTCAATGCAGTTGTTTGGTCTCCACCAGGGTTTATTCTGCAGCTTTTACAGCAGCACAAACAAACCTCATTAACTTGGCAAATGGGCTGGAGTTCGTTTTAACAGAACCAAACAGGTTAGATGTGAAAGCACCCAAGACATTAACTAAACGAAGAATAGTGTGCATCCAACAACAGACTGTTTTTCAATGAAACCAACATCTTTGTTTAACTTAAAGAAAGTGTCCAAGTTGCCTAAACTTAACTTATCGTTAAACAAAATACACATCTATATTCAAGAATAAATACACATCTACCGGAAGGTGTTGGTGTATTTATATGAGAGAATGTGCGTTAGCGTGTGTGCCTACAATTCTCTCGGTTTCAGGTGGGCAGCACACATGCCTGCAGACAGAAACGGAGTATTAGAGCCTTCCCATTGGTCCCCACAGGTCCATGCACTGAAAGATGCAGAGTACACATCCTGCAGATTACATTAGTGCACACCGAATACATGTGTGTGCAGAGCGTGTGCATGTGTGCATGACTGTGTAAGAGTGCAAATGCAGCACAGTGAAGCCAGCCATGCAGAACATTGCATGGACAGCATCATGCAAAGACCGCTGCAGCTCCGGTGCTCTGCAGTTCCATTCACAAGAATATATTTAATACCATCTCAAGAGTGAATGTCAAAGAAATTCTCATTCTTTTAGATTAAACATGAGCTCTGGTTGAATGGCCATTTTACCGAGACAGTTTTTTTCATATACTACAATGGTATGGTAATGAAATCTCCAATCTTATCAGCCTCATATCTACGCTGTGCTCTGACAAAGCACCCAGATGTATCCGGTAGCAACAGTGAATCGCATCTAAAGGAGCAGTCAGTAAGGGAGATGTACTTTGATATGAAATATTGATAGCCGTGGCTGTGTACTTGAATTGCAACAAAGTGGTTGTAGACAGAAACAGGGAGTTTTGAATGGAGGAAATGTATCACAGAGAATGTACAGTGGAAGACAGAGAGGAGAGAGGGAGAGAGAGGGGTGAGCTACAGTGTGTCAAAGAAACAGACTGCAGAGGCATAAAAAAAATAAAAGCGTGGTAGTTCCAGCTTCGCCGGGCATAGCACTTTGGTGTGGGTTGTGACTCTGTGACCAGGACAGCGACATGGCTGCAATCCAAAAGATTTTACAGATAGCCTCAGGGCTCTCCCCTCCTCTCCTCCGTTCCTGCTTCCTTCTCCCTCCCAGAGTTTTTGTTCCTTAGCCACGCACATAGAAGCCTGAACAAGGGAGGAAAAACACACCACTGAGGCGCAATCAATAGTCCCTAAATAATTTCCTAACTCTATTTATTTGATGTTTGCTTCGATCCAAGGCTTTCATCAATATTGCTGTCAAATGAAATAATGTTGTATTTGGCTCTCCCCTCCCTGTTTCTCCTGGTCACAGCAGATTGGGGTAAATGTTTAATGACCATGTGTGTTTAGCCCACGCCTTGAGGTGCACAGCTCCCTACAAAGCACATTACACTCTGAAAAGAGCAGGAGCACAAAACAAAGGCTGGGTGTTTCCCAAGCACGCGGTGGATGTTGAGGAATCCCCCCATCTCCTTTGGGTCTCCCTTTCTCTTAGACATATTCTACTGCCCATTTTAATAACACTTAAACCCTGACTTCAGTTTGCTTTTACCCTTTGATTCCATTGCAATGAGAATGATCATAATGTTGCTGAAAAAAATGTCGCTGATGAAATAATGCTTTGACTTTTATAACGCTTGCTGGCACCACACTGGTGTTGATGGTAAATGCTATTATTTGATTTATAGGGGCCAACCTATGACTGTTTAGAAAGATGGACGATGCGTCTTCACCTTCTCCAATTGTACAAAAATGAAGCCAAGGTGCTGACATTTACGACTTCCAATGTTTAGGTGAGAGGCTGCGCAGTGGGAGTGCACCACAGACTGAGTATAACTATGGACGACACTCCTCCATCTCCCCCTGTTGTTCAAAATTGAAGCCACTATGCATTTGATAACAATGCTTACGTACTGTGCTGACGATGCTGAGCCGGAGTCCGTGTAGGCGGGATCAGCTGGTGCAGCCTCAGTATTGACGCCCGTCTCTTTCCACTCACCAAAACACAAATGTAAATTATTGATAAAACTGCTCAGGTTCCCTAAGTTGGAAGTACACATATGGAAAGCCTAATGACTTATGCACCACTGCATACACCCAATCGACAGTTACGCATAAGTACCATGTGCAAACAGAGCTGTCAATCAGGGTGTTTTAACCTATTTTGTATCATCAAATGCGTGAATAAAACTTACATAGCATAGGATGATAAAAACTAACTTTAATGATGGTAACCTTGATTTGGAAAAACACGTTTGATATGAAATTGATACGTCCTATTTGCTGACCTCCCATTAATTATTGATAAGTAGGCTTAAAGTCTCATGTGATGCATGTTGACTCAGAGAGACGGAAGGAGGGCATACAGAAATGCAGGTTCATGATACCCAACCTTAAGGCGGGAGGAGAACTCCAAATGTCTTGGCTTCTCTTTTGGGTTGCTGTCACGTCATCCATCTATTTATATAGACTTAGGGTTTAACTAGTCACAGTATCCAGTTAGTTCATTGACTCAACTCGTCACCAATAACAATCAAATGTGTTTAGGCAATGCTGGAGGTTGATTCCGACACTGTTACTGAGTATTGCAACTCCTCCTACTCTACTCAAACCGTCCTTCCCCTGAGTAGTCATGGCCTATCTCATTTTGAAGTTCAAAGCTTATATCTGTGTTTGTATACAGTATGAGACATATTTGCATTTAGCTGACTGGGCTGAAATTGTGACGGGGGATAATGTGCAGCAGTACAAACAGAAAAACACAGCAAAGTCAAGGTGTTAAGTTCATTTGGGGACTTTATAGACAGAAATTTCTTCTCACAAAGGAGCATGTAATCAGGAATTCATGGCGGTGATCCACTTTACCTGCGCCCAGTCCATTATTGATGCTGTAAAACACCAGGGCATCAATTCTTCAAATCCTGTTTCAATTCCTCTCTTTTCATTCCGGTCTGCTACTTTATCTATTTTTCTCGTCTCTTTTCCTCCCTTGATGTCAATCCCTTTTTTTCTGGCTTCTATTTGCTTCCACCCACACACCCACCCACCATCCTCAGCTCCTGTTTCCAGCAGAGAAAACTGCCCTGTGTTTTACTCCTCCCCTGTCGTGGACACACCATGCAACCTCGATCATCCAAAATAATAGTTTACTCTGCTTTTTAGAATTACATGCCAATGTGTTCAGCTATTTTTTGCAATAGATCAAGACCTGAAGGTCCAGCTTTTGTGTCTCCCCTCATTGAACTCTGTGCAACAAGCCCACAGGCCCGTGCAGGGAGAGTGCAAGTCATCACACCACATAATCTGACGCCACCGGGTAAGACAATTTAGGCAAATTAGCAAGAGAGCCATCCATGCCCTGCTACTAATCTGGCATAAACACAGAGTGGGCTATTTAAAGTGCAGTTTCCACTGTGACAAGTCAAATTTAGCGCAGCTCCAGAAGTGCATGGATATCACTTTATCATCCTGATAGCTTAATCCCTTCTTTGTGTGGTCATGCAGGAGGCAGAGATAGAGGGTATGCAGCTTGAGGTTGGGTCGTGAATAGTGTGAGTTTGTGTTCGCAAGCTTGTTGAGCTCTGACTGGAGCACAGAAATAAAAAGGAAATGCCAAATATTTCTAGAGATATGGAAAGGTAGCGGAGAGGGAGTGACCATGATGGATTGCAATGTGTGTTTATGCTTCTAGGAATAAGAGAGAAAAATGTTCAGAGAGAATGTGAAACTTGTCTGGGGTTAAAGTTGAAGCAGCTTCAAAAAGAGGCAGCAGGAGTGTTTGCTTCAGATAGTGGGGTGTTTAAACACAGCGAACTCCCACACAACTGCTTCCAAGACACTGAGAAACCCAGTGAGAGGGATGTTTACCTCATTCCAAAACACACACATGCCACAGTGAGTTTGTGAATGTGGTCTGCACATTTCCTATCCATACTTCAAGTTCCACTGACGAAATCAGGACTATTTGATGTAGTTTTTATTTGACTGTAATGTAAAGATGTGCCTCTGCAAACAGGGTGGAGCATACTTATTACAGGCCTGGAAAGTATGTGAGGTATTGATGGGCTGAGATATGGAAAAAGCTGATGGACTGTAGCCGAGGAAACAGAATGTAAATGTGAGAAGGGTAGCTATACAGAGGAGGCGTGGAGAGAAAGATCAGAGGAAGCAGCGAGAAGTAAAAGAGCGAGATGAGAGAAACAAACGAGAGATGGTGGGATGAAGGGCGGGGAGTGGTTGGGAGGGGGACTAATGTGTCCTTCATGGGGTGAGGCTGGACAGAAATGGCTCAGCATGAAGCTAAATTGACTCCATTACAGGAGCAGTGCACCGGAAAGCATCGGTGACATCACCCGCCCATCCTAGACAAGCAGTTACATCTCCCAGAGGGAACAATGGAGGCAGCCTCCCTGCAGGATGCAGCAATCCCTGCGGTCGACGCATGTGTACTGCTGCTTTGCATGTTTTTGTATGCAAAGCAGCAACAAAATGAAAGAAACAGAAAAACAACAGGTCAATTCTGTGAACTTTGGAACAAGTACCATGAAGGCATTAAGGATGCAGAAGGGTGCACCAAAAAATATATACATATGTACAGTGTATATAAATTTAATTTCCTCATATTTTCATATCTGAAATGCAAAACCTTTGTGTGGTCTATGCCTTCAATGGTTCAATGCCTTTCAACAGCAGAAGAGGGCATTTAATGTTTGTTTTTATTCTTATTTTTGTCGGAGGGAGCACTCTCTCATGCCTTAAGCTAGAGGACAGCACAGTGGACAGCCGGAAACTGGGGGAGAGTCGGGGTGACACGCAGCAAAAGAGCCGCAGGTTGGATTTGAACCCAGGTCCCCCGCTTCAAGGACTCCTTCCTCTGTGTATAGGGCACACGATTCAACTGCTGGGCTAAATCAGTGCCCCACTTTATGTTTGATGTATGAAAGAGTAGCAGGTCTTCCTTTTTCCCCTCAAAAATTAATGTCTTAAATGTTCATTTCTGGTCCACAATGTTCGTGCATGAAATGTTATTAAGAAATATATCAAGAAATATCCTGGAGAGGCAGTTTCAAGGCCTGGGTTGAAACTTTTTTTTTGAGCACTCAGCTTCAGTTAACCCTTGTTTATATTTGGATATAAGTAGCCCGGTTAGGTTGGCAGACACAGTACCTTTAAACTAAACCTATAAGCCTGTAAGAAAGCTGCCTTGAGTGTATCCATGTCACATCGTCACCTGGACTGACGATCACAATATAGCTGCTAAATCTCTCTTAGCTACTCTTGTTTAACCTCAAACAAGCTTACAACAAATTCAGCATCAATATCAACAACTCCACTAAAAACAGAATAACTTGAGTTAAAAAAAAATGCAGTTAAAATTCTGCCTTTAATCCTACCTGCCAGCCAGGATCAACAGCAACACCCTGGAATCCATATCGGCTGGTTTCCAGTGTCAGTGCTCATGCAGAGGCTTAAGAGAAGGTCAGGCCACCACAAGTATGAGAATCACATGCCAATGTGTCATGCCGCTCTGTGTATTTGTTTACTAACGCACTCGAAGTTTTAGTTTATTCACCAAGCCTCGTTACTGATACAGTATCAGACTGGGAGGTTCGGATTAACCTCGTGTGTCCAAACTTCACCTTCAGATCTGATCCATACACTTTTCGAGACAATGTTCTCTCCACCAGGTCCTTTTTTCTGCTCTGCCATTCATTCCTGTTACTTGCCGCTTTACACAGTGTTCCAACTGTTGACTCATACCAACAGGGGCTTCCTCTGAGTTCAGAGCCCTCGGTGTTATTTATAGAGGCAGAAAAGACAAGAAGGAAGATGTAACCAAGACAACAGTGGATACTTTCACACTTCCCACTGAACTGGGCTGAATGAAACCGAAAGCATACAATTATGTCTGTTTCCTGCGACACAGCTGCCTGATTATAGAGACAAGAGCGTGCACCAGCTGGAGAACACATCCAAACAAAAGCAACTGTGGAGCTGGGTCTGCGGCGTGTAAACACCTTTCCCCACAGTAGCATCTTGTAAAAAAATTCCAGTAGTGTTTGTCTGCGACTCAAATCGGCTCGTGTTTCAAGTTACTGCCAAAGTTAGACAAAGCGGGGCTTCACTCGCTCTCCCTATTGTCTGAAACAGTAAGCGCTGAGTTGTCTGTTGGCTTTCCATAAAGGGATGTATTCAGATAATGAACACTGAACAAGGGCAGAAAAATATGGTATGCACCAGCAAGCGACTGATTAGGGAAGGTTAGAGCAGTAATTATGCAGCGGTATAGAGTAGTTAATTAAAAAGGAGCACTTGGCAAATCAAGCGTGTTAGACACGTAGAGCGCAAGATGGAGGCGCCTCGCCACCAGACCTGGCAAGGACAGTGGGAATTGTGCAGCTGCGTCCGCTCTGGCCAATGGCCCAGACCTAGGTTAGTGCCCACAGCCTCCTCTCCATTTCCCCCGATCAATCCCTGGCCTTTCTGCGATGCCAGAGCACCTGCTTTCTGTCCCTACCCCGACTGATTTCCATCTATTCCTGTTTCCTATGGGAAGCAGGCCAGTGAGGACAAAGCAGGGAGACCCTCTCATGGTTAATGCAATATAACTAGGTTGTCTACTCGTCTCATCTCTCTGGCCCTTTCCATAATTGATGGCTTTTTCCAGAGGAATTGTACGGCTACTGGTTTTGGCCAGATGGTTTCTAATCCATGTTCAACACTCATAGATCAGAGGTCTTCCAAAAGGTCCAGTTATGCCTGTCGCAGGAGGACGAGCATGTCTTGTGTATCATATTTCAAATTTGATCTGGCTTCACATTAAGTATTCCCTTGAATCTTTTGTTCCCGCCTGGCATTTGATACCTCTCAGATCCTGATCCTCGTGTTTGTCTTGCTCTTCACTTTTGTGCTGGAAAGCTCCACAACAATAGGGATCATGATACGGCTTTGTGTTTGCAATGCTGAGCAGTAATTAGTGCATCAAAAGAATACAGGCGGACATTGTGGTCTTTACAATTCACTTAACCCCCATTATCTGGACTGATTTGATCTGGTTTCCCCCCTTACTCTCATTAGCAGGGTAATTATCAAACAGAGCCCCGAGACACTGAGCTGGAGCACAACATTTGGTAGAGCAGGATAGCTCTGTTATCCTACTCCTATTAAGTAGACACATCCTGACTCAGCATTTAGTAACTGCTTAAACATTGCCTAAGTCCAGAACTTTGAATCCCCAAACTCCGAAGAATGGACTGATTGGTCTTAATCCTGACTAGAAACAGCAGTTACTGGCAGATCGCACACCAAGAACTGTGCTGTGCAAGAGATAAAAATGATATGAATCAATACGATAATGGCTAAAACATACAGTATGCATATTTGGAGTGTGGCAGCAGTGTCGCGTATCACTCAGCATATAGGTTGCTATTCTGATCAATGCAGCAAAGCATACAGGACACGTATCAGCTCTGTCGCAGCATTGTATCAAGAGCAGCACTGCTAAAATACGCTGCGAGTCTATTTTTGCTGCTCTACGCTTCCAATGCGCTTCAATCCGCACAGGGAAGATCATTCCAGACAGCAAGTCAAACACGAAAAGCATGCATGTCATCCGGTATTTCAAAATAAAACGCCATATGCGAACTCCCAACTGTGTATCAGTTCATGTAGATGAGAAATACTTCCTGGTTATGGATTTATTAGTTATACAGAACAATTGGATGGTCAATCCCTGATCCATGTGGACCCCAACAGGACTTTGAACAGGACTTTGAACAGCTACTCTGTCTGAAGGTAACAGCACAGCATACAGGAACATAGTTTACTTTATGAAACACGAGTAAACCTGCAAAAACCGAAACTGAAAAATCATGTTGTTTTTTTACATACAGTAAAGGCTCAACAGTCACTGAATTATACCAAATTCAATAGTCTGTATTGATTTTGGCGCCCCCTGTGGACAAAGCAATACATCATATCTCAAGGCCTGCGTGTGAGAAGTATTTTCCACTGAAAAGTCAAAATAAAGCTGTTTCCACAGTTTTTGATCAGCAGGTCTGACACCTACCCCCACAGTTAGATTTCAGGCCAATCAAAAATTATATCTGAAAATATTTCTACCATGTTGCTGTTGGTCTCATTTGCTGCTGAAGGTCATAAAAAGGCATCATGATCAGTTTTTCTAGACTTGTTAAAAACTCATACAGGTATTTGTATATTAATATTTGGTTTTAAATTGACCTACCCAGGGATACTGATCCACAAGAACTGCTTTGTCTCATCCTTTATAGCAGAAATAGTCTTTTTTTAAATTCCCATTCCTGTTATAAACCTTGAGTCTAGCAATTGGTATGAAAAGTCAGATTTCCAAGCACCATTGAAATCAGTAAAAAAGAGGCAATTTCGCACCAGAGATAACAGAGTGCCAAGTGGACAGTTCTGCTTGATATTACCCTAGCTCTTAAGTTCACTTAGAAAGTCATAAGAACAATCTGGAACTTTTCACAGTAGCTTCGCTGTGTCTCTGTTGCTATGCTTTCAGTGTGCCTCCATCTCCTCATTGGCTAATAGCAGAGTGACCCTGCTGTGAGAGCGATTCCTGTGGCCCCTGTCATCACAGGGCAGCACTCAATCACCACAATTAAAGCTTTATGTTTCAGGTCGCCAGGTCTATCATTCCACAGGAGGTGAAATGAAAGACACTGTGTGTAATGTATGTGTAAATATGTATGACACAGACTGTGGAAGTGGGCCCATGGGAAGCAGTCATTCATAGAAAAAGGGAAGGAGAGCTGGATTGAAATAGTAGGGGGTTTAACCTGTCCTTGCATTTATGCTAATAAATAAGTTTCACACTTAGCAGTTGTCAACACAGGGGGATAAAGGTTTATATAGAAACAGCTGATCAAGGCAAAGTTAAGGGTGTGATAGAGAGTGAAAGAGGGAGCAAAGAAGAAAGAGTGTCTTTGGACGGGACAGAGGACTTTTGATGTAGAGCTGGCTCGGCTTTGGTGAGCGTCCCTCCGCTTTTGTTCAGGTGCACTCTGGCCAGATCTGAAACAGGCTGACTCGGGCAGCTCTTTGGAGGCTTATTTCCTTATCAAAGCGTGCTACCTCTTAGAAACCATGACTGTGAGGCTGCCTTACTGTCCGCCCTGTCAGTTTATTTAAATGAATCCAGTTTTTATGCAACCAAGTCAGAAGGGCAGGGCAGGCGTTTCATCCATTTCCATTTCTGTCGGAGGAACGCCTCGCTCTGCTCGCGCTGATTTGTTGCCAGTGAAACTTTTAAAGTTTGCATTTAAATTATTCATTTGCAACTGCCGAAAATAATAATCTTCTGAATATTTTCAGGGTTTGTGTCACAGTCCAGCATCACTACATTTCATTAATACCCAAAAAGGATTTACAAGACACCGTGCACTCTGGTAGTCTTGCCTTGTGTTGCTGTTAATGTGTCATGTGGCTGCCACCAGCCTCCCCGTTCAATCTCTGAAGCTATATTAGAGCTCTGTTAAGTCCCTGCAAGCATTTCTTTCTGCTATTTGTTCATGTTCAGTGTGCAAGTAGAAAAACATCCAAATTTATTTGTGGCTTTGGTTGTCTGACAGCAAAATGTGTCAACAAAAGAGGTCGATTTCTGCATTTTTTAAACAGTTATAAATTAAGCTGAAAGTTTGAAATGGGAGGCTGTCAGATGAAGAAACGCAAGGACACTGACTTCTTGGGTGTCTGCAGCAGTGGTGCTAACTATTCATGCTGTGTGCACCCCAAAATCCAATTTATATCTCTCTAGAACAAATTATTTTTTCACTGAGTTCCATAAAAAATAAAAAATCACTGAGTTTGTTTGGCTCCAAAAAGATACTCAATTTCGTTCTGGGTTTATTCCTGAAAAAGCGGCTTCAAAAGGAGCTTTTTTATAAAAACAATTTTTTGGTACGCACTTCTGAAGACTCCAGTCACAGGAAATGTTGCCAAATCAATCCTGACTGAAGTCTAACAGGATTTTAAATGCAAGATGTGGATTGACATGAAGCTGACTGTAAAAGGAAAGCTGTTCAGAGATTTTTGGCTCTTATTCACTGGGCTCACCATTCACAGTTTATAGCAGAAGTACAAGACGGAGACACATGAACAAGACTGTCTAAATATATCCATATGCAGGTTGGGTATATTCTAAGGTGGAATCAGACAAGGCTCTCCCTGTGGGCGCTCTCTCTCTCTCTCTCTCTCTCAGGCTTTATTTTTATGTCTCGACAGCAGGACTGACTCCGCTGTGCTGACTCTGCTGTGCTCTACCTGTCCTACGAATGTGGCACACTCCCCCTCATCCTTCTGTGATCCCGCCCACACAACAGCAAGCCGACATGGCCGTTGGCAAAGTTAGCTTTTTCTGCACACATCAGAGAAATGTACACACAAGATAAAAAAAAAAAAAACAGTGAGAGGAAAAGAGACTGAAAGGGAGTAGAAATGATTGACATGAACTCGTACATGCAAGATTAATAAAGAAAAAAAGGCAAAAAAAATCAAAGAAGGGGAAAGAACCAAGAGGTTGAGGAGACATGCAGGAAAGAAGAGAAAGAGGGGCTTAGATGATGGAATACAGTAGAGATAGCTGAGTCACTTGGCTTCTGTCTGAATAATCAGATATTGTTATTCATGTGAAGCAAGCTGCTCCACACTGCCACGGGCCATGTGCAAAAGCTGAATGACTGTAAAGAAAGCGAATGACAAACTAATGGACTTCTGGGGGAGTGTGAGGAAGCACTCTATGGGAAGCTACGTGGATGTGCACACTGTTTACTTTGTGACATTTGAAACATCACTCTGGCTTATTATTGGTTTGTTTTCTTATTTTGTATGAGGATCATTGAGCTGGACCCTAATAACAGAGGGGCAATGAAAGAGTAAGAGAAAGGTTAGCTATATGTTTTCTGCTATACTTAACCCGACTGGGAACCTGTTTTCAGTGAGATTGTGTTGGCAGTTTGAAAAGCAATTTCGCTTGGATTATTTTCTTCTCTTGTATTTACTTCAAAGAGAACAATAACTCTATATTACATGACCTGACCAAAGCTGGGGCACACATACACACACACACATATATATATATACACACACCCACACCTCAGTGTAGAAATACATAAAAGCTCCCACATTATGCTCCACAGAGGATGCTAGTTAAGCTATAAGCAGATCATGTAACTGCACTTTATGCATAAATGCACATGCCCCCGTTACTGTACATTTGTTCTCTCTCTTTCATGTTCACACACAAAAGGTGAAGACACACATATGTCCCCTCACCTCATCAAACCTCATAACACTCTGACATTTCATCTAAACCCACAGGAAGGGCAGAACTGGGGGCTGCGAAACCATGAGTGAAGCTACAGTAATAGCTCTCACTTTCTCATCCAATACAGAGTCCAATCTGTATTCTGTTTCTCTCTCTCTCCCCTCCTCTCAGGGCTGTTAACTCGTGTTTGTACCCCTCCAAACACTATGTCTCATGTTTAAACCAAACAATGAGACATCATTGCGGCCCCCTGTTCAGGTCCCCACAATGCATCATACCATCAATTATGAACAAATGGAGGGGTTTGATGCAGCGCTCAACAGCTGGATATGATTCGCGGAGAGGCAAGTTGGTAAATTTGTTATTCTTTGTGTAGTGCCGATGAATCACTTTGCCCCAGACACTAGATATCTTTGCTAAACCATGGAGGCAGACGGAGGGCACGTAAAATACTATTTGTCTGTCAGAACGCTTGGACCCATGATAAACACCACAAACATACAGGTATACAGCAAACTGATAGGCAGTGCTGGACAAACAGCTGGAAAAACAGACCAGTTCTTTATCAAAAACTGCTCATTCATATGACATTTGGGCTACAGGATATGTTAACACAGGATTTTTTACATTTAGCCTGTAGTTTTTAGAGTTTTCACTTCCTTCAGCTTTGAACAAAAGCATCTTTAGATCAGTTTACAATTTAACTTCTTCACCCAAACACTAATTCTGTGTTTAATACGACCAAGAAATAAAAAAAGATGTTAGCTTTAGGCTATTTAAAGATTAGTTATTTTTAGGGTTTTTTTTCTAGCTGTTTACTAGCTAAATGTTTGCTCAAGGGCTGATGAGACAGTTGTGGATAAGTACCTTGACTTTTTAAATGTTTTAAAAAGATCATAAATCACCAACTTCAATCTTGAAGGTGAAGTTCAGAGTAAGTTTGAGTTAAAACTTGTTGTTATATAATATTTCAGAGTTTAAGTTTTCTTGTATTTTAAAGCAGTCCTTTCTTTAGTGTGGATTTTTGTGTTTTATTTATTTATTTTTTTAGCTTTTTGCCTACGGGCATAACATCATTAATACCACGATCCTTTCTGTATCTCTTAAGACCTCTCACAATTCAGTGAACTGTATGAATTTAAGTACAACCTATCTCTCAGCCATAATAGTTTCCTGTCCCGGTGCTCCCTGGAAAAGCCAGGTGCATTCATCGAGGGATACGTTATCATGATGATGCTAAATCAGTCACTTGTGTTCGGGGTGTAAATGCAGTCTTAGGTAGAGGCTGAAAACTACAGCATGAGGCTCTCTTCATGCCATATTTTCCTCCGCATAGAAACCATTATTCTGTTTCATTTGTCACATGAGGCATGCAGGACAGCGCTGTGATTAATGGGGGTTTTATGTTCATGTGCACATCTCATTCTTCTCCCCTCTTACAGTCTTGTCTTCATTTCATTACCCTGTTTCTATATTTCCTCTTTCCTATTCCTCCGCGCTTGAAAATGTTGAATGATACGTCTTTTCCTCTTTTTTTTGATGACACATAATGAGCATCAGTGCTTGACGAATTTGATCAAGGGTGGGCGTGAGCAGATGGATGTCAGTCACCTTGCATAGACATGATAGATAGCTGGTTAAATAGATATGTTAGGTTTGATGTATAGGCCGGTAAATGATCTGTTATGCTCTATTTTAGACTTCAGGGTAATTTGTCAGTGAAATTTGACATTTTGGGAACACTATAGTGCCCAAGGTTTGGCAAAATTCAAATACAATACATTATGTTTGTCAGGTGGATCTATACTCCCTTTTTCAATTTATTTTAAAGGAAGACAAAGTTCCACTCCTTTCAAAGTCCTTAAACTTTGTTGTTCTGTAGGAGAACCCCCTCTGGAGACATTGGCTGCTTTCCCTGACCCTCCCTCTGACCTCCCATGTCCAGGGGGACAAGAAGATGGGTGACAGTAATTAGCTACCCTGTGGAGATCGGGGTGACATTACCCGAGTCTAATTTAACGCGAGCTGATTATATGACACACTGACACACCTGAAGGGTTTCATCACCGTATAAAAGGATGTGAGAGGAATTTTGTGGTATCCTCCCATAGGCTAGTCGTAATGAAAGCATCGATCGAATCTTATGACGAAACCGTTTCTGAGGTCTGGCGCTGTTGGCAATCGAAATAAGAGCTTGGGAGATGTAATGGGGTCCAATATGAACCAACACATTAAAAGGAAATTCCCCAAACTGTCATCCCATCAAACTGCAGGATGTTAAGGGAGACAGCATCCTTTCTGTGGTGGTTTTTAAATGGGTGATAAATTTGTGTACTGTGTGTTTGGCGGACCCACTAATGGTCAAGATGCCCTGCAGCGATCTCCTGCTACAAGTGAATGTTGTAATTTGCTGCATGAAAGCCGTCATTAGCTCGAGCAGCTGAATAATGCTAGGCTGTTGATTGCAGGAAGCTGACGTAATGCTCCTTTTAATAGCAAAAGCCTACATAGCATGTGTGCCATGTGTTCATCAGGTCACTATCATGCAGGATTATCACAATACAATGAAGACACAGATTACACAGATGATGTTCGAGCACACAGCGAGGCTTGTCCCCATCTCGGCAATGTGTCCCGGGAAATATTGACTTTATTACTGCACCACTGACGGCTCCACCCACTGATAACCATCGGCTGCATCAGCCGCTGGTCTCAAGCACGTCTCACTTCATTAACAAGGCCATTATCACTGACGATGCTTATCGGGATGGGGCGGACACTGAGCATGGACCTGTGTGTACGTGGAAGTCTATAGGGGAAATTATTTTTGCAACTGTCAAGGACTTGATGACTTTCCTCTAACCCACATCCGGCGTGTCTAGAATGTGTGTGTGTGGTCCTCTCATTGTATGACATATAGGATCTGCCAGCCCATTCAACACACAGCGCAGCAGGTTTGACACCACATGAAAGGATCTGTTAACGGAGACAAAGAGTTTGTCCGTGTCCTATGATGAGACCCATTTTGAGAAGTTACAGAAGCAAGCCATCATCATAACCCCGCACCATTGTCCATCTCTGCAGCAATTTGTACATCCAGTCTAGTAGCCGCCACCAGCGCATGACTCAGTGCAAGCCAATTATGATTTATCTGTGGCTTTTGCCATGTGAAAATGATTCATGCCCCTATTTTATCCCAAACCATGCAGCGTGCATGGAGTCTGGCACACTCCCTTTAACTGCCTGCATTCATAAATCTCATTCTGAATAAGTATCGATTTGCTTTTATGGTGGAACTTCATATTGTTTACATCCTACAGTTTAGCTCAGCATCACCCCCTGAGTATACCACATCATATACTGGCATTGACACACATTTTTGTAGCATCGCATACTCTAAAGTGTGCTTTTTAATTGTCTTTTTAAATCACGGTGGTTGTAACTTCTGTACAATGGAACGTTAGACTATACAACCCGTAATGTATCATCTTTGCATTATACAGCATGCTGTGGCTGGCCAGAATGTTTTTGTGGACATTAATGATACACTCTGCTGCTAATTGTTGGATATCAGAGCCTCCCTTAAGTCTGTTATGGGAAATAGAGATGGTAAAAGCTCTTAGAGATCACGGCATCACCAGGGAATGCTTTCTCACCACATTCAGCCTCTTCACTCACCAACATTACTGTACAGTGTGTCAACTAGGCAAAAGCTTTATACACTTGTAGGAAGAGAGGCATAATGGGCTGGAAGGCAATCCTTTATTACCATGCTATGCTTACAGTAAATATATGCTGCTTCATTATCATCTTAAGATGCATTTCCTGATTTCACCTCATTATGTTGGTTAAAGAGTACTTCAACATACTTACACTCATGAATACATTTATGCTTATCATAGTGGAAATACTACTGTAGCATGCCTCTTTTTCTTAGTCCAGCCCTGTTTTTGTTTTGTTTTTTTGCACCACATCAAATCTCATGTGCCTACTTTGCAACAAACCCTGATTCTCAAATTGAGCGATTATTTCAGCAACACAGGACAGCAAATATTGTGTTTTTGTGGTGATACTTCCAGGATAAATTGCAGACAAGAATGTCACCGCTAACTTTTTGTGTTCGCACACGATACTGTGACTCACCGTTTGAGGGAGATGCAGTGAAGCGTGGCGTCCCCCGAGTTCATCGTGTCTTCTGTGCGTATTCCCAGAATGCCCTCCTGGAAAAGACAACAATGACAGCTAATAAGTGGATGGTTGTTGGCAGCCAGCCTACCTGTTACTTTATTGAGGCCTAACATAAAACGACATCCAACATGTGCGAACAGTGAGGGAAGGTCACCAAAACTACCACCGAGTTTAAAGCACTCATTTATCCATGCATGCACAAAAACACCAAGTACACACACCTCTGCTTATGTATGCATATGCACGTACTTGCACATTATAGAAAGGCAGGGATAGGGTAGAAAATTTAAAGTTGAGTTAAACCACCTTTGCTGAGATGACACACCAGTTGGCACTGCATTGCCTTTTCCACCTTCTCCACAGACAATGGTGCAGCACATCCATAATTCATAACATCATTACACATGTACTGAAGGATACTCACTCTGATTTCTCTTTTCACTATGTGTGTGTGTGCGTATTTGGGGGAGGTGAGTGCGTGTGAGGGAGAGTTGGGTCATGTTTAACAAGCACCATGGTCAGAGTTGCTGTACAACCTGTCTGAGTCAGTGTTGCATGTTCGCTAAGCATTTGGCTGAGGTTAATCTAGTTAAAAGGGATTGCACCACACGGTGTGTATAACTGTGTGCACTCTGGGATTGTCTGTTTCATCACAGTTTGATATAAAACCTCTCTAAGAAGGAAGTAGAGATATGAGAAGAGGCTAAATTGCCCTGACAGAGAGGCCTGAGCAGAACAGAGTCTCATTTATAAACGTTGAATATGCAGGAAACACCAGCTCAGGACACGAGTGCATCATTGACGTAATAGTTTGTTTATTTCAGCAAACACAGCCAAGGGGGAACTCGTGAAGCCTTACTGTTAAGGAAAATCCGGTTTAAACTGTTTTTTGTGTATTTCAGAAGCTATTTAAAAGCATCAATTAACCTGTAAAGTGTGTAAAGTGTGTAATTACGTGCTTTTTAGCTTTTACAGCACAACAAAGGAGCCGGTCATGTTTATTGGCAGCTACTTCATCCATTTAAAGGTCTGTAAACTCCAGCCTTTACAGCCACAAAACCTAAGATGAGACTGTCTCTGATTTTAGCACTGAACATCACCGAGAGAGACCGAGTTTAGGTGTCCTCTGAACCTCACTACCAGCAGAAGCTATGCTTTGTCGGTGAGAAGCAAAGCTCTTCTTGGCACCAACTTTGACATCCTACCACTTCTTGTAGATTTGCAAAATGCTTCAGCTCGGTGACCTGAAAGTGTCAGTGCTGCTTTGACAGCCTGTCACCTAATAAACATTCTCTCATGACAAGTAGCCTAAAGTAAGACGTGCTCGCTGTGACCTGTAAGCAGGTTCACCTCTGCGACAACCACCTCTGTTTCTCTTTCAACATTCACACTTGAACAAATTAAGAGAAGAAAAGCTGAGGTGTCCTGAATTAACACACACATTATTGGCTGTTAAGTTTATGTAAGAGGTTGCATGCACAGTAAGCAGGGGTGTGTCCAAAAGGGGTGCCATGGCTTTCCTCTTCAAATCTGATTAGTCATCTTAGGTGCCGGCCCAAAACCGTGAACTACGATTGGCTATTTGACTTGTAAGAGGTAAGACTTGTGTAAAAATCCACTATTTGGGCTGCTTGACAGGCCATTTGTAGCTGACTTTCAAAATAAGAAAATACTTAAACTGTTACGAGAAGTCGAAGAGAAATACTTAACACATTTATCCCGGTCAGAAAGTCTGGACCCATCCCTGACTGTAAGGGAAAGTGAGACATTGAGCAATGTCCCACGGGAAGGAGTGCTGCAGTACTTAACGCTAGCTCAGCAATAGTGCTAAGAGGATTCCAATATAATCAGAGCTGTGCTAATATTAAATACAACGACACAACCTCCAGTCCTGTAAAGTCTTCATACCGTAAAACAGCTCTAAAATTAGCTCACAGTGTTACAAGTAATAAAAAGTGGACCCAGACATCTGCCCACAAACGTTTTATGACACTTTTGCTACCTGACTATGTTGGTGTGATGTTAACTGTGTCCAAAGCACCTAAAGCACAGCAGAAGTCCCTGTGCTGTTATATTGTAAATCTGTACTTATGGAGAGGCTCTTTTGTTTTCAGTGTTGATCCTAACTTAAGATAAACATTCACTTTTTTAGCTCCATGAAGCTGAAAGACCTCCACAATTAAAAAGGACATACATTAAAGCTCTATTCAAATAGAGAGGAAAAGCAGCGAGAAAGATAGTCTGATATTAAAAGACAAAAATGTGTTTCAGAGGCAGAGGTGATTTGTGCAGCATGGGATTTTGTGAGTGAAAAAAAAGGTGCGTGCAAAGGAGGAATCATTTTTGGCCTTTGCAAATGCAAGAACTCAAATCCATCTGTTTCATCTTGAACTCTAAACCTCTTTCTTTGTCTATCTCTCACTTTCTTTTCCCATGCCTTCAAACTCATTCTACACAACTCTAATCTTGTGTTCCGAGGGGAGATTAGCCCAAAATCCAGACTGTCCTTAAATCCTGGCATTGCTGCCTTGCCTCAGCAGCCAGAACTACGCACATTATGTCCCAAAGATTAAGATGTGTCTTATAAACTTTATTCTCACAGCCCAAAACCAAATTCAATTAAAGAACAATCGCTGCACAAACTGCACTCTAATTGCTATTGCATCACTGGCTTGTTGGCGTAGTCGCTAAGATGTCTTGGTGTGTTTTTCCGGAAAGCTTCCCCACCCGCATAACAAGAAAGGATTGTACCGGAAGTTTTGAGTGGATAGAGAAAGGCCCACTCAGATTGAATTACTTCGCCATTACTGACCACTTAACAGTGGAGACTTAGGCTCCCTCCCTCCTACCCCAACCACCACATACAGCTGCATCTAGGTTATGAAAGTCTAGATGATAGACACTCCATTTCATCCACTTTCCGGAGACAGAGGTTGGAGACAGATCAACTAGGGAACACACATCAAGCTGCCAAAGTCTGCTGTTGGGACTTGAAATTCTCTAATGTAACATAAAAGTCAGACCTGCAGGAAACATTGCATTGGAAAGTATTAGGGTTAGATTCATATCGGGACTTAATTGCCCTCTCAGCAGATATTGGGTTGCAGATCTGTGGCTCACGGTGGATTGGCGGTAATGATAGAGGTCGATTTCATTGGGATCCATGTGACATTCGTCAGTCAATTCAATCACTGGGACTTAGACGTAAACAGACAATGTGAAAAGTGGATGACTTGACAGCTCCCAAAAGTGAAGCCAAAACATTAGAGCTTCTTCAACAGAATGACTGTGGCACGCCTCTAACTCGGTTCTTTAATGTTAAAAGATGGTACATGGATAAAATGCACTTTTCTCAACATGGCCTCTGTCAGTATGATTTATCTGTTTTGTGACCCTTAACCTGCTGAACCCACCTGCTTTAACTCTGGTTCAAACCCATCACCAGCACTTCCTAATGGGAATGTAGAAAAGTACATTTGGTTGAACTGCAAATCATTTCCTTGTAGTCCTTTTTTATCTGAAGTACGTCACAACTAATGGCAAAACCACGTCTCATTAAACCACTGAATTATGCTAAGAATTGGTGTAATTTACTCAACATAATACTGCTTTCAATTGTATCCAGTCATTTTTCATCAGTCTGAATTATCTATGAAGGAAGGAGCTTTTATTTGACAGATTTCACACTCTCATATCCGGCCGGGGGCTCTTGTCCTGGATTAGTGTCTTTCTGCTAAGATGACATCGCCTCACAGGTCAAACCCGCAGGAAGAATTGAGGTCAATTGAGAAATAACAAAGGCGTCAGTGGTGTCCGCTGATAAGGCTAGTTACCATGGTGACAGAATGTAATGGCCATCGAGCTCTGCTGTTGTTGTAATGAGTGGGACTGTGATAAGATTAGATCACTTGAGTACAACACTGTAAGGGACGAGGGACAAGGTGGTGCAGGAGATGTGTGACACCCAGGAAGGACTGATCGGATCATTTCAGGGTTGTGAACATTAATGTATCATGAGACGTGAACCTCTGTTGACCTCCTCGCTGTCGGGCACAGAGGTTCACCAGTAGAGTCTTTGCACGGATTAATGGGATAATCTAAGGCTGATTTAATTATGATATACACAACTAGTTTACAAACAGTTTAAAAAAAAAAAGAGTGTGAAATTCTGACAATATCAAAAGTGATTTGGTGTTTTTTGAGGAAAATTGTAAACGACATGACTATTTTGGTGTCACTTAAAGGCACTATAAGGAGTTTTTAAATGGTAAAGAAATAGACTGAAACTGATGCCTCTATGAGTTTCAAATAAATGAGAGCATCAGAACCAAGGCTCATCATTTCACTGTTGCAATTTTCAATAATTAAAACAGCTGTGAAGGGGTGGTGTCTGATCAAATGATTGACAGCAAACAGCATTTTTGATTTGGACATAATTAATACTTACAGTTTGTTTTATATTCCACTGTTTAAAGATTACAAGATGAGGTTTGCATCCCAAAATACTGCTTTTATATGTATAGGAGGAGACAAATGATATTAGTGTGTCCACAAGGGGGCACCAATATCAACACAACTCAAAAGTTTAGCACAAATGAGTTTCAGTATCATGTGAACTCAGTTATTGTCAGTTTGCTGCAATCCCACACGAAAAGAGTGGCTAAGCACAAGAGAGAGGCACAAGAAAAAACGACTGCTGCAAAGAAGCATGGATGTAATCGATCAAGGATTAAAACTGCATGAACAGCTTAAGATTGAAGTGTTTAAGAGTGACATGTTATCACCTCCACAAAACGTCTGTCGTCTTCTCATTTATTTAGAGCTTTCATTGAAAAATGTTTTGCACTCATTATAAGAGCAAACAAAGCAACCTGGGCATCTCTGTGCGTGCCTGGTACTCGGCATAATGATGGAAGCCTCCCACTTTTCCTCTGAAGTGATTTATTCATTAATTAGCTGCAGCAGTGCACTCCAGAGCCACAGCTTGTTAGCTGCTTTGCCAGAATATCATCTATTCTGAGTTTGCTGGCACTGCTGACCCTCTGCTCTCTGCACAGATGATTGTTTGCTCCTCGCTTGGTGTTACACATTGTTCTGCTCGGTCGGGTCAGCATGGAGACACACTTGTTGTATTGGTTATATAAGTGCTGGTTTTGGAGAATGAATATTTGATTGGGGCGCTTAATGCAGAGTGAGCGTTCAGATGAGGAGGCGGTCAGTGGGCGGAGAGCAGCGAGCGGCATCTCTGTCCAGAGGCTGGCAGGGAGCCAGCATAGAGGAGAGCTTTTACTGTACCCACTCCTCTGCTCTTCTATCTGCTTGCCAGTGTTCTTTTCCACTCCTCTATCCCTCTCCTCTCCTCTTCTCGCCTTCATTCCCCAGCCCGTCATCTTTCTTTGCACTTTAGCTGTCAGTTTTCACTCTTCTTTGCCTTTTGATTCCTCTTTAGTGCTGATTTTCATCTTCGTTACCTGCTTTAAAAAAAGCTCGGGCATAGTCAACACAAAGTCCGGGGGCATTTGAGTGTTTTCCAAAACACTGACAAATTTGGACTGAAGAGGGAGTGAAATCCAATGTGGGATGTGTTTTTGTGTATGTCTGCACATGGCTGGCCAAGTGCTCATATTTATGTATTTGACTACATGTGCATCACAGCGCAGGAGAGACATGGGGGTGGTTCAGTCACATGTATGAATAGTGAGGGATACACATGTCAGTAAAGGTTGTAAATGAGTAATCTGAAGCCTAATTACAATGCTATGTAAATGAGAAGAGTTATGCAAACATGGATAACATAACAATGCAGCAGTGCCAGTGATACCAGATCTCAATTGATAGCAATAAAAGATTTCAGACTGCAGTGGAGTTAGAGTTGGAGAGAAACCTCATTCAAACCCTGAAGTAATAACTGGGGAAAGCTTTCCTCTGTAAATATCTTTTGATGCTGTTTAAATCCTGCTCAAATCATAGAGGGGTGAACCATGCAGTGAAGGAAAATGAGCCTCGGGGCCACTTTCAGTTATAGAATACCAAGTAACTTCTCACCTTGTACTGACAGAGCGCCTCGAACTTTATTAACAGAGAGACGAGCTGAACCTGCATTGGTTATGGTGATTATGCTTTATAGCACTTACTTAATGAGAGGGTAAAACATTTTTTTTCACATAAAGTTGTCTTTTTTGCTTTAAATCAGTGAGAATGTGATAATTTGTTACTGCTGAAGACGTTGACTTTGACTCCTCCAACTTCAGATGCTGTTTTTACTATTTCCAATTATCTGTAGACTTAAAAAGCTTCATCATAAGATGGATTTTTATACCTTTTTTGTTATCAAATATGTGTAATGGTATAAAATGCAGAGAGAGCTGTTATTTTACTGTGTAAAGATGACATTTGAAGAAGCAAGCAACTGCCTGAGTATGTAAAATACACATCTGCACAAATCTGCTGATCCTTTTCTCTCTCGCTGGGTTGTATGCGTGTTATCTGGTAAAATATTGTATGAAAACAGGCATGTGTTATGGAGTAAATTAACCCGTTAGAGTACTGGTGTGACTGACAGAGTGAGGTGGCGTGAGATTTTGCAAACTGGTCAGTATGCCGATCTGTATCTCTTAACTACTGACGATACCATTCATTGTGCACAGCTACCACATGAGTAGCTGTGTGGATAGCAATAACCTACAGTACTAGACAGAGCTACACATCTGCATAAAAACTGCTCATTGCAGACTTGGCTGAATGCAATTAAAGTCTTCACTGCAGGAAGACAGTTCATTCAGTTTTTCTCTCTGAAACAGACTGTCTTAAGAAATGGTGTGAATTACATGTCAGATTTTACAATAATAGTCAAGTTAAAGCTCCTGTGAAGAGTTTTACAATGTTTATGAAACAGACTGACATTCTTAATGATGTTTTTCTTTGTTCTAAAAAAAAGTAAACAAGACTATTAGTGACAAGATTGGCAATTTTTATATTGTGAGTTTTTATGCCTGAAACTGATGCAAGAGAGTAGTTGTCTGCAGAGACGTGTAAGAAAAGGCATTACATTCTTCTCTCATCATTTTTTGGGGAAAAAGAGGATACATTTGAGAATCAAAGGTCAGAGGACATTTCTTAACTAGAAGACATGATAAGCAAAGACACAGGGGGCGCCAAAATGGACACAAACTCAAAGTTCCTCACAGGAGCTTTAAACTGTAATAACAAAAAACTCTGACATGAATGTTCATTGAGTTTGTTTTTTTTTGTTGAGTCCAAGTTGGTTTGGAAAGCAGCCATATTCCTCTTTTAGTTGGATTGGTCGAATTCAGGGGGAAAATACAGAACTAATCTCAAGCAAACAGCCGAAAATGATAATCTTCTATCAGATTGTATTTAAACATTTATATTAACTGTGTAACTGCGGTACTTGACATTTGAATTTAAGTGTCACTCCATAATTGGTGTTAAAGTAAAAGTTGAATTTTCACCACAGCTACTTCTGTAGATCTAAAACCGAAGTAAGCCTGAAGTGCTGCATCCTCCAAAGGGCGAACTTGAGGACTGATTGCATCACAGCAGTGCTTAAAAAGCCGAGCCATTTCGAAGGCTCCTTTAAAATGCTGCCGACAAATGCATCCTACTTTCCCCAGGTTGCTGTTTGAGGCAGTGAAAGGAACAGCAGGTGAAACCCTTATAGCCCAATATATCCTGTGATTTTTCATGCTCCAATTCAAACTCAAAACAATTACCGACTCTCAAGCAGCTGAGTAATACGCTTTAAATACTGGCAATTGGTTTTAAGGGGCAGGAACCTTCAAACTTGTGATCATTTTTAACAGCTAACTATCTGTTGCTGAGTGAAAATAGAGGAGAAAGTTAATTCAGTATGAATTGAAAAATCTGTTTCAGTAATTTGATGGAAACTTGTTGAATCAATATTGAATTATTTGGAGTGAATCATCACTGAGTGGTTAAAAGTTCAGTCATGTTTGTTTTAGTGTCCTACCATAACTTTAATTCATCTTTTAAACCATTTAATTCACAACAAACTTTTCCCCCAAAGTCTCAAATTACACACAGTACTCTTCCTGATGACCCGAGGATAAAGGGTTTTTTAAAAAAAGCAGGAGTCAGACAGGTGAGGTTGCAGCTGCAGCTGGTGTACTACCAGACAAGCGAGGCACCTCCATGAATTATGTGACTCCCTTGACCTCATCTCTCACCTTCCACCGTGGACACAGTCGGACGATTGGACCGCCACTGTGTCACAGTCTGATGATTGGACTGCCACTGTGTCGCACATCCTTCCCTCTCTCTCTCTCTCTCTCTCTCTTTCTTTCTCTCTCTCTCTTTCCAGCCTCTCCCTGCTCTGTTCATCTGGGTGTTATTTTCTGGAGGTTACAGCCTTTGAGGACAGGGTGCAGCTGTGTGCTGTTGGCACCTTTTCAGCACTCTGTTCTCTCCTGACTCGCCCGCCTTCCCCATGGGGGAGGTCGTGTAGAAAAAGGCGGTTTGGCCCACCAGTCTAATGCCTCTCTAATTGTCCCTCCCTTGTGAGTGAATGTGGGCGAGAGAATGATCCGGGAGCAGAGAGGAGGGAAGGGTAAAGGAGGGGAGGAAAAAGGATACAAGGATTAGCTGGATGATTACAGCTGAGGACGCACAGGGAGAGCCAGGTACTCTGCCCATCTAGTCCAATCAGACGGTTCCATACAGGATTTATACTCGACTGTCAATCCACATCAGTCACATTCAAATTTAATTCCTTGTCATTTTTAAATAAATTTTCCAAATATTTTTAGACTTTATGTTCAGCTTTTACCATCAATATTGACTATGTTTGTCAATATTGTCAAACAAAGAGCTCTGCAGGTTAGCTCATTCACATGATGAATGTCCAGGATACACTTCAATAATAAAAGCATTGTGTGAAAATGAGGGCAGTCAATAAACAGAAAAAGAGGTCAGTCTCTTACTTTGAAAAGTACTCAAGAACTGTAATTGCATTTTACATCTCCTGCCTGGTAAGTTTTTCACTGTAGCTGACACAAATATTTTTTATACAAGTAGAAAAACTGGCGAGTTTGGAGAAGAGATGTGCACGACTCAGGGTGAAAAAAAAAGGTTGAGCCCTTTAGTCTCCAAGTTCTCACCGACAGTCTGAAAGTTCTAGTTCTAGTTATCGCTGCCAAAGAGAAAATCAAGCCTTTGCTGTTTGTGAAGCATGAATGAGCAGACATTGTTTGACGCAACAAAACTCATGGATCTTCCTGTCGCTGAACCAAAATGATTGCACATGAGTTACAGACATTTAATGAATAAATATTCTGTGTTTCTTTTAGAACAGTGGAAGGTAGTGTTGGGCAGCATGACGGTATATGTCGGTATAAAAGTGTTTACTGATAGAAATTTTGCTATATTGTTAATACTGCAAAGAGAGCGAGCACATGTCTGCTGCATCTCTCTGAGTAAGTGTGTAGCTGTCTGCACTCGCGAACAGGAAAGCCGGAGTGCATCCGTTTGGGTGGGTTTCCGTATATTTTCCAGCGTGTTGTGTGGAGTTTGTTCACTTCATTTGATTGGTCAGGTTTGGGTGCGCTCCCTGTAATCACCAGCATGTCTAGCAGACTGCATGGCATAGTTTAGATAAAGAAGAAACAGCTTCACTGATGGTGGTCATGGTGGATGCAGAGATTAGTGGCAGTACCAACATCGTTGTCTGGAGATTCTTCAGATTTAGAAATTCCAACAATGATCAAAAACCAGTACTATGCAAAGAGTGTTGTGTGGCTGACATTGCTGGAGGAGGAAACGCCAGCAACTTCTTCCACCACCTAAAGATGAAACACACCAAGTTCTATTATGAGAGCCAAAAGATGCGTGGCGCACCCGCTGCACCAAAAACTAAAGTTGCAGCAGCTCCTCTCATATAAAAGAGCTTGGCAGAGTCTTTCACTAAAGGTACGCCATATGATAAAAAAAATTGCCAGACTGTTCTGGCATTTTGTTTGCATTTGTAAACAAGTCCGATTTTAAAAATGAAAGGAAAATGAGCAAATGCGACAGTATGGTTATTTTTGAGCCATTAATTGAATTTACAGGGGGAAAAAACATACCGTGATATATACTGTTTCTGTGATTTGAAATCACTCATACTTGATATAAGGTTTTGCTCATACCACCAAACACTAGTGGAAGGTGACAAGAAATAGGGCTTGGGAACTGTTAAATGTATGGAGATCAAAGTTCAACCATGTTCCATCTGCTTACATGGAGAAGATGGGCTTTATGGTCTGTACTGCAGCTAGTCAAAAGGGACTCTCTTCATCTTTTGGCTCCACCTTTGGAGAGCTCTTATATCTGTTTTTTTTATGTAGTATGTGGGTCCAATTGCAACAGCCATGGTCATGCAGACCCTCACTGAGCTGAATGCTGACACCTACATTGGAAGTCAGCACAACTACGGTTAAACATACAAAGACAGGAAAGAGGGAGGAAAAAAAGAAAGGTCAGGTAGGAAAGTGAGGGAAAAAACATGACAGATGGCAAAAGGTCAGCAGCATCAGTGCTTAAATGGACTTATGCTTTTCATACCACGCTGGCTGTAGTTGTTGTTACGACATGTCTTAAAGTAACAGTATTTGGTGTAAAGGTGTTTTCTCTGATACAACCGCTGTAAAGACAAAAGCTTCTTGATGCAACCTCCTAAATCTCCAGATTTATTAAAGCCGGCGAGAAAGGACACAGGTGTTTGCTTTATTTCCCCAGACTTATGAGACACTTTATTGGAGAATTCTTTTGACATTTAGCTGGATTTGTGGTTGTGAGTCCCCACCGGGTAAAATGTGCTGTGGCATTTAGCTGTTGCCATGGTCGTGTACCTACTGCAGGCCAGAGTGAGTTCTTGACAGCTCTGTACGTGTGTTTGTGAGCCTTGAAGTTATTCTTATATTCGAGCAGGAACTCCTCAGAATCAGCTTTTTAAAGCGTGCAATCAATTTTCAGGAGTTTGATGTTGAAGTTAAAGTGTAAAATGTTCACTCTCCTTCTTTGCCCTTTGTATTCTGTGCCATCAACTGCTCCCACCTCCTGCATAAATAAGAAAATTAACATAAAGATAAGGAAAGGAAATGACTTTCTGATATCCTAATTAGGAGTGATTGATACTCTGCATCATTGTTATTAATTTTGTTGAGAAGGGATCATTATGTAAATTAAAAGGACTGCATTTCATTAAAATTAACTGTCAGCGTGAGAGCAGAGACTCATTAAGTGGAACTGCAAAGGTTTCTTGTGAATGGTTTTTCTGAAGCACAAAATTGAGTTATTCTTAGCTTTGGTAGCTCTGGGCAACTGTTGCTATGCATACATATCCGTAGATACACTTGGTGATGTGGACTTGTTTTTTTTTTTTCAGCAATGGGGAGTTACAGTGATAAGGAGGGTGAAAAAAGGGGACCAGTGAAATGGGCCCAGGGGACCATTGATTCCTGTAGAGTGGGATATATTGCAGTTTGTTCCACAGTAGGTTATAGAACCATGAAACGTCCATAGTTATGGTCCCTGGATGTAAAATAAAGTATGGGAAAATTTATGGGGTTGTAGTAGGTGGTTCAAGAGGTTCGGTTGTGCATAATCAAATACTTTTCTCGTGTTTTCCTCATCTGTATGCATGTATGCCTTTGCACATGTGAGTACATCAAGCATCGGTGGCTTAGCTGTTCCTCCTGGCCTGGTGTGGGCAGATGTTTGTGGAAAGCTTCCCAGAAAAGAAAGCCGTCCCCCTGTAAACATGTCAGCTATACCTTAAGCTTCTTATAGACTTATATGTCATAGCTGTGTTTGACCCGCATGGCTTTAATTTACTTTTGTTCATCTGCCATGTTAAACTCCATGAGCTCAACGCCTCTGACATTTCAATGATAGGGAAATGCAGACACGGTAATTGCAGTTTAAAGAGGAAATTAGTGATGAGTGGATGTAAGAGATGCAGTGTGTAATAAGCTCTTTGGTACATTTATTCTTCCTTGAATAGAAAGTGGTTGGATTAGCATTATTCATCTGAAACTGAACTCTGATACTGAAGATATGACACGGCATGTAATGAAACTGATAGTGCCTCTCTTCTATCATAAATTGTTTTCAGCTTCAGGAAACCATTTGGATGAAATATGTTATTGGTGATTCAAAGTTTGAGCCAGAAGTCAACGAGACATGGTTGAAATACTGAAGAGATTTTTCTTCTTTTCTGCAAGATAAAACTCAAAATTTTATGGAGAATGGTGAAATTAGGACTGAATGTCCGAGATCCAATGAAATCAGTTTCAACCAACATCAAAAATTGACATTTTTAAGGGTGGAGGGAAGGCAGAACTTAGTATTGTGACAACATTTCTTCATTTTATAGCTTATCTATGCAAATACATGATTTCAACTTATTTTATTTTTGTCTAAAATCAGTTTGATGTCAACTAAAAACGTCAGAATCATCATAAAGAGAGCAGTTTTAAACATTTGCCACAGAAGACCAGAAAGGAAGACTGCGCCAAGCTGGTACTTTGGCTGTCAATGGTGCACTCAGGATGGGGCGAAAAAATTGAAAGGACACCAGCTGAATGCCAAGAAAGGCTTTAAAAGTGCCATTCTTGAGATGCAAACCTTGCATAACAATCAAACAGTTTCCTCTCCTTGCCCACTGGGTGGGGAAATTTTGTTTACACTTTCTATACACTGGAAGGACATCCAGAGGGCCCTTGTGGTTACATTTAATTACTTAAAAAAGCCAACAGATTGAACTTGATTCGCGTTTTAAATAGAGGAAGGGCAACCAGAGAGCACCTTATTGACATTTTATGCATTAAAGACGCATCTAATGGGGTTTTTTAACCTGCAATGGCACCAGAGTGGACCTTTGAACAGTGTTTTATCCACTACAAAGACATTTAAGAGTGTGCTTTTAAGGCATTTTTTCAGACACAAGGACAGCAGGAGGGAATATCATCCCCCTGACACCACTGTTGGCTGTACATCTCTGACTCTGATGGTAGTAAGACCCTGAATGCTGATGTAGTTTTTTTTTTATACCTCACAAACTGCAAGGGCAGTGAGAGCTAAACGGTGATAAGAGGCTGACTGTCATTCACACGTCGAATTTGAATACCCTCCTTGAGGGGATGCACTGTAATCTACTTATTGATGCTCCAATATATATGTAGATGGGACTTAAAAATCACTGTTAATGAATGTGAATGTGAGATGAATTATTTAAGGAAAGCAGATGTCTCAGAGAGAACTGGTCCAAATGTAGACATTTGATCAATGTCTTCAATTAGATAATGAAAAATCTAATTGAGTTTTCTTTTTGTTTATACAGTTTTAAAAACTCTCTCTCTAGAAAGTTCTTCAGCTAGGGAACCAATGGAGCATTTGGGATCAGACATAATACGTCTTCAAGAATTCAACCGAGTCAAGTCGTCTTTTGGATTTCATTTAATTACCGTGACCTGGATGACTGAGCGCCTGCACAGAAATTCCTTTTTTTTACAGCGTACAGTTGAAGTTTTGAACTGAATGAGATATAGTGCAAACCTTTGACTGTACAATCATTAAAAGTATGCTGTATGCTCCCACTCTTGAAGTGCAAATCAATGTTGGACTTGTTGACTTCCAGCGTGTCACTTATATAAGAGCTTACCACACAACCTGAAGCTCTTGACCTGCAATCTAGAAAGTAAAAGGCAGGAGGATTATATTTCCTATTTCATCTTTCCCTATTGCTTTTCTATCAATGATAACTCACCATAACACTGTGATTACAACAATAAAGATGATAATGGGGGCGTGTCCCATGTAAGCCTCCTTAAGCCAGTCTGAAGACATTAAGATTAGGCTGAAGTAGTTTTTTGGTCGGTTGCTCTCCTTCAAAAACTTGGTCAGTCTTGATGGATAGAAGCTGTATTGGCTAAACTCTTCAATGTTCGATAGCCACCAGTGATCACAAATGAGAAAGGGTGGAGAGGAGAGCTTGTGTGGTAGTGTGAGTTAGCCTCAGCGGAAAAGGTTAGGACAACAGATTGAATTCCCCCTGCTTTGCTTCATCTATACATGGATTTATCCCATGCAAGCCTTAAGCTGGCATTCTTACCTCATTAATTCTGTTCTAGTAGAGAGAGAGTGTGTGTGTGTGTGTGTGTGTGCGCGTGTGTGTTTGTGTGTCCCGGCGCTTACTGATATCATGATGTTCCTGTTCCTTTTTCACTTCAACGCGCAGGAGCGGCGATAGATAAAAGGTGATGGTGTGGGAAGTGAAGGAAACTTGTCTCTGCCAACTTTTCATCGTATTGACTGGATTCTAATCAATTTAATTAGATATCTTTCGATTTCATGGAGTGTGAGCTGAGATAAGACCAAATGCTGCCTGAATTACAAACTTGGAAGGAAGGCGAGGCGGAGAGGCGTCCCGTTCCTTGTGTACGTCTTCCTATTTAACCTTCTCCTAAAACGTTCGCAAAGATAATCAACTCTTGTGATTCAAAAGAGTAAATGTTTGTTCTGTAATTGTGAAAAGGAGGATTGTTGTCTCCTCCAGGAAAAGAAAATTACACTCGGCTAATTTGAGTCTCATGGGAAACTGCATGGACGTTCGGCAACTTGCAATAGCAGCAATCGCCTCTTAAGTGAATCACACACTGTACATGAGAGGCTGTAAAGTAGGAGTGTGAAAACTGATTTAAAGAGGAGAGAACTGCTGGGTGTGACAGCAGATTATTGTTTGTTTATTAGGTTTGCTCTTCAGGTTATGAACTTAAAGATTTCTGGAGGTTTTAAACTAAAAGAATGAGAGGCAGGGAGACTTAACGCCAATGTTAAAAATGTTTGTAATTTCTAAAGGAATCACCACAAGTAGACTGTGGACTTTACAAGGAGGTGAAATAAGAGGTCAACACAAGCAACGTCATAATCCCATTTGCCAAATTGTCCTCATACACAGACTACAGGAGAGGTTGTTTGTCATTTTCACCAATAAATCAACTTTTATGACTCTCCATAAAACTATGCATGTACACTGAAGGACACAAGCCCCCTTAACGCACCCCTGGTCCCTACATGCTGGACCAGATTATCAGTTGCAAAGAACTTTATAAGGACAAACAAGCTACATCTATCCTGCTTATTTGACCGAGCATGTCTTTCCCACCCTGAACCCTTCATTTACTCCTGGTGTTCGACCATAGCTGCAATAGCTACCATCATTTTCCCTAACAGCTTTTCTGTTCCCAGATATTCTCCCTCTCTCTTCACCTCTAGACTGCTCTTGCCTCACCTAAAGACACGTAACAAGCACGGATCGACATCCCAGTCTTTTTCCCATTTCCATATTGCTGACGGTCTCTCCTTAATCACTTCCCTGCAGCTCTGTCCCTGACAAAACGACCCGCCTCGACCTCCTCCTTTGTCATGTTCTCTTTGGCTGGAGGGTTAATTTCACCTCTGAATTACTCTACTACAAAATGTCTTCCATTTTTCTGTAACTGTCACTGACTAGGCCTCCACAGGCGGTGTTTTTGCACTCACATAAGTACACTTCCCACTACACACCTTTTTTGCAGAATCATATCAGAGAGCTGCAACCTGTATTGTGTTCTTGAAGACGGGAAGGCCATTAGGATTATTTTTCTTTGTGTTTAACACCCACTCTCTGCTCAGAAATGCCTCTGCTGCCTTTTTCACACTTCTAAGGAGTTGCATCTGAAATAGAAGTTTTGTTTTCCACAGTAAGGGCTAATTTTAATCTTCACATTTCAAACTCGGTTTGACAGGTTCGTAGAAGTAAAACAAGACAGATTTATGAAGCGTTTCATGAAGAGTCAATGCTTTGTCTACGTGTTCTATTTATGCAGCAGGACAAGTCTGTAATATGTGTAACCTATCACTTTTGATTTAAGCTCACACAACACAGTGCCAAATTGAAATAGACAGTAAAGACCTCTACATGAAAACAATAAGATCACTTATAGCACTGTGTTTAACTCTACTGTGTGAGAAATGCCACTGGTGTAAGCATGACCTGGGGAGTAACTAAAAATTGATGCTACAATTCTATATTTATGAGTGTAATCATTTCTGTTATGATTGTCTTGTGCAGGAGTTTGAGGGTCTGTCCATATGCTAACAAAAATTAACGAAACCAGGGAGACTAATAGGTATTGGCACTCTGCTCAGATATTAAAAGCCGCATTGAGCTGTATTTCTCAATCAAGTTTGAGTAAAAGGATTCCTTATAAAAGTCAACAAACCCTGTCAATGCCAGCTCCAATGAAACTCAGGGCCGCTACTCTCAGAGAAAAAAAAGCATACTTAAACGAGATGATCATTACATAGGCTGATGCAACATGAGTGTTGGTGTTACTTTATTTTTCTGAGAGAAGTTGAAGATTTTACCCTCAAAACTAAATCTTTGAACAACTCGACTTCATTTTGAAAGACCTGGCGATGCAATACATGGGTAATAAAACGATTCAATATCAGGATAAAGAAGTCTTTGCATTATTTCAGCGTTTCTATTCCTGATTAATAGTCTTGTTTTTATGTAAGTAAAAGAAGTGTCATCCATGAGTGTGAAACGCTAATGCTTTCACAGCTCAATTGGCATCTGCTGCCAACAGTGAAGTCTGTTGTTTGCTAAAGACATTAGAGTCGTAATAACGCTGAGGGGAGATAGTGCCCCCTGCTGTTTACATCGCACTGATTACGATCATGCCTTATAGCTACTGATTTTTCACCGACTTGTGAGAAACTGAAGACAATGTCTGCCTGAAATCAATATCAATCAATATAGTAACATGTGGGTTATCATATAGTACAGTAATATATTGTATCCCGTCTAATTGTACACATCTTATCGCATCTTATCCTATCGTTGCATTGCGTATTGCACTGTTATGTATCATATATCCTTTCGTATCATGACTAACGGCACTGTATCGCGTTGTGTAAGACAAAATTGTGACTCAATCGTCTGAAATTTTTCATGAATCTCTAAAACATATTAATACAGTTTCAAGTTGAGTGAGCTGAGAAGAACAAAATAATATGCTGTCTGTTGGAGCTCGTACTCAAAGCTACCTGAACTAGACTGATAAAACATATTCCAGCTGAATCATTATTCGCAGGCTACAGGGGATTGCTGGAAAGAGTATTTTTTGCTTTTAGGATAGATGTCTATCCCTTGTGATGGCTGCAGAGTCCTATTTCAAAATCTGTTACTATCATTAAATTGATGAATAAAATATTAAATGCGTTGTGGAAATCAGTAGGGTTGGATAAGAGTGGGTAACTGAGCTTAAAGGGTAGATCCAGTACCCATGAATTGATGGGTAACTTTGCACGGCCAAAAGACACCCCAAAGTGGAGCTAATGTGTTTAACTTTTCCTCCAATCAGCTGAAGTATAAAAAAGACGAGGGTATATGGAGACAAATTCCCCAACCTTACAGCCCATTACCTCATTTTCATTTTGCAGAAATATGTAGAATGAGGCAAAGGAAATCTAACTCTAAAAATGAGTTTGACTTGCAGAACCTATCTTCCAGTTATTTGGTCATCCTTACAGGCTGTAATGATGAACTCCAGCCCCCAGTTCATGAGATATGATGGATCTTATATTGATACCTTATCCATCCTCCTGCTATGGGGCCTGCAAAAGCTTGTAACCATGGACACTTCATTAAAAGAGTAGAGGAAGGGAAAGAAAAACCATAGCGAGAGAGACAGGATTATAGCTCTACAAACCACCGCACACACTTCCTCATACTCACGGGTATACACCTACACACTCCCGAGCAGAGAGTTAAATCTGATGTACTTAAAGTTAGTTGGAGGAAATAAAAGTGGTGATGTCAGCTTCATGTTACACTGCGAGACTTCAGGTCAGAGATTCTTCGGCTGATATGTGAGGGCTTTTTGATACATTTATTACATATGGCGGGCGCTGTTTTGACATTATGGGAGGGAGAGAAATGAGCTTGCTGAGTTAGTTGTGTAATTCTCTAGCACTGCCGTTTCAGAAAGCACATCAAGAGAATTGCTCCTCTGAACGGTCCTAGGTAACACTTTAAAGTTTTCTCCAATAATATCATCTTCCTCGGACCAAAATGTGGAAAATTCAATAGAACCACTTCGTCAGTGTCCCTGGAATAGCTGTGGCAGAATCGATTGTGGTATTCTTCTCTTTTTGGCAAGGAGCACTGGCCTCTCATTCTGGAGGACACAGCACTCAAAATGTGTTCCCCCCCCTAAAATACACCAGCCTTCAGCCTCTGGGTCGCTGAATCGGACATCATTCTCCAGTTTTGATAAGGGATACGGAATAAAATCTTGTACTGTGATCATACTATTTGATATAAACCACAATAACTGGTTGAATATGCACAAAACACTAGGACTATCACTGTTGAGGGCTTGTCGGGGGGGTCTTACATCACATTGTGAGGTCAAAGTTCATGGGTTTTTATTTTAATCTTAAGCTCTTGCCCCCGAGTTAGCTAACATTTTCAGAAAACAGCTGCCTAACTGTTATTCTACTACTTTAAAAAAACCAAATAAAACCAACACATGATTTTTAACGAATGGTGAACCAAGTGGCAAAATCTGACATGTAGTATATTGAAATATATTCAAACAATATCCAGCAGCTGTTTTATTTCTATTTACAACAAGGGCTTTAAAAGCCAAATAACTTTCAATAACAAAGATATCTGCGCAGACACAGTTCCTCAAAGTAGCATATTGTCACTGTACATTAAAACCACGACTTTATCTCAAAGATTTTGTTTAGACAGAGTGCAACGCGAATTAGAGGAAGCACTATTGCATGAAGTGGAAAGATGCCGGTGGGTACGAAATGAGGCAAAGAAACGTCCAGACACATTAGAAAAAGTTTCAGTTTTTGCACAAAGATAATGCTTGTCCTTGGGCTTTAAAAATCGCTAAAAATAAAGAGATGTGAGAAACAAGAGCAGTCGGAGAATAGCGACAAAGTAGGACTGGGGTTCTTGGTGAAAACACACAGACATCAATCTTCTGCAAGCTAGCTGAAGGGCAGCTAACAACTTGGGCGAGTTAAAAAATACTGAAAGTCTTGTGACACCATCAAGCCCACTGGAGTGTTTTTTAACTCTGCAAGACTGGTAACACTTGCAGTGACACAAATAATTGCTTTGCAGAAACAAAAAGAAAAATCTGAACAAATGCTCTGAGCAACTTAAACTAAGCTATGAGGGCTGGTTGCACTGACAGTGGATTGAATCCAGTGTGCTATCAAGTTCTTGTGTAAAAAAGGGAAATTCTGGTGTGTAGGGGACAAAGTGATATACTCCAAAAATAGCACAAAATACACAGAAGCACAGTTTAATCTATAGAAGCTCCCGTCGGCAGCACAGGTATTTATCACTTCACTCCCCTGACAAAAGGTTGTCTCCTGTTGAGCCCCTCAGATCTGTCATTCCCCCTGGAGGGATTATAAAGTCGTGATTCAAACCCCTGCCAGAGCATAGGTCAAGGAGAGAGATGTACTTCATCTCTCTTTTATCCCTTTCCATCTGGAAACGGGCCATGTTAGCCTCTAGAGCTGCACAAATATGTCAAGGATTGTATGTTTTTGTGTCTTTTTTTGGCAGCAGACATCGATTTTATATATAGTGGCACATAGACTTTAAATTCAGTGGTCGGGTGCATCGCAGCATCTTGTTCCACTTTGACTCCGTGCCTCACAGTGTGGGAGAAGAACCAGATAACTCTGCAGGAGAGATAAATTCAAAATGTATACGTAATTATGCATAAGCCATATGGTCATTTGAAAGTACAAGAGAGGAGGTCGCTGAGCAAAAATGTTCAGCCCTCCTGCAGGAGCGAGCTAATGATGTTATTTTATGCCATTTGTTGTCCAAGGATGTTGTATAGACAAGCTGTTCAGTCCATAAGGTATAACACACTAATGTGGCTAAACAGGAGATCGGAAAGTCTTTGGATCTCCATTTTCAAGATCAAAATACTGTCAAACTGTTCAATGCTTTGAGCTGTCATCTGTCATCTATGCTTGTTTACATCTATACATGTCATACCTTAAAAGACTGGTAATAGTAGCAATGCATAGATACAAAAGAAGGCTTTTCAGTGTACATGCATATGCAAGTACAGACTGCACACACAGCTAAACTGTAAAACACACATTGTCTCCGTCTTTGCAACTAATTGCAACAGGCTTGACCATGAGGCAGTAAAGTGAAGGTCACCTTCTGTTTGGCCCCAGCTGATAAGCTCTAATGTGGTCTTTTATGTGATGCCATGCTCTCCAAGGACCCTCTGCAGCTTGCAGTGGCTGATCAATACACTAAATCAGACGCTCTCATTATGGCACCCATGGGCATGTGTGCGTTTGTGTGTAACTGTTCGTGTGTGCTGTGCCGAATTTAATTACGCAGGATGTAGTTTATTGTGTGTGTGCTTGTGGGCATTTTGTTTAATAGCAGTTGAGGTTTAATGCATTACTGCGATTACTAATGCATGCTGATATCTCATTTTGGTAATGCAATTATTTGCAGTCATTAGCTTGAACAGAACATATCAAATTAGAGGCAGTTTAAGGGTGCTGATCTGGATTTGCCTCAGTTGACATTTAAAGACATTTAACGCTGCTAATATGGTATGAAATTAGGATTCTCTGGCAAAATGTCATTTTTATAAGCTGTAACATTTGACATTCTTTGAGACTGTTCATCAGTTCTTCTGGAAATTTAAGTCGAAGCCCTCTAATGTTGAATGAATGACAATCAATTAACTCGCAAACTGTAGCAAGCAACTTGACCTTTTCATGGAGAGTGGAAAGTTTTTTCTTGTAGAGATTTTTTTTCCCCCCTCTGTGATGGTGTGTACGTGCAGACGTGTGTGCAAATCTGCATGCACTTGCATTTGTGTATGTGTGCGTGAGCTTGTGAACACACAGGAACACGTGTGAGCTGAAGAATGGAGTTGTGCCAAAGTGCCCAGAGCCTGTAATAGCTACCTTGAAGGTTCACCTTCAAAACTCCAGATTACAAGCTGTACCTACCTCTCCTCCCATATAATTTCCTCAGCTCCCTTTATTCCCCTGTCCCCTAGCTTTTACATCTACTTTTTGGTGTAATTCATGCATGTCCCCAAAACCCATCACCTCCCTGTCTGGGAATATCACAGCAATGAAAGCGGGAATTGCTCCTAAAAACTGTGTCCTTCAGTCTCATTGGAGGGTGTGCATCTGTGTGTGATATGCTGTTGTTAAGAGCCACACAGATATGAATAATGAGAGTGTTTTGCAGAATTACTAATGCTATTGTATAAAACCTCATTTCCACATTTGCACTGTGCAAAACTTGCTTTTCATTGCACTGTGGGGACATTAGGATTGATTGCAAGTTTATGTCCCCAGAATTTTTTATTTGCCTCATTGTGTCCTCATCTTACACACACAGGCACACGGGCTGAAAATTTCTCCTGCCAGCATGTTTTTATCTCCTCTTTAAATGATAAACACAAATCTCCCAGCTCAAGGCAGAGGAGGACCTCCAAATCAGCACAGATAAGTTGCCATAAACAATCCTGTGATGGAATTTTTCGGGTTTCTTCACCGTCTGAGCGATGATACATGTAGCTGGAGGAGGTGGTGAGAGGTCGTAAAAGAAAAGGTCGAAAAAATTGAGAGCAAGCAGAGAAGGAGGGAAAGACTTAGAGACAGCCAGGCCAAACGAAGAGAATCCAAATCTTTCAATTAATCTGCTTAGCTCCCCTGTGGGCAGATGTTGGAGAGACGGCAGCAGAGCACAGGTCAGTGAAATAAATAGACAAGGGCTGTAGAGAGCATGGAGGAAGAAATCAGAACTTCATCGCTGATGTAGAGCCGTGTATCCCACTAACAGACCCCCTACATAATCTGCTCTATCTATACAGCCAATTTCGTGAACATTTTTGCTTCTGTTTTGTTTCTTATCTTTATTCTCTAGAGATAAATTCATCATTTTTAAGCTTCGAGCTTTTCACCAAAAAGAGATTGTGATCTAACAAGGTGGACAACCCCTCCTGTTTTACAAAAGTGAAGCCAAAATTCGTAGCACTGACATTTACTGACATTTAACGGTGAGGTTTTTGTATCAAAAGCATGTCTGTAATTCAAATTGGCTGTTTGAGCCACTTTTTCCACAATCTTCCCCTTACACCATGAAAATCACACATTTGACTTCCTGCAGAGATCACTTTGGTCGGCACAGCTGACAGTCTAACAGATAACTGATTCAATTCAAGGTGGATACTTACAGTTATGGAAAGTGTAATGACTTTAGTGTTGGTTAAAGTATATTTCCCCTTGCAGTTCTGCTTCTACTTTGCAAGTTCAGTCTCCCAGAAGCTGTGTTTGTCACCAATGCTGCCAACGATGGCGTTTTATACCATTTTTAGTCTTAAATGAACTGTTACAATTAAAATTCTTTGACAAATAAACACTTGAATATCAATTGTCAGGATAAGGGCACTTAAAAATGACAGAAAACATGTTAAACAAAAAATAATCTGGTGTGTATTTTAAATTTTGATTCATGTGTGATCTGTTATCATGGAGGAGGCGGGGTCTTTATGACCTATACTGCTGCCGGTCAGTAGAGGGAGCCCTGAATCTTTTGGCTTTGCTTTTAGGAAGCTGTAAGGTTGCGCATCATTTTAGAAAAACCTTGAATTTAATAACATTGCAAATATCTATGAGCTTATGGTGGATGGTTTGCTCACTGAAATGGGTAAGTTAAATACTGGAAACCATGATTTGCAACATGTAGGGGCTTTTTTATTACTAAGAATTAGCAGCTGTTGTTCACTTACAATCAAAGAGAAATACATGGTAGAGGCATGTGCAGATTTAGGTGTTGTGCCACTAAAACAGCTTTTTTATTTGCCATTAATGTCAGCGTGCATTTGTAGTATGGGCATTTTGTAATGGATGTCCATGGAGAATGTATTTCTTGCGTTCTTTGTGTTGGGATATTGCTTAAACGTCTCCCTGGAAGAGAATGGTGTGGTTAACGCCATGGTGAGATAGGAAAACCATAAACTTGAACATCCATGAAAGACAGGCGGTGAAGACAGAGTGTGCAGCCTGGGGGATTAGTTTAACTCTTGGATTTTATAGTACCTGCAGCTTATAAAAGGAAAAAAGACCTTCTTCCTCCCCCTCTGTTACCAGGAGATACAGAGGTGAACTCAGTCTTCCAATTAACCACCTCGCACACACAGGCAGTAGAGTCCATTTCCTCACCTCGCAAAGATTGTCTCACTTTAATCAGCGAGAGGAAACTAAAATTATACAAGTAATGATGAATACAAAATTATACCAGCACAGTGCGTTGAGATGGGAGAGTCCTAACCTCTTTTTTTCCGTTGAGCAGTCCATTAAAAAACAGAAGTGGTTTTAGAAACTTCTGTCTCTTCATAAGGTGGCCTCGCTGCTACCTATGGCGCAATATGTATTCCTGAGTTATAGAGATAGTACTGCCAAGCTTTAATCAGCACTGACATGCTCTCCTCTGTCTATCTGATAAACACACTAACTTTATTTCAGGTGGACAGCGCTGACAGGGACATCGCACTGAACAAATGGGAAAAGGACAGGAGGCACAAGTGGGTGGGATGAGAAGGCATACAGAATCTACAACCAGGCCAAACACTCAGTCTGCATGGACTCTCACAATACTGAGGGATTAAATGGCTTCACTTCAGGGGGGTTTTCCAGTTTATTCAACCTATAAGCTGAGTTTTGTTTCAAAGAATCGCTCTGCACATGCAGCAGTTTACATCCCCATTCTTGAATTAAGCTCATCTTCAGTACAGCAAGGTGAATTGAGCTGCACAAACGCTGCTTTTTGCTCAATCGAGCACACGGGAGCTTATACTTTAGTCTACTGTAAGGGATTTCAGTTCTTCTCTCATAAGCAATAAAATTGTGATAGGTGTATGAAACGGCTTTTCCTAAGGCATATATCTGCTGAGAGATTGCCTCATATGGATTATCTCTCTCTGAATGCACCGGAGTAATACCCTCCATGGTAATGTGCCTCTATAGGATGGCCTAGGTGTGACATTAGGATCGCCTCCACGGGAAATATTCGTAGATCTATTTTCATAAAGCACAAACTATACTCTGTGCCTGAAAATGTGTCTTGAATAAAAAGCTTTTAGCCCTAAGGAGAGATAGATTAAACCTCTATTTTTTCCCCCACACAGCAAATGGAAATGATTGATTTGGCCATTATATCTTTAAGGACATAAAATTATATTTTTCCGGCTTATGGGGTAAATTCCCCCCTTTCAGGTTCTCGTTAACAGTTTCAGAATGTGTGCTGCATTTTCATTTCAGACCATAATAAGGATTGAAGAAAATCTCATTGTACATAAATCTTCTCATCAAGGCTTTCCTGTCTGCATCTCAGTGTAATCTCAAATCAGCCGTATGCATTCTTTATCCCGTGGCATCCTTGTTGTACTCTATTGTATTTCCTGTCTCTGTAATCGCTCTCTTTATCCACTTTATCACACTACATAGTTCACTTAGGCTGATCAGTCCTATCTTTCACCTCTGATAAGATTCTTGCAACTTCATTTCTGTACATGTTTCGAAAAGACCTTTGTAGCCAATCTTGCCTGATGGAAGATGCAGTGGATTTAGTGTCTCGTCATGAATTTCCAGTCTTTCTCTGCATACAGAGAATCCCCGGGGATAGGATTGTGTTTTTATGTGTACACAAAGAGAATACCGGCTACAAATACAAACACAAGACACATCAACAGTCACAGTAGTTGTGCGATTGGCAGCACAGCATAAGTCTCAAGTTTTTTGTTTTTTTTTGGAGTTGATACGTGGGTGTGTTTGAGAGAAGCTCATGTCAGCAGTTTTTCTGTCTTATCATAAAACAAGCTCAAAGAAGAAAAGTTGAAACTTTTGCTGGATGATGGTGTACAAAGAAATCTAAAAGGAACCAACAAAAATCATTTAAATTCATCCTTATGGGCACATGAATGCTTAGTCTGTCTGACTCATCCTCTGGGGATCACTACTCACTAAATATAGTACCAAATAGTACCAAAGTAGCACAACTAACAACTGGAAATGTCAAACCACTGATGACATAAGAAGAATATGAAAGGGCTCACAAATATCCATGAGTTCATCCTCTGGAGACCAAAGATTGTGGTGCAAAATGTAATGGCAGTCAAACCAATAGTTGTTTGGATATTTTAGTCAAAATTCATGAATATGTAAATTCTATGATGGTTCAAGGTCGAAGAAAGACAGCAAGAGTCAGTCCGGTTCAGCCTCTGGGAACCATAATTGTCTGTTCTGCTTCATGAGTCGAACCATCGAACTCAAAGCAAGAAATGACAAGCCACAGTTGACTCCAGAGGAATGGTTGAAGGAGTCACAAATGGTTGAATTCATCCTCTGGGGATTATGAATGACTGTACAAAACGTCACAGAATTTTTTCAAGTTGTTGAGACATTTCAGTTCAGATAAAAGTGTGGAAAAAGTCTAGCAGACTCAAACTTTTACAGCAATGTCGCCACTCTGAGCTAAAATTAGCATGCAAGGCTGAAATTTTATTGCACGTCCTCAAATTCTATCTCCCCGGTCTACCAATCAATCAGCCAGCAGTTGCTACATCTGGTCCCTCTGCTCTGTGTGTAACCATGTTGTGCTTGCTAGCACCACAGCTTGCAGCCTTATTAGCACCAACAAATTTGTTCCTGACACTAATTACAGCTTCACAGTAAGCACCGCAGTGGGTTCAACAAATGAAAGGCAGCAATCTCCCTGTCACCGTGGCCTTTTCGTAGCATGAGCAGCGACAGAAGTGTGTGTGTGTGTGTGAGGGGGGTGTCAATGGGTCCCTCTCTTCTTGCTGGGTTATAGGTGGTCTCTTTAAAGGAGGAGGAATGAGGAGTAAAAGATGGGTGGATAACAGAAGTGGGGTCATGCACAGGGGATTTCTTTTTGTCTTTATTGAGAGTTGAAGGCAGTCGAGAGGAGTTGCCCTGGGCTTTGGTGCTCCATGCATCACTGGCGAGGCGATATGTCCATGTCAGGTTCTGTCCTCCCCCTGCCGCAGCCCTGCTGCTACAGCTCCCCAACTTCCACTTCATGTTTTCCACCGAGCAGGCTTTTGTAACAGCAACAGCAACAGGAGATCACATCTCAGGATGCTTTTCATTGCTGATGTGTGAGAGCAGTCTGCATTTCCTGTTATAGGTTTCCGATCCAGTCTGTATAGCTGTATCCCTATGTGAATTGATGGCTTGCTCAGAGCATTATGAGCGGCAGTGATGGCCCGCGAATATGCAAGCACCTAAAAATGGAACAGTTCCCCTGATGTCAAGTTACTCTCAACCCTACAACCATGCACAGTGAAGGCTTACGGTGGCAAAATGTTGGCATTAGTAATGGACTCACTCACAGGACTTACTACCTGAGAGGAGTCAGGAAGCAACTGATGATGCGGGAGGTGTGTAGGTGGCCCCCCCACCAACGCTGCTGTGGATCAGTAGAGACAGCAGCAGGTAGTTTTCGCAGTATGCAAAAATACTGTTATGTTTTCTCCAAGCTCTGAAGAGGAAAACAGTGGGAGCCAGACGGATGAGGGTTTGTGTGTGAGCGTAAAAAAAGTGTGTTCTCAGGAGTGTAGATCATAAAGGGGATAGCTGGGATTGTGCTTGTCACTGGTCAGGGATCTGAACCAGGCTTCAGAGCTTACTTTGAGCAGCTGAGGGGACACCGGCTCTCTCGGCTCGTACTATTTACGGCTGAGGGTGGTTTAATGTCCAGCAAGGGGTGTCAGGGTTTGTTTGAGCTGACTTTATTGTGTTTTAGGTGCCAAACAGGTTGCACTGGTCACACAGGCACAAAGCAACAGCTTGGATGCAAGTTTTTGCGAGTGACCACTGGCAAATTGGAAAAGAGCTGATCCAGAAGATGCCAACTTTAGGCGAAAAACATTCGAAATTAGTTGGAAAGACTTCTTTTTTTTTTTGTCCGGGGTGCACCAGATGTACAAACTGTACTTGGCTCGACTGACAGTGAAACTCTCAACACCAAATATGGCGTAGACCAGGCACCAATTCTCAGGGAGATTCCTCCTTCCTCCCACTTGTATTCTCATCTGCAGTATTTTCTGGTAACAATGACTCTCTACTCCTTGGTGCCATTACTCACACATTTGTGTAGAGACCAAGAAAGTATCTCGTCTATCACACCTGCTGCAGGATTTTGATCATGCAGCTGGACTTCCATGATTTTTCCAGAGATGTAAATCCAAAATGAGCGGCTGAGGACATTTGCTTGAAAAGGAGACCCTATTTTTGTCCAAGTGTGTGCAGCTCATTTGTCAAGAGAGGGATATTTATACTCATTTCCTCAGACAGCTAAGCAAGTGAGCTCTTCTTTTCTCCTCCATCTTTCCTTGATTCACCCTCTTGACATGCTCTTTTGTGATTTTCTTCGCACCCTCATCTCATTCAAGGAGACATTCAAGAGATTTGAGATGATTTATTCTCTTTTCAAGTAATCTTTTCATGCTTCATTCATAAATCTGTGCAGTGTTACTCTTCTTAAAAGGATGCACATCATCCTGGAGAACTTAACAAGTGCAAACTCATCCATACCTGTGCATTGCAATGCTCCTTTATGAATGTGTCCGTGTTGGTAACAGTTATGATCTTTCTTTGTTTGTCCCTTAAGTATCCATCCGATCCGCACATCCGGCCTCCCTTTGGGAACCACGAAGAGTCTCTGAATCTTTAACTTCCCATAAATCGCAAATCTGCCCAAAGTGCTGATTCAGAATAGGCCGTACCAAATAAAGATAAGACAGCCAATACGGGGGTTATTTGTAGCATTTCCTTACAGGAGGATCAGCGATATATATGTCTGTGAATCCATTAAGGCCAAAGTAATGGCACACATGGGAGACGAAGAAGCAAAGCTGCTTCTGTTTTCTCCTCATATTAATAATTGAGAGAGATTGATTAGAAAGAAGGGAAAGCTTCGCCAAACTGTGTCATATGGTCTATTTTAAGTGATCTTTTTTTTCTCCTCAGACCATCGGGGTCTGATCCCTCAAAGGTCTTTAGGGTTATCTTCAAGATCATTACATGGAAGAAGGAAGGGGGTCATTTAGCTAATTAGAGAATATGGCAGAAGAAATGAATGCTTCAGCACATTTTCTGTGTTACAGTGTTTTGCGTGCATGCTTGCGTGCTTATTTGTGTGTTTTTGCACACACATGCAATATGCAAGCATTCAAGTGCTTAAAATGCTCCAATCCCCCCTTCACCCTGAAGGCACCCACATGGTCCATCTTCTCTGGCTTCTTTCATTTCCAGGCATAGTCTCACACATCAGCGCACAGACCTAAGAGAGAAGAATATTGCTTGTTTACCCAGCAGCCCCCAGAAGCCATATGCTCTGGCACAATGCAGCACATGAGCGGCGCCATTTACTATCATTAATATCTGCCTTGTTCACTCTCATAAATTTGACTGTAATGGGGTATGAGCATGTCAGGCAGGGATTATTTTGATCCTCGTACAGATGGCTGCTGCAACTTGTCCCTTTTCTTGTCCCCAACAGAGACGTCAGAGAAGACAAAGATGTTGTCAGACTGTGTTGATTCCTTATTCAATCAGACACACACAAGAGATGATGTGTCAGCTGGATGCCAGACACCGCTGTTGGTCGTCAGAGTGTAATGAGGACTTAAATTGAGGAGGGGAAGCAAAGGACATATTACAGGAGGAGCAAATGGCTATTAAAGTAGGACTATTAAAAGTTATGAGTAATTCAAAGGGCATTATCATATCAGAAGATGGATCAGGTAGTTGGATCAGATTTTGTGTGGCGTTTTAGGACAGCAGTTGTTCACCTTCTGTACCACTTACTGCTCCATATTCCCAAGAAATGAATTAAAAAACAAGCTCCAGCATTCAGACTTGAATCACAGCCAACAGTATCATACAAGGAGCAAATGGCCACTTGGTTTTACTGATTGGTTTTACTTTCACCTCTGTTTAATAACTTTCTCTGCAGGAATTACAGGCCTTGTATTTCTTTTCTCCATTTGATTATTCCATAAATGACATTTCCACATCTTACAATTTGCTCGTCCTGGAGAAAAGTGGGGAAGCAATGAAAAAATGGGCATAAACTTGTAAGAATTTCTCACTCCCAAGAACAGATTCACTTAGGAGTTCAACTTCCCTTTAACTACAGTCTTAGTCTTTCTTGAATCTATAGCCGTATCCATTCAATAGCCTATTTGCAAAAAAGAAAAGAAAAAAAAACAATCTTCCCCCCAATCTCGGACATACTAAAGTTTTTGAGAAAAGTTTCAAACTGCTGGCACTGGATAAAAAGCTCGGTATTGAACCCTTTCCAGTTTCCCTAAGCACTATTGACTCTCTCGTTGACCAACTAAAGTGTATTTTATTCTCCACATCACTCAGATACAAATTGAGCTCTTAATTTAGCCTAACTATAGCACTGAGTCATTACAGGATACATTATGGCACAGTATTGAGTGTAGGTGCAAACGTTTGGCAGCACTCAGAGCCCAACACAATAATGCCGTTTGTTGTTTGTTTAAGATGGAAGAAATAGACTTGGCACTTCAATACGGTCTGGGTTTTGTCTTCTAGAGGTAATACAATAAATTTAAACACTTACAAGTTCTCTTAAAGGCAGTGGCATAGTTTAAGGCTCATTTTCTTCCCTTGATACATGTGACACAGACACTGGAAACCAAGCAGCATCTCCCCTGTGCTGAGAACAAAAGGTGTAAGAAAAGACTTTGACCCCAACTCCCGCTAGTTAGGTAAGCGAGGATTTGATGATGACACAGTTGCATTATTTGTGATCATTGCAACAAGGTAAAGCAGGTAAAAGCACAGTCCAATGCAGGACTGAAAATAAAGACAAAGATCTGAGACCAGCTTGGCCAAAGTGGGTTGGACGATCCGGACAAAGGTCTCGGACTAACCCAGTTGTTGATCCGGTAGATGTTTGTGAGCTCTCCACGCTGATGTTGAACTGGGTGAAAACTGAGAGGTAGTTATCTTATCGTTATCTTTGTGCTCTCTCACCTCCTATAGGAGTGTGATGAGACGAGCAGCTATTTGCTCCAGTAGCCGGGTTGATTGCACTGCCACTGCAATCTCGGCTCGCTCGTTCTGTTTTGCATCAGAGTGCAAATCGCTGCATTCAGATATTTCCAAACAGGCAGAGGAAGAAAATGCCTCCATTTTGGAACGACCTCCCCGAACAATCCAGGTGTGAAAACACCCTGTCTTTTATAAAGCCAGCAGGAGTTCAGAGCAGGACTCTTGTCTTCTAGTCTTCCATGTTGTCAAAGTCACCCAAACTAGAAAAGACAGGGGGCTGGTGAATCAGGGACAGTATTAGGAGTGCAAGTGAGGTTTCTCTCCGAGGTTGTAGGGGGAAACTTGAATGAGAAAGTGAGGGGAAAGCTCCGCAGGGAATGTGCTGATGGAACGCAATGTAAACCAGGTGCCAAGGTTAAAGCCACTGTTGTTCATGCGACAACTGTTCTTAGACCCCGAGTGACATCAGAGTGTGGTCGTCTGTCCCTGGGCTTAATTTAGCCACATACACTGGCAGCCATGAGATCCACTGTTCCTGTTTGTCAAGCAGGAGCCACTGATGCCAGCGATGACATCATCATCTGGATTCACAGCAAAGCTTTTAAACCGAAGACACTCCCGCACTGAGGTGTTTAGTATCCCAACAGGAATATCATCTTTACAAGCTACAAGTGCAGATAATGTTACACTGGTGTCATGTCACGGTCAGTCCCTGTTTACCAGAGGAAAAGTGGATTGGATGCAAACAAAACAAACAATAATTTGTTTATTTTGCAAAAAACGTAATCATGAGGAGTAAATTATGATTTGTGGAAGAGATTAAAAAGGGATATTCCAGTGTAAAATTAATTTAGGGTCAAACACACCGAAACACTGAGTGAGATACCCCGTCGAGAGATGAATGTTGCCGACCGTTTGCTTCTCTAGTTATACCAACTTTAGTAAAACCGCAGATAGCAATACAGAGAGCCACACCCTTGACCAATAATGCTCAGAACATCATCTAACTTCATCAACAGTACATATAGGGTCACAGCCATAATAATAGCCACCAAACATCTTTTTAACTTTGCCTAATTTCTTGAGCAAAGAGACAGAACACAACTCACCCACTCTCTCTCAGCAGCCGCTTGTTTGTAGCGAGACCTCAGGCCAGTCTGTTACGGACTGCTGCAGGGTGACACAGCTCAAGGAAGAACATTTATGATAATTTCTTCATGGAAATGCAATCAGACCGAGACGCTAAGGCAGAAGAACTACCGTGTCTGCAGAGCAAAATGATTAATATGGTGATTATTACTTCAAGGAAATGATAAAGAAATGATCATAAATGTTCTTCCTTGAGCTGCTTCCTCAACCACAGTCAATGAACTGGCCTGAGGTCTCACTACAAACAAGCGGCTGCTGGAAGAGAGTAGGTGAGTTGTGTTTAGTCTCTTTGCTAAAGAAATTAGGCAAAGCTAAAAAGATGTTTGGTGGCTAGAGCTGTGGCTGGGACCCTATATGTACTGTTGATGAAGTTAGGTGCTGTTCTGAGCATTATTTGTGGCTATAGAGCGGCGTTTTGGTTGAGGTTTGTTTATGGCTCCTCAGACCATTGTGTATTGCTATCTGCGGTCATTACTAAAGTTGGTATAACTAGAGAAGCAAACGGTCGGCAACATTCATCTCTCAAGGGGGGTGTCTAACTCGGTGTTATGGTGAGTTTGACCCTAACTTAATTTTACGCCAGAATATCCCTTTAAGCAATAATTTTATTTCAAGCTACATCCATCATCCATATGAACACAAACCTCCCAGTTACTGTGAACACATCTCCCCACCATCCCACTCCAGTTGAGTCAGATGGAAATTTCCACTGCGAAATACCCTAACACACTGGGAGGGCCTGTGACTGGACTTAATGAATAAGAATCAATATTTGACATTGATTGAGGGATTTTCTGAGCGTGTGATGTGCCTCAGCGGGCCGTTCTGGCAGCATGAATTTTGTATTTGAACTCAGCTGTGAAGCTGAACAGTCTGGCGAGGTCATGACAGGAAGTAAGAGGTTACTTATACTGGTACTTATACTGGTCATTAGTGCTGGTTTGTAATGGGGCTGTAAGGAAGAGCTGCAGTCAGACGCAGTGCGTATACGCTTGTTTTAGTCTCACATAAACAGTGTGAATCTGCTTTAACATTTTAAAATAGTTAAATAATGCCAGAGTTTTGGGATCCTGAAGCAAATATCCTTGAAAAATATTAATGTAATGACGTGCATAATTTGAATGTCCTTTTTGCTATGCTATTTCTCATAATAAAAAGTGGATGTATTCAACCTTGTAAGCCAGGGGCATGAGTTTACACTCATTATATTGTGCATTATTCAATTTTTGTGTGTGTTTTGTGTGCTGTTCGCTAAGACTTGCCCTCCAGTGTATCAATCTTGGTAAGTTAAGCGTTGTAGAGAGTGGTTGTACTTGTTTGTTCAGCCGAGAATCACTTTGTAGGGTGTTAGCTCGATGTGCATCACTAACAGAGCGAGACAGAAGGGACTTAAGATCTTGTACCAGGGCTTAAATTATAAAGAGGAAGAGCTTCCCTGCTGTTTCGGGGCTACTGTTATAAATTGTTTACCTGCTGTTACACAGCCGAGGCAACATAGCGGAAAAAAAGACTCCAAAACAGTGACACCAGAACAGACACTGCCAATTATCTTGACCCTAAGTTTGTACAGCTGAGACAGCTCAAGTTAAATCACAATGTGGAGTGTTGTCTGTGTTTTCTTTCGCAGGTTTCCAGAGCTGGAGCAAATACATGAAAAAACAGCAAGCCAATTATTGCAGGGCTAAAACTTTGGAAACTCTTACCCACAATCTCAACTTTTTCACACACTCAGTAAGAACTAAAACCACAGTAATAAATAATACATAGCAAAGTTCACTTAACTTATCCATTAAACTTTTCATGAAGGCAAAAAAAATCCTTTTTTTTTTTTAAAAGAATGACTAACAGGTTTCACACAGAGCTCTGGCCTCCTTCACGAGAGCATATTTTCACAAATATATTTATTTTCTACAGCATGTCTAGCCGCTCCAGCAGCAACAAACAAAGACGCCACTTGTTTGTGACTCGTATGCAGAATTTATAAGCAAGCACAAGGTTTCCACTGGGAATAACTTGTATGGTTGTTAAGTAAGTTTTCACGGATGCATAAGAGTTTAAAAGGGGAGACCGGATCAAAGGAGGGTAGTTTAGAGATTTATCAAGCCAGCCGAAAAATGCTTATGTCTTTCTCTTTAAGGCACTCTAAGGAACTTGAATGTTGTGCTGACTCTGGTGACCCTTTTGGACAAAATTTGTAGCGTTTTTTTCAGAATGAAGACTACATTTCCCATGAGCATCATCACCCACAGACAAAAGGACTCTTGCCAAAGCGTGCATTTGTTGTGGAAGAAAATTAACGTAATACAGATCTTTTTAATAAAACTTACAAACTATGAATGTGCAGGTTATCTAAATAACAAAAGGGTATCGAAAGTGAATCTCATGCACCAACCTTTATGCTACTTCTTAATGCCGAACCTTCACAGCAGAGTACCTACATAACCACTGACCGCTGAGACCTGAACACAGTCTCTATCAGTAAGCACAAGAAATATCACCAACCTCGCTGCTAGTTACATCTTTCTTGACAGAGTCATAATATGGTATCAGTGTGGGAGTAAAACTATTTCATAACCTGTCAAAAACTCCTCACAGTGCATGTAATCAAGATGTCATTCACTTTAATCTTTCATCACCCTGTTTTGAAGTGATGCATTAGAATTAATAGGCTCTCAGAAATGTGATTATTCCCTGGCAGGTGAGAGTGTTAGCCTTTTGTCAGATCATGTATCAAGAGAGATTATTTGACACTTTAAGCCCTGGCACTGCATCATCCCATTAACGAAATATTTGACCACTTTACAATGGAAAAAGATAAATGATGCAGGTAAATCTAGATGTAACAGGGTTTTAGATGACAGGACATTTAATATCAAGGATTAACTAAAGAAAATATTTTGATTTAAAGCAGTGATAAAGACTTTGAAGAATCACCTTTACAGTGATTTAAATAATGATTAAATAGAACATCCTATAGAGTCCTGCTTATCTGGAAAACACACACTCCCTCCCTGTTCTCCTTTTCTCACCATCAACAAACTTGAATACTCCCTCCTGTGTCTCTATCCTTGTTATTTAGTGTAACCTTATAAGATCATTCCTTAAGTTAACATCATGTTTGTCAACACTGCTGATCCACTTCACAGCATGTAGGCACTGCAGTTATATCAGTAATAGGATTAAGCATCCAGCAATGTCAGTGTGTGAAGGTTTAATTGTTTGTTCACTCTTTATTGGATTGAAGTATGAATACCGAGTATGGCCATCCTGTAACTGTGTCTTCCTCGAGCACTTAAGATTATTATTTACTCTGTTATTCAGTGCACTTTGTACAGGATGTTGCAGTGACAAATAGATGTGTTCTGTATCTGAAGCGGTGATACGAATTGCTTTTGCTTTTTGTTCTGTTCTGCAAATCTCAGCTGAATCCGTTGTTTAGTCTACGGTGTCAGAAATACTTAAACATTTGGAAAAATCGCAGACATTTTATCTATAATACAAAAAGATGCAACTGTCAGTTTTAAGAAGCCATTCTGACATTTTTGTCTTATTTTTTTCCTGTTCTAACCGTAAACTAAGAGATAAACCATCTCAAACTGTCAGTGTGCACATAACTATCCTCATCATCTTCATTTAGACTCATTTACAGATCATTGTGGGAATTTACTTTAATTAATTATTGTTTTATAAAAGTATAAGAGAGATATCCTCACTAACACTGTCTGAACTTTCCTCCACTGAGAGTTCAAAAGGTCGTGGTCGGCCACAGAGCTGCCTGGGATTTGGTATTTGCCGACATGTGGGATTAAATTGAGTCTGCTCCGTGAAGGGCACACTCTTTTCCCACTAAACCACGTCATTCCCCCTCACATGTGAATATTTTATGTGTTCTGAGACGTCCTTGCAGATCTGCCATGGGGCATTATGACTTTATTATTATCAGTAAACGCTCAGCTGTAATTTTTGTCTCTCGCCGTGTCTGCTCATAAATGTTGGAGCTCACACTGGGCTGAAATAAGTGTTCAGCAGTGCGCTTAACTCATGTTGTGCAAAGAAAACATCTTCAGTGTGGAGAATTCGCCGTCTGTGTTGACGCAACACCCGAGGCTCTCCTTTCACTCTTTCTCCCTCCTGAAGGGAACTGCAGTTTTGGTAGAGTGTAATCCCCGGGGGAATTCATTACATTCAATCTGCGGATGATTCAGGATAATTGTAATAGGATTTGAAGTCTATCTTTAGTAAGCGTATAAATACAGACGCACTCTCTTACCCTCAGATGAGCGGAAATAGACAAATAATCTCATTGCACACCTCACTATTCATTTCCAGACGCCCCCCTCCCACCTGCAGGGAAACTCTTGCGGTGTTTGCGGAAATGTTGTAGGGTCTTATCTTCTTAAACACCAGATTTGTTAATCCAATACCTGCTCTGACCTACTGTGCTGATTACCTGATCTGACAAGGCGGTAGACTGTAATCCCTGACTCACTGTCACATCACAGTCGAAGGTACATGAAGGGTATATGACATACAAGAGGCAGACACGGACAGCAGGTTTTTGATGAAAAGGTAACTCTTGACTCATGGTGAGGATGTCAATGAAACTTTAAAACATATCTGCTCACAAGCCGTCATTTAAATATTTCAGACTCAATTTTCTTGTGATATGTGGTGACACTTACTGGTTTGCAACTTTAGTACTAACAAAAATGCCTGAAAAAAAATCAAATACCAGTCATGATTGTGAGAGGGTGAAGCCTAACCTAAGAGCCCAAGGCCTGGCTCACACTGGAAGATTTCTAATGTGGTGGCTGATTTCAAACACGTGAGGGACCACACACATGACAGCAAATCGAGATTTTACTCTTAAAGTGCATGGACACATTTGCCGGTACAGTTTATCCCAGGACTTTGACATTTGTATGTGTGTGTGTGCTTGTGTGTGTGTGCACCAAATGTGTGTGAGTCTGCCCTCATTTGGATTAATTAAAGGAAATCTCCCGTGAAGAGAGGGGGCGTCCCAATCTGGCCTTCTCAAGGACAAGCAACCTATCAATAATACCCTAGCCTCCCCTCGACCTATGCACAATACAACCACCCACTCAGATACACACACACACACACACACATACAGGCACACCTCATTCTAACTCCATGGAAACCGTCACCCAGTGCCGTTCCCAAGCCTGGTGATCATCGCTCTCATTTGCAGTGGAACAAAGCCTGTGAAATCTGGCCTGTTATTATGGCTCCCTTATCAGCGTTCCCTGCTTGCCTCTGCCATGAAGCAACACTCAGCTCAATTGCTCAGTCATTCATATCAGGTTTTTTTTTTTTTTTTCACCCCAAGACTCATTTCTATTGTGGTCTTTTCGGCTGTTCTTTTGTTGCTGACGACCACTGAGTCTGATCCAGCATGAGTCATTACTGAAGTAAACATCATGGCACATTGCGAGAGGAGAGAGCAGCATGTGTTGCTCTGTATATAAAGGGGCTGCCCCGGCTAAGATAATTGCTGAAATCACTCAGCTGATCTGTAGCTTTATTAAAACTGCAGAGTGTGTTTCACAGTGTGTGTGTGTAGAAGTGAGTGTGTTTCATAAAGGCTGCGCTAGAAAGAAAAACAAACAGAAAATCTCTTTCTGTCTTGTGATGACAACAAATCTTAAACCACTTGCTGTAACAACACACGGCCAGATCCTACTATTGTGTACAAAAGTGAAGCCAAAATATCATCCTCCAATCATAGACTGTATATAATATGGACAACTTGGTTCCGTCTTCCACCAGTATATAGATTTAAAACCGAGTAGCGTTGCACACACTCCACCACTTGGGCAGAAGCGTTGTATGCATTCGGCAGGAGAGCCGCCGCGAGTCACCATGATGACGCTCAGCTCAAACAGCATATCCTCCGAGTGAGCTACGCAATCTTCATACGCCCATAGGCTGCATCAAGTGTCAATCATAGAAAACATAACGTTTAAAAACTGAGCTGTACAGAAGAAAATAGGACTTGAGCAAGTTTGTCCACAGCTCCATAAGGATGGCTGGCAGAGGCGAGATTTATGACCTATACTGCAGCCCGTCACCAGAGGGTGCTGTTCTCAGGTGGCTTCACCCAGTGAGGAGGCAGATGGCGTTCATTCTATATACAGTTTATGCTTCCAATGGGTGCCGATAAATCAAAGTCCCACCTCTTTTTTTTCTAACCATATTTTGCATTAGACTCCAAATATTTTGGCTACTCTCTTGGGGAGCTGTCCATCTTTTTACAGTCTATGCTTAAAATTTAACAAGGTGTGTAAAAGTGAAGAAAAGTTTTGTTTCTGTACAGTTCTCGACTTTGGAGTCAAGATTTGGTTCATTTTTTAGTACTGTCATGGCAACAGACAACACAGGTTTTGTAGTACGCATAGTTTATTTCCTTAATTTGGGACTTTTAAGAACCTTTACACGGATTTGAAGGGTAACTTTTCAGGAGATGACATGAGAGCATGAGCTCGCCCGACTCCTTCTGCTCCTCACTGCAGAGGACACACAATCTGTGATCACAAGTAACCACAGTTTGAGCTCAAGGGATGAAACTGAAAAAGGAAACAAAACCTCAGTATAGTCTAAGAGGATTTGTTAAAAGTTACAATACTGAAACAAGTGGTCTAGCAGCCTTCATGACAGACTCTGCATGGGGTACGCGCTCCTGTTTTCCAGTCTATGCAGGCTCTTTGGTTCTGCTCTAAAAAAGTTCAGCACCTTTACACCCCTAATGTGAACCGTGTTTCTTGTATTAATACATCGATTACATCACTCCCTCTTCTCCCTGGGGCTGTCACGGGGATGTCAAGAGGTTGCTTTATAATTGGGATGAAGAGAACCAAAACATAAAATGGTACAAAAAAGCACCCGCAGTCATGTCAAGGCCCTGAAATATCAATTACCATGAAGCGGGACGACAGTTTCATTAAAAAGAGGGGTCTTTATGCCTTTTTTGTAGCTTTAATTAGTTTTTCTCTTTGGTCAGCTACTTGACTGTTGGTCTTGCTGTCTACCTCATGACTCTTAATTTACTTATTCACTTAGTTGGCTGCTCTTGTGCCCGTCTTGTTTCTCCTCCCGTGTCACTCATGAATATATTCATGCAAACATTGTTGGGGTGAATCTCATTAGAAAGGAAAGCATGTTGTCAGCTTGGTGTGTTTCTGGCAGTAAACAGAGTTTCGTTAACATATTTACCCCGGTATCCCCTTGAGGGAAGACGGGAAAAGATTCGCCAAAGCCAGGGGAAAGACTGAATGTGAGAATACATGAAGAAGTGTTAAAGACGGACTGTGATGGAGGCGGAGGCCTGTCCTTGAAAGAGGAGCTGAATGACAATAAATCAGCACGGCACCGTTGGAGAGTTTTGCAATGGCAGCACATAACTTTAAAGACACTTATATAAAAGGTACAACTGAGATTGACACAGCGTGCACTTCTGACGCCAGCAGTCAGACAGTCCACATTTTTGGAGTGATGATGTTCGGGTGGATGCTGGATTCTGGTGTCGTGAGGAATACAAATAAAAGGGGGGAGTACCACACTGGGTTCAGGGTTGCACTTTATTCCTTCTTCTTTACACTTGATTAGGATTAGCCAGCTCCTCGGTGACCAGCCCTCATCCTGCAGTCCCATCTGAGAGACAGTCAAGGAGACATTGAGGGTGTGTTTTCTATTCTCTGCATGAAGGATGTAGGGCAGAGCCCAGGGAGTCTTTACAACCTTGCCTTTGTGCATTAAAAGCCAGTTTTCTCTCCACTTCCAAGTCGCCCCTTTGCCAAAAAGAGAGAAAGTCTAATCACAAAGTCAGGAGAAAAGTTCTCTCTAGTTGAGGATTTAGCTCCAAAAGGGGGTGGGGCTCCCTCTTGTGGAAGCAGAAACTCTTTGACCAGCTCTCACTAACCCAAAAGTGACCCCTCTAATGTCAGCAAAGTCATATAAAGCTCAGAGATGTCCCTACTTGAAGCACTCAAGTTTCCTCTAAATTGTATGTTGTTAGAATCCATGATGAAGCATCCGTTGCAGCTGACAGCTTCTGCTCAGAATTTCAATGTGCAAAGTAACCTCTCTTTACCCCGAGATCTGTCTCTGTCATCCCGGCTGCTCAAAAGGCCCTCTGCGGATCACTCAGCTGAACAGCAAAGGCTCCGCATCACAGAAAAATAACAATGTTTAAGTCATAAAGCTCCTCGCTGCTCCACTTGCGCTGGGAGTGCTGCGAGAGACATCGCCATGGTTACGAAGTTTGACTCAGACGGAAAGGTGACGCGTAGCCATTGAGGGGAACAGATCGGGGTGCGAGGGGCGGGGAAGAGGAAAGACAGGAGTAAAGAGCGGTGAGCTACAGGTGCAGCCAGAAGTGACAGTGTGTGTTTTTGGAAAGAGAGAAAATGATGGTGAGAGAGCAAGAGGCTGTGAAGGGGCATCCTACAAGAACTAGCATTGCATGTGTTCGTGTTTAGCGTGTGTGCGCACAATGGCCTGTGTGCATATGTGTGTGGGAGGTGTAGAGAAGAGTTTTTCCTGTGAGGTTTTCCCAGTCTTATCAGAGAAGAAAAAGAGGTGACAGCCGAGTCATTCGTATTCCATGTAAACATTTCTGGAAAGCCCCGCACACATATGTTCCCTAAAACTGCCGCTTCCCCCCACCTTTCTATCCTCCATCAGCCCCTGAGCTCGAATGGATGATGCTATCAGGAGGCCCGATGCTGGAGGGAAGCGGGAAGCTTGTAAAAGATCCTACCCGCGCTGTTATCTACATACGTACAGGCGAGCTGTGCAGCAGCCAAGTGCCTGGCGAGCTATTTGCGGCTTTCAGTGTATCATGAATATTAACAGTGTCCAGGGTGCGTGTTTGTTTTCTTCTTCTCTCCACTGGTTGGAGCCTAGAGGAAGTGTTGATTATGGGGCCTTGGTCTGGTGATTAACACGGATATTGCTACATAAGCACAGGGGCTAGCACACTTAGTGGTAATTACACTTAGCCCTTTCTGGCCTTTTGTTTCCGTCATACATGGAGCCGCAGCCAGTAAAACTTGAAATCGAAAAAAAGGGATTTATTCTAGCATTATGTGTTTTCTTAATACCAGATTCATTTTGCGCACATGCCAAAATAAGCAGAATGTGCATGTGTCGAAATGTAATTTGCACATATTTAAATGAATACTGGAAAATCTCCTGTGCATGTGCATGTGCATGAATCTCTGTGTGTGGGTGTTGTGGCTCTATCTCAGGGTTTGCCTGCTGTTCTCCGTTCTCCTGGGGGGACGAAAGGGAGGGGACAAAGTCAGAGGCATACAGGTTAATAATGTTGTCACGGCATTAGGGCCGAAGGCTTTTTCTACCCAGAAACACACATAGAAGCAGCATGCAGCAAGCATACAGAGTGCGCATGCAAGCTTTTGATCATGTCTCCTAGTCGGGAAAGGACAAAGAGAGAGGACAATGTCTAAATGGGTTTCTGATATAAATAAATATACAGAAATCTTAATCATCATCAGAGAGATTTATAGTCATGGGGCGGCAGTGGTGAAGCAGTCCCACAGCAACAAAATAAGACAAAGGCAGTGGAATAAGCAAACCTTCAGCTCTGCTTCTCTCATAGCTCACGGCAAGCTCTTACATATTTTACCACCAGAAAATTAGTTTTATTGAATTTTCTCCCACTCTGAGAAGTATCTTGTTTATTACAGCAGGCCTTATAGTTGTTATAAATTACCTCGATGTTTTAAATGAATTTTCCTCCTGTACATTTTTAATTATTAAGGTGTTTGCCTTACTGTAAATTCAGCCTCTCCTACAGTGCATTTCCGACTGTACCTCCTTCCTCACTTACTCTGTTACTCTTATTCTGGGGGGGAGGGGGGGGGTTCCGGACATTGGTGATGTAAAAGTCACATGCAATGACTTGCTGCAAGGTGGCTAAGAGGTCAGCGGTGATGGACAGATTACAGTGGGAGGTGATAAAGAAAGCAGCAACGATCGGCGCGATTAGAAGTTTGCTAGGAGTGAAAAGAGCTAAAAGTGATGATCTCACTGAGACTTATCACTAAAGATGTCGTCCTGAATCCCACAGTGTGCATGACTTTCCTCCCTGCCCTTCCTTGGAGGCTTGGACTCAGCAGGAAACACTTATATATCCAAGGCTTAATTCACAAAACTGCTGAGCTGTGCATGGAAATAATATTTTTCTAATACAGCGATGAAGCATTGTTGAACTGCAATCATATCTCTCCTGAAGACCATAGTGGGTGTAGAAATCTGATATCAGACAGAATGGGCTGTGTTACAGGATATAGAGTAGGATAGGCGAAGCATTAAGTATCTATTTCAGTCAGCGGATGGTTCAAGGATCCCATCAGAGCTTTAAATAAACTCATCAATACACTTGATTGAGAAGGACAGATGCAGATTTTCTCTCAAGGTTGAGTACAGGAATGGCCTTGCTTGCTTGCTTGTGTGTGCAGTTTTGTGTTTTAAGGAATTGTTGTTGTTGGTGTGTGTGTGTTTATTTATTGTGATGCAGCTTGCTCATAAATGTTGAAGTTTACCTGAGTAGTGTTGTGTTGTGTTGTGTTGCTGGGTATTTATAGCCTAAAAGCAATGTACTGTTCAGGACTGCAAATGTCCCTCTCAAATCAACTAGGCCTCAAAGTTGCTTATAAATATGAATGACTCAAGGTTATCAAACATAAGAAGATACAAGATTTTTCTCTTTTATGAACATATAGTGTATGACCACTGTATGTTTTTCATAAAACTTCAAAACGCCAACAATTGAGAGGATCGAGTTTGTTTGTTTTTTCATTTGAACTCAAACAACATAAAAATTGATTTATTGATCACCATTTATCTTGTAATCATCGTTAGAAGTTGTTAAAAGTAATCGGTAATCAACATAGATTTACATTCCTTGAAAACTAAAACTGCTTACAAGGCAAATGCTCTTCTACCCAGGTGTTAGCAAGCACAGGTAACAGATGAAATCTTGTAGCTCTGAACTTTAAAGCAATACTGTGATGCAGAAAATGGAGATTTAGTTATATGTAGGATGTGTTTGCTAACCTGGAATATGACCACTCGGCTACGGCAAAGTGAAGCAGCAAAAGACCAAAAGCTGTTGGTGCTAGCTCTGCTAGTGTTAGCTACACTCTGCAAACCAGTTTGTCATTGCATACTGACTTGCAGACTTATAATCTTGCATTTGGCCGTATTTAATGTTGAGAGAGTTTCTTCCTAAATTTCCATTCAAACATGAAGAAATGCCTCCCATATCTGCAGAGGTAAAAAACTTTTAACTGTATTTGAATTGACGATCCCCCAAAAATATCCCACCAAAAATATCCCACTTCAGTCTTTCACAGTGCAAGTGAACACAGGACCCTACGATCAAAGGAATGATCCTTTTTGGAGATTGGTGTAATTAGCAAATCCATTTTGGGATGCTGGGAAATCCACTGTGTGGGAACCGAGATGCTGCTACAAGAGAGGGCAGTGTCACATGAAAGTGCTGACTATGTGTTTATATGGTGTCTAGTTTGAGCTTTCTTTGTATCATGTCATGTCATTTTTTAGCAGATATCCAATTTTAAAGTTAACTAGAAACATTAAAAAGTCAGCTGTTAGGTGCTCAGCCATCCCGAGGGGTTAATAACAGTTAATTTGTAAATGTTAAGCAAATTGAGCAAAACTAAAATGTGATAAGGACAGCTGAAATAAGTTGAAGAGCAAATTGACTTTAAATGACAAGTCTTTAAACTTTTGACTTCAATTAAACGCTGTTGTTTTAAAAGCTGCTTAGTCGTCCCTGGAAGAGAAAGAGGGGAGTTGTAAGGCAGTTGACAGTTTATGCTTCATGTTAGTTTTTGTGTTAGAGGCAAAGCTGAACCAAAGGCAAACCGCACTGATTTTGCTGAACTTTTCAACTTCCTCTGTTTGTTAGGTTTAATCCCTTTATGACTGTGAATTTTTAAATTACAATCATTGTAAGTCTATCATTCCTCCCTTGAAAACAAGAAACTTTCTGGTTTGTTGCAGCACTGTTAGGAGCCAGATTCCTCTCTGAGCTGTTTTTGCCAACTCCCAGAGCTCTCAGGGATTCATACACTGGCACATTTCCCTCCCAGTGTTGTTTGTGTATTGAATTAGCATCAGTCTTAATTGGACCCCAGTAGTGTGTCATTTGAATAAAAGCCAGCAGGGGAATTGCCAGTGCACTGTGTTTGCTTATAGGTGTATTATATTTGTCATATCACTCAACCTGAACTTATCTGAGCTGCACTGGAGTGCCACATGCGAACACACACACGCCTTTGTTTCCCATCTCTGTGCAGACGTGTTTGTGTGATTCCAATGGACAAACGCACTCTATAAATATTTGATGCTAGCCCACTTTCTCCTCTGAATCTTTGAAATAAAATAAGCTGCACACCAACAAATATCACCCCAATGTGAATGAAGCCTTTAAAAGGATATGGGGTGACGCAGTGGCATTGCACAAACATTATGTTTAGAATAAAAGGGGCCGTTTGGTGAAGACATCAGAGAGAACAAAGCCACAAAAAGCATCACACTCCAGCTGAAGAATGGGAGGATGGTGGAGGGACAATCATTAATAATGGAGAAGCATCCCTTAAAACTGTAGTCTTTTATTTATCTGTGGGGTCTTCCTCTTTTTTCTTGCGTGTAGCACTGCGGTATGAGAACAAGCACACTGGAAGCAGAGGGTGTGGATTGCTTTCAAGCTGGTGGGATCTGGTTATTGATTTCTCCCAAATACTGTCAGCCTGTTCAGCCAATTTTTGTGCTGCAGAGAAAGCTCCAAAAGTTCAGCATACAGTGATTAAACCCAAAGGATACCTGCTGTTGCATGCCTCCAGCAAGAGAGTTCTGCGAAAGCTTTTTGCCGCACAAATAAAAAGTAAACAAAAGTAACTGACGTGCAAAATTAGACATGCAGACTGATCGTGAGGCAGCAAGGGTGACCCCAGGACTCTAATCACTTCATGCCAGCACCCCTCACCAAGGTTGCCAAGCACAGAACGACAACTAATGCAGTCTGAGAGATTGATGTTGGATTGAATTGGAGGTGGCACAATATAATGCTTTGTTTTGCCAAGACAAATGGGTCATATCCACTAATGATTATTGACTGCTCTGAAAAATAAATGAAGAGCTAAAAAGTTTACCATGAAAAAACAAAAAAACAAGCCTTCATTATGATGCACTGAACTCCCACTGGAGCTGCTGAAAATAGACGGCCAGATGGACACCAAAGTGGTTTCTGTTATCTAATGTTGTTGCAAAGTTGTTTTAAAAAAAAAAAGATAGCTTGGGACATATTTCAGTTGCACATTTACTGTGCCAGTTTTGAGGAATTTAGCTGATTCAGTTTTGCACACATCAGACTGACTGAAGCATTCGTACAAACCTCTGAACCTCGGAGGAGCTGTGGGACAAAAACAGCGGATGGCCACCAAATGAGACAGCCCCTCTTTTTGCCTTTTCTCTCTCTCTGGAAACCAGCCATAGCAAAAGGCACTTAAAAAGCAGAAATTTGATCGAGTGGGTGGGAATATGTCTTTCCCTTTTTGCTGATTAATGTGGAGTCTCTCTATGGGCAAACCTATTCAAGTCATACCCTCACTATCCCTGCCTGATAAATCTCTCTTTAAGTAAGAGTGCCAAGTTCTTTAACAATGCCATATTTGCTCAGCGCAATCATTAAGGGCTAGTTATGGGTGTCCAATGCAATTTGGGCACATTTGGAAATCAAACCTTTCTATTTTTGTTCTCCAAACCTGTTCCAGCCTCTGAAAGCCGTGAATACTGAGGTGAAATCCTGCGCTGGTACGTGTAAACTTAGAGTTGAAAATAATGAGGAGGCTGGTTTAATGTATGATCAAAGCTTTGTTGTCATGTGACACCCAGCCCTCGTGCTTTGGCAGGGCCACTGCGTTGGAGGAGATACAGTCCTAGAAGATGAAATAGCACACAAGTCTCAGGATCAATCCCCATTACCATAGCCATAATCGCCTGGATTGATTTCGCAGCAAAAAATTATCATACCTGAGGAATGGCTCAATTTGTCCGGCACAAATTAATGACACAAGAGGAGGGGGTGAGCCAGGATGGGAGGGGGGGTCAGTTGGGATCTTAGAGGTGGATCATGGTCCATAAGAGCTTTGAGCAGAGGGGATCAATAGGGACTCACTGGGCCAGGCTCAGTGTCCATAATGTGATGTGTACACAATCGATAAACCTCCCACAAGCTGCCGGATGAGCCACCAGTGTGGTGCGGGATATTTTTCTTCCCCACAGAATCTCTCCCATCCCCCTGGCTAAAGATAATGGAAATCCAGGCAGGAGAAGTGAATAAGGGTGTAACTGCGCAACCACAGGGCTGTCACTGATGACAAGGCATTAAGAGAGGAGTTAGCAGCTTATTGACTACTTCCTGCTGGAACTAAAAGTAGACGGAGAAAGGCGATTCTTTCTATCTGAAGAGCAGTGGTTGAGATGACAGGTGGGAGATGACAGAAAGAGTGGCTCCAAAGAGGAGCTCTAGAGAGCTCTTAACTTCTTTGTACCTACTTCATACTTCCTGTTCAGGCCTCCCCGAGGAGCTAATGCTACCTCCCAGGAGCTGTTGGATTGAAATTCTGCGGCTGGGTGTTGTTGGCCAAAGCACAGTCACTCCCTTGATACACAAGCAAAAATCTCCTTAACTGTTGCCTACTCCATTGCTGGCGCCACATTTTAAGCTGTCCCCCGAGGAACTGAGCCAGCTGGTTTTTGTTTTTGTGACGACATTCATCAAGTGATTTATTTTCAAAGATGTGTCCTACACCGTGCTCAGGAGTACAGACCAAAGTATCCAAAGAAATCCTCAGAGTATTGTATAAGAATAAAAGTCATGGGGTGCGCTGTGATTCTCCCTCACTCGCTCTCTCTCTCTTTTACCATCTGTCTTCTATCTCACTGTAAATCTTGAAGTGATACAGCCGTTGTGGTAAAACTAGTGCAGGGAAAAGTAAAAAAGCACAGGTAGCTTTAGGTAGACACCTAAAGCTCATGTCACCTGATCATCTGACGAGTTTACCCTTGTGTCTAAGCTAATTATGTCTCATGACTGGCCTGACCATGACCTGACAAGTCAAACCTTTCAGGGATATAAAACAAAAACGGAAAAGAAAAGACAGAAGCAGTTTTGTGGATTATTTTTTGGGGGGTCATCTCAGACATTGCTGTTACTGTGCACGAGTGGCAGCACTGATTACTGAAATGATCTGGTTAATTTAAATGAAACCCAGTCGTCCAAGCTATTAGAGTCCCTCTCTAAAGAATCCCTTCAGGTATTTGAAGGTGATCAGTGGAGTGGAATATCTTCTTCATTTTCCTGTCTCTGATAGATTCTTTCACTGGGTCACTTCCAGGCCAACAGGTCTGACTGCGCTTGTTTCCGTCTTTTAATCCACCTTTCACGGCATTTGGTGCTATATTTGATGCCACCGCACATGCAAATCAGGGCCAAAGAAGACTGAATCCAAGTAATTGATCTTCTTAACAACTCCCACTCAATTACAGCAGGTTAATGCAAGCCACCTCAGGATTACTCATCATCATGGCTCAAATGTCAACTGCAAGTGTCCAGTAGCGGGGGGTGCACTGGTATGTGGGAAGGTGAGATCACATGGGCGTGGGTCAGTGAAAACATTAATCACTTTTCCTCTCTGCGCATGCATGCCCATAAGTCCGTCCATTCAGCTGTTCAGAGTAAAGTTTTAAAGGGTTCACTTGCTCTAAAGTGCAGGACGATAGAGGATTAACTGTCTCCTCTGGAGTATTTACTGTGGAACTAAATAAAGAATAGACTTCTAAAGAACAAGTGACCTTTCGCTTGTATTTCATGCAGTAAATCATTCTTACCTTTGTACTACATCCAAAAAATCAGCTGTGTCAGTAAGCACAAGTAAAGCCCATAATCTAAAGCAAAATCATTAGTTCATGCACTAATCTACCGTCCGTGCCAAGGTCTTCATCAACAGGAGAACAAGCGCAGGCCTTGCAATGGAGGGACTTGGCACCAGGTGTTGCGCTTTAAATCTACATGCCAAAAAGTTCAGGGGAATGGAAGAAATCTGTGTCCTTACTGTGCGTCTTCCTGCCCAGATTGCCTTACTTAGCTGCTAATAGGTTTAACGTAATCAGCACCAGCAGTAATTTAGTGATAGCACTACCTCTGCTGAGCCATGACACACCCTTGTCTTTAGCCTTTTTTTCCCACCAAAAGAAAGATATTCAGGCAGTCACAGGCATCTTTTCTGATTGTTTTCAGTGCTAGCTACGGGCTAGTGGGTAGTTCACAAAAACTAAACCCCGAATCCTCCAAAATCCATGAGCCGTGACCCTGCATGAGTGTCACCACTATGTGATATTTGCTGAATTAGGGAAATCTCACAGGAGATGAAGTCGGTCTCCAGACGGCACTGTGTAAATCTGCGTGAGACAAGCAGCGTGTTCTGCGACTGTATGCAGTTTGTGATTAGTATTCAGTGGGTCTTGTTTTCCTATCTTCACTGAGACTCTTCAATCTCTGTTCATTAGATTTTAATAGGTTTTGTATCACTGAGGTCATGAAGGACATTGCGGAAGAGAATGCAAATGTTTCTTTGCGCTGGGTTTTAGTTTGGTGTTGATGTTATGCAGCAGCATTGAAGTGTAGAACAGAGACTTTTCACCTGTGCGAGTTAAAATATTGATCCCAGCAGAATCATTGGTCTATCTGTGGCTCTTGAGCTGAGGCAGAGGCTTAGATCAAATCTGGACAGATGCTATAGAAGAAGAGTCAAGGGATGTGATGATGAAAGGGCCCGTAACACCTCTCACTCTAAAGTGACAAGGAACACTCATTCATCACACTTATCACACATTGTGTCACTGTCAAACACACACTTCTACTTCCACATTATGCTCACACAACCATTTTAGAAAGAACTCTGTGTCAGAACACTGAAGGCCAGATTTAATCTACTGAGGTCTATTAATCCTGGCCAAAGTAAAGATCCTCTGCCTGAAACGCAGCCTCATGCTGTGCTGACCTCACAGGATTATGCAGGATGTACTTACCAATTCCCTTACTGAGCAAAAAGTACTGTAAGCAATATCAAAGCATCCAGTTTCCATCATAGACTTCTGAAAGATTAGATAACAGTCTTCAAAAACTTTTTACTTCAATTAATGAAAGCAATAGATCATACTTAAAGATAGAAAGAAAGAGAGAGGTTCAGACTTCTGCCAACAGGTGGAGCCAAAGTCCTTTTATCCTTTTATCTATTGTGGACAGATCACACACACACAAACACACACTCACAAGCAGATACACAAATACACACACACTGCTTTCTCTCAAAAATAGATATCTGGCCTAGTTAATGTACCTTTTTTAGATTTTCTCTTTACTTATCTGTTGTGTAATGCTGTATTAGCTGCATTTCTTATTTTCTCTAATGTGGTTTTGTACACTTTGATGTTTGTTTTGGTTCAAGAGCATAAACTGTATAATTCCCACAAGACAAATAAAACTGGTACTAATAAAGGCTTAGTCACTATTTATTTCCTTACACTAAATTAGGTTTTTTATTCATCACTAACAATTGATCCATATAGCAGTACATGATTTATGACAAAGAAGGTGATAGCACTGACAAATTACTGTGAACTTTTTCAATCCAGCTAACATGTTCTTCCTGTCTGTGCTTCCTTTCCAGATTCTCGCCATCATCTCAATCCTGTTCATTGTCCTCTCCACCATTGCTCTGTCTCTCAACACCTTACCAGATCTCCAGGTCATAGATGAGTTTGGCCAACTTAATGACAACCCCCAGCTGGCCCACGTGGAGGCCGTGTGTATCGCCTGGTTTACCATGGAGTACCTCCTTCGCTTCCTCTCTTCTCCGAATAAGTGGAAGTTCTTCAAAGGCCCACTGAATGTCATTGACTTGCTGGCTATTCTGCCATACTATGTCACCATCTTCCTAACAGAGTCCAACAAGAGCGTACTACAATTCCAAAATGTGCGCCGTGTGGTGCAGATATTCAGGATCATGAGAATACTGAGGATCCTGAAGTTGGCCAGACACTCCACAGGACTTCAGTCTTTAGGGTTTACTTTGAGAAGGAGCTACAATGAACTGGGGCTGCTTATTTTGTTCCTTGCAATGGGTATTATGATATTCTCCAGCTTGGTCTTCTTTGCTGAGAAAGATGAAGATGCCACAAAATTCACCAGTATCCCTGCCTCATTCTGGTGGGCAACTATTACAATGACCACAGTGGGCTATGGTGACATTTACCCACAGACTTTACTTGGAAAAATTGTGGGTGGGCTTTGTTGCATTGCAGGAGTGCTGGTCATTGCCCTACCCATCCCTATTATTGTCAACAACTTTTCTGAGTTCTACAAGGAACAGAAGAGGCAGGAAAAGGCCATCAAGAGGAGGGAGGCACTGGAGAGAGCCAAGAGGAATGGCAGCATTGTGTCAATGAACTTAAAAGATGCCTTTGCGCGCAGTATGGAACTGATGGATGTGGTGGTAGAGAAAGGAGAGGACAAATCTTCCATGGACAACCACCTCACACCAAACCGTTGGGGTGGCTCAAGCAGGCACTTGTCAGATACTAATCTGAGATCCCCAGATAAAAGAAACCCAGAGTCTCTTCTGCAAAGCTCCCCTCAACGCATAACCATCACCACCACTGGAAGTCCACAGCGGACAAACAGGCCCCCACAGCACCTTAGTGCTCAAAAACTGGAGGAGATGTACAACCAGATGACCAAGTCACAGTCTTTCACCAACCTCAACACTACAAGCTCCATGAGCACCCTGAGCACAACTGTGACTGGCCTTGGCTCGCCTAAGAAAACACACAGCTCTGAATTTGCATTAAAAGAGGAAGTAGAACTGGAGATGAAGGAGGTGCAACCCCCATCACCAGACAACTTTGCAAGTTGCTCCTCAGACTTTAGAAGAAAGAGCACAGACTCAGGTGAGGCAGACAGTGGCTCGAATCAAATCAGACACCCCAAGGCACCACCCAACTTGGATCTGGGCCTGCTGGGGACCATTGATGAACAAAGCTCTCCTGGCATCAAACTCAAAGATGGCCTCTATGAAACCAGAGATGGATCTGAGCTCCAAATAGAGGAAAGGGAGAATTTTGACGGCGCTGGAGAGGACATCCCAAGCTCTCCCAGAGCGAATAACCCTCTGAAAATGAAAGGGTTGAAGGCTAACTTCAGCAAAACCTCTGCTGAAGGCCCACTAACACCACCCAGCACTACCTCTCCTGGAGACATCAGCTCCAGCATCCTGGAAGACGAATCGCCAGAGGGAGAGACGTCACCACTTATCCCAATGGCAGAAGAGCTGTTCCCAATATCAGAGGAGGACCCTTGTTCATTGTCCCCTAAGAGGTTGGTTGTGGACACCCCACCTGGTGATGATGACCCATCCTCAGAAGGCCATGATGAGAAGCATCTGATGGAGGTTGCAGGTGCACCGCTGTCCCCGAAAACATCATCACAAAATTGCACCCAAGGTGTGGTTGTTGTAGGGGAGGATGCCAAGACTGACAGCAACCAAAGTGGACACAAAGTGGAGAACCACATGTTTACAACTGATATCCACCTGATACCTGGGGAAGGCAGTCTCTCACCGACCCTTGAAACCAGCATGTGATTGTGAGAGAAGCTATGCATAGACCCACTGCAACCTCAGTCAGTGTGTAGGTGAGCAGGAAGAAACATCAAGGGTGCAGTTGTAGTGACAGAAATTTTTGCATGGCATGACAAGTCCCTTTTACTTGTGTTGTGTATTGCTGAAAAAGAAACTGCAGTGCTTCGTGCAGATTCGAGATCGACTTTGGGACAAACAGTGGGCTTCGAGTGGAGGGTCTAGAGGGAATTCATCAACTTGTATTGACATTTTGGTCCTCCAGATGTACATAATGACAGTCTCCTTTTTCTAGCAAACAATGGAAATGCACAGAGGGACTTATCTGTATAAAGCATGCATTTAAAAAAAAGACAGGTATTTTACGGTGCTTAGTTTGCTGAAAGCGCTCCACTGTAAATATTAGGACATCCAAGGCATTGACAATGCACAGGATGGCAAAGGAATACTCTCTGATGGTACGAATATTTGCAGTGTGAAAGGGACTGGGTGGGGGATTGAGAGCCCTCAAACTGGGTGTTGCATTGTAGCGACCTATAAAAAAACATATCATTACCTTTTGTGGAAATGCAAAGTGTTCCCATGACGACCCTGTAATGTTTGACTATGTGAAAAATGGTGTACGAAACTGTAACGTTGACATTATTGCTTTTGGTTTTCATAATGACTGTTGAACTATCAGTTGAGCATCCAATGTTCAGTCTTTGAATCAACAACAGTGGGCAAGAAGAACGAAACACCATAATTCCTCTGAATACATGTAGTTGCCAAATAACCAGTAAGGACAGGAACTATCTAATACCACTGCTACTGAGAAAAAAAAAAAACTATCAGTCTAAGAATTCAGGACAAAGTTGAAGATGTTTAGTTTCCTGTTCAGCCTTTCAATTTCATCAAAAAACACAAAAATTAACCTTATTTATTCTCTGACATAAGATATATACACATGTAAAAGTAGTTCCAAGAATAAACTAAGAAATACTTAGGTCTAAACTGGTTGTAGAGAAGTTCTTCTGTAGGTAAGTGAGATTCCATAAAACAGAGTAAATACTATTTATTAATTCAGCACAGTAGTTCTGATCATCACTACACCTATATGCTTTAAACGACAATTATCCATTTTGGCAATTCAAAGGGATAGACTACAACAAAAAAAAGACAATATTCCTTGTGGATCAATGGACCAAATCAAGCACAGTGACAAGCTTTTAACTATCTCAGCTGCATAGAAACATATACAGTGATGAAATGTGTTATGAGTAGTTTTATCTCTATAATTTTAGTTTCTTTTCTACCTGCATTGTGTTCATTGTCCTTTCCTCAGCGCCCTGATGTCTTTGTTGAGATTTGTTCCAAACAACTGCGAGTTTTATCCGATTCTGCTGACGAGTTTAAGGCATTATTTTTGTATATCCGTAGTGTCTTGATATGTAATTTATTGTGTTTTCTTGTGAACAAAACTGTTTTCAGTCAAACTTAAACCCAAAGGAGATTTTTTTCTTGTCTTCTTTCTTGCTCTTTTATTTTTGTTTTTACACTGACTGAAAATATCTGTTTTATGTTGCCTTTGATTCCAATTTTACAGCTGGAATATTTGTGTATTATTTCAGCATGACACTTGGCTGAGTGTACTAGAGCTGTGTTTGTGAAAGCCGCACAAACCCGAATGGTACCGACCGGAAGTAAGTGGGTGAATTGTTTGTTTTGTTTCTTTTCTTTTTCTTATTATCATGTCTTTATGTTCTCACAGAGAGGTGTGGAATGTGCAATACCGCATACTGCAAATCTATGCAGGCCAAGAATTGTGGCACTTTATTTTCTGTCTATGGGATTTCTAAGTGTACAGGCAGAAATTACTTGTATTTTTCAAATGTTATATCTTTAATATGAGGCAGAACAGTATTACAACTACCAGAATCTCAAAAACAATGCAAATGAGAATTTAAATTTTACTTTTTCATATTCTGTAGCTGGCATGTGAGGTCAAGCACCCTTATGCCAGATATCAATGGACCTCAAATTTAATTATGAGTGGGAATGGGCATCCAAATTGACTACTTTTGGCCTTTTATATTGCTGTTAGATTTACTCTAAAAAATCTGACAAATTTCTGTGGGAAATATGAAAACAGTCTAATTTCAATGGCCACACACAAAGGATTTTATGTTTTTTGTGAATTAAAGTTGAGAATGATTCTATTTTTTCTAAACCAAAATGGAGCACGACCACAATTTCCTGCCATATGGTGGTTGAAATGATGCGTGCCTTTTCATAACACTGCAGTTTATGAGAAGGTAGCGAGTCATTTTGCTTTGTTCATATAGCACTGTACAGAAAATTCTAATTTTATAGGAGAAATCAGGTCTTTATGTAATAGATACAAGTAATGTTATTGAGTTCTCAGGTTTTCTATAACTCTCTGATGTTCTGATTGGATAGAATCTCTGTTTTTTCTTTAACAGCTCAATGTCAACTAGTAACTTCTGTACTTTTTGAAGGTGATGTTGTCAAATCCACATTGATGTCTTGGCTCCTGGAGTAAGGAGCGGCAATATTTCTTCCTCCTCCTCGGTAATCTGTGTACCACATTAAGTGTCCACCCCCATCAGCGTTCAGTGAGGCAGGAAGCAGCACAAACAAAGAGACAGAAACAAGTCGGACTGGCAGAGTTTTAACACTGAGAAATAGAAGAAACTAGCGTGCGAGTCTAGCTTACAGCAGACAGGTAGAAAAGGATCCCTGAACTGATACATCTGATTATTTCCCATGCTGACAACATTGAGTGCTCCAATCCCTACAGCTTCAGAGGCTCTAACCCCATGGCATGCCCTCAGGAACAGCAATCAATGAAGTAAAGAAAGGCCAGGTTAATGGAAGGTTATCAGAGTAAAGAGCAGAGGTGAAATTGAGTCCTCCCATATGGTAACAGCACATTAGTGCTCAGCTGTGGTCCATTTTTCTCCTTGCTTGTGCACGTACTTAAAGCCCAGATTAAAATAAATGAACTCAAAGATTCATGTAAGAGCTCTTTTGAAATTATTGATCCCTGATCAGGCAGATAGATTCTTTGGTACTCCTCCAAAGTAAAAGCGCTCACCAGTGCTAGTTGTTATTTGAGGTATTCATTTGTCCTGTTTTTAATGGAGGAAGTGACATGACAACACTTTTTTTTCTGTAACTAATTTAATGTTTCTCCTTCATCCCTTGTTTTCTAGTAACTATGTGTAAGCCTCAAGTAATCCTTCATTTTGACAGGTGGGGTAGACGAAACAAAGGATTTGGATTGATCAGCTATATTCCCCGGGGATGATGTTTGTGTGGATACTTAAATTAGTTCTAAGAGCTGGCAGCAAATGAACTGTGCTCTGTCTTACTGTCTCACAATGGCATTATCATCTGTGATACTGTACAGAGTGGAAGGTTGTGTCTTTATTTTCTCTGAGAGAATGGGTATTGTCCATGTGGCTCATGCGTGCTTATCAAACCCTGCTCCCTAAAATGCATTAAGCATTGTTTTTTTTTCTTATTTTGATGTATTCTGCCTCCTACATCTTTTTTTTTCAGCTTTCGAGAACATAATCATTAGACACATTCTGAGCTACAGACTGTTTCTGTACAAAGCAACATCTTTGTATGCATGTAGTAGTCCGAACAATTATGTGACCACAGAACACTTTGTTATGGTACATGTATGTCAACATTTCTGTAGAGCATTGTTCCCCATTACGTCTATTAGCATATGCAGAATAACAAATAAATGTGTATATAACTCACGTCTTCCTGTTGCTGCTGTTTTGAGGTCAGTTTCTGAGTGCCTTTTAGTGCATTTAAAAGGGATCATCACAAACAGAAATTATTAACACAAATAATGTATACAGTATAGTCCTTTTTTTAAAGTCCATAAGTAAAGATAGCCTGTCTGGCGGCAGAAACACAATGCAGTAATACCATTCTTTGTGTTGCAACACTTAGTTAAATGACAATATTTGCTAAATACTGGCTCAGATTTAGTAGGAAAGATTATAACTGCACATCCAGTGACAGAAATTATGTCTCAGTAAAGGACAAAATATTTTTTGCGTAAGAATGGTTACCTCTGGATAGCAAAAGCAGTCAAAAGCAAAGGAAAAAGGACAAAAAACTAACAAGGGATGTTAAAATACACCATAAACTGAGAGAAAGAGACATCAAACAATCTAAAGAAAACAGCCGGTTTGATTCAAGACTGCAACCCTGAGGCACAAGTCACCCCCCTCTTTCTTGTGTTGGCTATGTTTGTTTCCTTCTATGAGGACACAAAAATCCCCAAAATATAAAGAAAAAAAATAGGATCATCATTGTAGAAGTGTTTAAATCATCAAAACTAAGGGGTTATCATTTTAAAAGCAATCAATAAATTTTAAATCAATTCTTAATATCAACTTATGAACATTTAAGTTAGTAGTCCAGTCTTATCAGGATTCTATTTCGCATAACCCCCACCTGACAACAAACATGTCGGGCATGTCTTCACCAACAAGGTTAAATTTCTACCTAGATATGGCTACTTATAGCTGTATTTTGGCAAACTTAGTAGTACAAGTCTTTCCTTTAGGTTGAAATGTACTTGATAATTAGGCCATCCAGTTAAGATAAATGTTATGTTATTGGGTGTTAAAATCTGGATGAAAGATACATTATTTTACAGCTTAAGCATATTCGAGAGCTTGGCGCACAGCAAATAAGCATAACGTACTTTCATCCAAAGTTGCTCACTTACCATATTAATGCAGCTCGTTTCAGTAGTCGTCCTCCTGTACATCATCGTCATTGTCCGTTTTTTACAGGGCCCGTCACCTTGTGAAGATAAATCCTCAGGGGTTTCACAAACTTTTCACCGTGTTGTTTTGTTCACAGTCCGACGTGCAACTCCCCAGCATAAGCATAGACGGTATATTTTTGGTTAGTGTTAAGAAACAATCTTTACCGGCAGATAATAATTATGATTAACAATTTCGCTGCACTTGTAGGACACACCTGTTACACCTGGGACTAATAAAAGTTTAATCACCTGCAGATGACCCCGGCAGTAGGCCAAGTCATGTGATTGAACGGATACGTCACGTCTCTTTTGCCCACAAATTGTTTAGTACGGTGGCCGAGAACCGCCACTGCTGCAAATTAAAAAAAAAATAAATAAAAAAAAGTCACGACGGAAGTTACTGATGAAAAAATAAGGAAACCAAAGCCCACTGCAAATGAAAAAAGAAACAGAGCAGATTAAAAAGGCACAACAAGAGTTAAGGACGCCCAAAAAAAAAAGTGGTGATAGAAAAAAAGGAAAAAATTTACTTACTGCGAAAATAAAAGAATGCAAATAAAAAAAGCCCCAACGGAAGTGAGCTGCCGGGGACCAATAATGATGATGCGCTGGTGTTTTAAGATCTAGGCACAGAAGACGACGGCAAGAAGACGAGCAAAGAAGTAAGCGGAAAGGTTATTGTTAAATTTTGCTTCGTGTGCTTCCTACAACAGCATCCTACAGATCAGCTTTATATAAACTCAGGCACAACATGGCCTAACTAACCAAATGACACATTGAAAAGCACACAAAGCAAAGTTAAACAATAACTTTCCACTGACTTCTTTGCTCATCTGTTCGCCTTCGCCTTCTGTGCCTAGATCGTAAAACATTGGTGCATCATCATTATTGGTCCCTGGCAGCTCACCTCCGTTGTGGCTTTTTTTGTTTTGCGTCATTAACTTCCGTTGTCTGTTTTTTGTTTTGTTTCGTTTTGTTTTTTAATCTGCACAGTTTTTTTTTTGTTTGTTTTGTTTTTTTGCAGCGGGCTTTGTTTTTGTTTTTTTATTTTATTTGAATTTAATTTTTTTATTATTTTATGCATCAGTAACTTCCATTATGTTTTTTTTGTTTGTTTGTTTGTTTGTTTGTTTGTTTTTTGCATTCTTTTTTATTTTTTCCATAAAGTTAAAACAAAAAAAGGATGGACCTAATACTGACCTGTTCAAGGAGGATAGATAATCATGATTCCCACATAATGATAACCTTTGTCATGGCTTTCATGATAACAAAAACAACAGTGGCCTACACTGTTGATACATATTTTGGGAGTGTGGCTCATCTTTCTCAGAGCTGACATTATCCCCATGCAATACATTCTCAATTAAATGGTGTAATAGATTGAAATTGTTGCACAATTGCCACCACTTGAAAAAGAATGTTGGTGGTGTAAGGTGAATAAAAGGTACAAGGAGTACCTTTCAATTCCTACAATTGTTGTTAATGTGTTTTATATAAAAGTCCAAAAATAAGACTAATGTCCATATTTAGTATTTTTGGTGCTCACTATAGGGGGGGGGGGCTATATATATATATATATATATATATATATATATATATATATATAGATATACTGCTTATGTGTTTGTGTATCTACATGTGTTGAGGAGCTGCTGTATCAAAAAGACTTGTCTTCCTCCAGAACTATGTACATTTGTACAGGTTCAGGAATAAGTCTGTTTTAATCAATGATCCCAATCCATTCATCTTTTGCTGTAGCTCAGCATTTAAATAACTTTTCTGAGATTTGTTTGTTTAGTCACAGTGTATCATTTATGTGTTAAGGTCCTTACACACCGCGGCCGACACGAATATTAAACGCGAAATTACGAAAGGACCATTATGCTTTCAGAAATGTAGGAATGATGGTCCAAAATTGCATTAAAACGTAAAAAATAGTGAAATTTTTCTCGGCCAGCATTTGAGGTGCTCAGCACCCCTTAAGCTCTGATCCTAGAATCGCCCCTGAAGAGGGTTATCTTTGTAAGGTCAGTAAGAGCGTTTACGCCTCCAAAGACTTGTTGATACACTGCCAAAACGCAAGAGGTCGCTGTGGAATATCAGGGCGACAGATAACCACTACAAAAACGGCGCGCGGAAATCAAACAAAGAAGAAAACAAACCGTTTCAGAGAAAGAAGTAAAACATGAAACATGGAGCCAGAGAGTAACAATAAAACAGTAACAGAGGATATTTCCACTGATGAAAGCGTTAGTTTTCCCCGTATTACCGCTGTAGTAACGCGATGGACGTTGGACTTCACGTTTGTGAGCCTGTGTCGGTATTTTAAGGAGGGTAAAATTGATGAATTCGATGAAATGCTGTCGATTTTCGAAGGTAAGTTTTGCAAACAAAGTTAAAACTTTCAGCTTAAGCCAGTTTTTGCTTAAATGTGTTAAAATTGAACAATCTGTGCTGAAAAACCTTTGGAGATAGGAGTACCAACGTCTTACCGGTTTGTTTACAACCTGTATTCACTAACCGGCCACAACATTAGGAACACCGGAGGATAATTTAATCTATTTAAAAAGATAAATGCCTTAAAACTATCCAAACTCAGACTAAACTGACCTGAAGAGTCTAGCAGTTCAAAATCAAGTGAAGCTGAAATTCAGTGTAACATATAATAAAGGTGTGTGACTTTTGTGTTTTGAGACACATTATAACTTCATCCAGTTCAAGAAAAAAAAAATGATTTGATCATCTTTTTCTTCTGTAGCCATATCCCTGAGTCCATCTCTAAAGAGAGCCGCTGATGACAAGAAAACATTGATTTGTGCTTTTCTTGCAAGAATCCTGCACGGGAAGCAGCTGGGTGAGTGAGTGAGTTGTGCTGTTAAAAGGCATCCCCGTTGTTATTCTGTCTGCTCTTTACAGAAACTGATTTATGTAAGCAGAGAGTTTTCATTATTTGTGATTACAGTTTACGCCTGAGGACGTTTACTCTTGAAACTGATCCCAGCTGAGATTAAAGCTTGTGCGGAAATCCATAAAAGATATTGAAGACATAAGTCAAAGTTGTGATGACCCAGAATTGCAGAAAAGTTATTTGAAGCTCAAATTTGTGGTTTCAAGAATATATCCTGTGCTTCTACGCCTTTTAAAATGTATATGTACAACTTTAGACATAGACTGCTTAGCAAGTAGGGGAGAGTGGGGTAAGATGAGCCATTTTTCATATTTCAGATCACCACATCAAGGCAATCATAGTTTTGTCTCTAACTAGTGTATCTGCATAAATTGAAGATGTTGTTCATCCCTGCAAACCAACAGAATGAGTGTAAACAGAACTGTCTTGATAATATAGCATGCCAAAAAAGTGGTCTCCTATGGTCAACTTACCCTGTGTATGGGGTAAGTTGACCATAGGAGCGGGGTAAGTTGAGCCGTATCCCTGCTACCCCCCACTCTCCACCGCAGCCCTCCCTCACCTTCTCTCTCCATAAATAACAGTCACTTCTTCACATTTATGTTTATTTTTATCTATTATATGTTTTTCAACTGGTACAATAATTCTTTTTATTATTATTGCATATAACTGCTAAAAAGCTGTTTTGTAAAAAGTCATTTTAACATGAGGATGCCTTTAAGTGATTCAGAACATTCACAGCTGTATTTTTGAAAAGAGAAAGTAAAACATTTCAACAATCTGAACTGAAACTGATCCTTTCATCAGACTCCTTTACTTTCTCAGTTGAGCCAAATGGCTTAATTTACCCCAGAACTACTATGATGACTTTATTAGTCCTCTAAGCTAAAATGGTGGACTTTTATGTTAGGTTTTTGACCTTGTGTTGAAGCTATGTATTTTTATGCACTGTTTTTCCCCCAGATGTCCAGTATGAGGAGGACGCCAATGTGACACCTCTGGTATCTGCAGCAAATATCTGGTCAGACCTGAAAGACTCTGTGGCAGACAAAAAGTTAGTCCAAAACGTTGGCCTCCTCTTGCTTGTCCAGGTAATCAAATATCATACATGTGGCTTTAAATGTGCGCTAATAGACACATTTTTTTCAGTGTAATTCAAAGGATACTAATGCTCTAATGACACAAAAGAATGCTTTGACGTCCTCCAAATGTTCATCACTGGTGTGTTTTCATCTTTCTTAGTCTGTGGCTGTGTGTTTGGAGAAAGGCCAAAGATCCTCGGCCTCCTCTGCCCTCAAGTGGTTTGAAGAAAACTATGAATTTCCAGAGGTCTGTCCTCAAATGTCCTTTTAATAAGACAGGGTCAATACTGGAACATCTTGTGGCCTTAGTGATTTCAAAGCTTGACTGATGACATTTTTCAACAGAGCTTTAGGTCGAAACTCTTGAAGATCATGACAGAGAGAGAAACTTACCATCCACTCCTTACAAGCTTCAGCTTCAGCCGCCTGAAGGAGACAATACAGTCCTTTCTGGATGATTACTTGGAGAAGAATCCATCTGACTACCTTCTTAAGGTATGAGACAGCACTTAGTATTGTGTACATCTTCAGTGACTTGTCTTTTTGCCAGAAAAAAAAGCAAAACTTTTGCTATTTGATTAACAGTTAATCGTTCTAATGTGTAGTTAAACATTTGCTGAATCTGACTCTTTCAAAGGGAAGATTTGCTTTTTGTGTGTGTCATTTCTTTGTGTATTGAGCCAGTAATTTGATCCAAAAATCTATTAGGGCTAGAGGATATCATGGGGCGTTTTTTTTACACATTTTCTGCTCCTCTACACACGGCACCTTTTATCATTTAATTGGGGAAAAAAAAGAATCTATTCATCCATCCTATTTTCTCCTCCTTATGGTGGTTAAGTTGTTGCCGCAGAAGGCAGAGCAAGTAGACCCAGGCATCCCTCTCCTCTGCAATGTTTTCCAGTTCCTCCAGGGCGATTCCCAGACCAGATGGGTATGTAATCCCACCAGTGAGTTTTGGGTTTACCCTGGAGTCTGCTGCACAAGCCCAAAAAACTCTTAGTAAAGTCATTCAGAAGGCATCCTTATAAAACCAGCCACCCAAACTGCCTCTCTTTGGTGCAGAGGAGTCAGGGCTCTGCTCCAGGCTCCCCCCTGAGGGCTCAGCTCAGGGCCCTGTCTCTAGGACCCAGCCAGCCCACAGTGGGAACTCATTCCCACATTTGTTTCCAGGATTTTTACTCTTTCATTGACCATAGGTGAAAGTTGGTGTGTAGATCCTCTAGTTAAACTAAAGGGGAACACCAGGTCAACGCTCTGAGACTAGACCTGGAGAGGAACTGCACCCCTGATATGATAACATGGCCTTGTTGGCCCAAACTCGCAGGTGCTGGCATGGAGGTCGAGGGGACTACGTGCATTGAATCATAAGCTCACCTTTTTTGATTTGAACTTTGTAAGCTAAGTGTTCTCATCAGTTGTACAGTTGTTCAGGTTTGTAGGATTATTGCGAACTGCTGTTGCAGCAAATCAGACCTGCACCTTAACTTGTACCCCAGGGAAGGATTATTCAATTACGTCCTGGTAAGAATACAAATGTACAGGCATGTGTGCCTAGTTTGTGCTGCTGGACCAAAGCAGAGAGGATCAACTTTGACAGGGATGAAATATTTTCTTGCAAAGCTTTTCTTTTTCCTACAATTTTCTAAAAATACAAAGATATCAAACTAAGAGGATGAACCCTTACTTGCTTTAAAGAGAATTATGTGCTGCTTTATTTATTGCTTTAAAAACTGTAAAACTTTCTGTAAATCATAGCAAGAAAAAAGTGGACAATGATTTGCTGAGCTTTCTATGTTGATGCTTTATTTTACTGATAACTGGACAAGGTATAACTCCATATCTCTCTAGTGTGTTCTGACCTGTTCAGCGTCCCTCTGAGTGATGTGGTTTCACCTGCTGAAGGTGCAGATGTGACTCCATCAGTCACAGTTAACTGACTATTTGTCATCAAAATTAGCTGGAAGGGCGAAGTGCCACACTGAACAGAGCCTTCCACCGAATCTGAGAGACCGGCTCATTCACGAAAGGTTAAAGAATGATTTACATACAGCAGAAACCGCAGACCAAGGTTACACTTCAGAAGGGTATAGAAATGACAGGCTTCATTAGTTATGTTCTCACATGGCAGCGGTACTTAGTCTTTGAAGGAAACAGCTAAAGAGCGCGAGTTGGTAAAATGGTTCCTGTTCATTTTTCTGTTATTGTTTGTCTCTCTATGTACAGGCGGCTACAAAGGTGGCCCAGTCGTCAGAGATGAATGAAACTATGGAGGATGTAGAAAAGCAGGACAGCTCTCTGACAGAGATGGACAAAGATTCAAGTGACAGTGCAAAGTAAGAAATAGAAATAACTTAGAAAAGTTTTTAGTGCTTGAAATATATAATTCCTTTGGAGCACTGAACAATGTTTTCAACATTTATTGCCTTGCAGGGAAAACTCAATTGCTAGACGACCAAGGTGAGTAGAAGTCTCTTAAAAAAACATAGCAGGAACGTTGTCAGGGTTACAAGTGTATTTTCACTCTATTACACATCCACAGGAGCAGACGGAAGCATCTGTTCACCAAAACTGCTGATGTATGGAAACCTGATTCATGCAAGAAAGTTGTTGTCTGCGTCACAAGACTCTCCAAGCAAGGTATGTTTTATTTTCCCTCCAGACATCTTCCTAAATCGACATTTTTCCAAAAACCTGAAAGCGTACACCTGTGTCTGAATGTAAAAAAAAAAGCTTAAGATAATTTTGGACCTCTCACCATCAGAGTCCTCTCAGACAATCCAGAGGACGCCAGCGGAGACTTCCATGAACCAAAACAAAAGAAGAAAAGCTCGTCAGGTACTGCATTGTTAAAGCAAGCAGCTCGTTCATTGAAATTAGTTTTTTTTTTTTTTTTATTAAATGAAATAAATTTAAGAAGCATCACCACATGAAGTGATTTTGGTACTTTTTTTTTTTCTTCTAGAAATGGACTGAACAGCTGGACAGATACCTCGTGAATGGTGTTCAACGTCACGGCGAGGGGAAGTGGTCTCATATATTACTTGATTATGACTTTCAGGGACGCACTGGCACCATGCTCAAAGACCGCTGGAGAACTCTAATGAAGACAGACAAATTTGGCGATAGAGGACTCGCCGCTCCTTCTTGCCGATAGTTAAAACCTGAATGAATGTGGGCCTCCCGTATTATCTTGCTTAATAGTTGATGCTTTCTTGCTGTTTTGTTTGCACCTAGAAAATGTACCACCAGAGGGCGCTGAACACAGTGAAATGAAATGTGCTCAGTGCATTGCAGTCTTGTTTTGCCTTTAAGTGAACTAATAGTCAATGCTTTATTTATGCAACCCTTAGCAATAGCAAAAAAATAAATAAATCGCCGATGAAATGTCCACCAGGGGGCGCTCCAAATAGAATAATAAACTAAGCAGTTTGTGTTTTTTAGAATCACATCACAAATGTAAATATTATATTTTTTGTTTAAATAAAATTGTTTTTACAATGTTTGAAACTAACATTGTAAACTGAATACAACAGTGATTTGTTACAATAAAAGTGTAAAAATTAGTTTCACGGGTGCTTTTTATGTTATAGAAAAAGTGAAGTATTGTACATATTACAAAAATGTCTTTACACAGCCCTGTAAGGATACACACAGGTATGGTAAAGTGCAATTTGACTGCAGTGATTGTACCATGAATTTATAGTAAGTTTTATTGCATATAGAACATTTTAAACCCCAACATGGTGTATGAAGGTGCAGTGTGGAGTATATAACTACATTTAGTACATCAGACTTTTTGGAAATGGAATGTAATTCATCTCGTTTGTTTGAATTAGTGGATAATTACTAGAATGTAAAAATAATTTTTCTTGGTTTACTTATAGAGAGGCTTTTGTGTCTACAGGTCCTCTTCCATATAAGCCACCAATTTGGCCCACCATGTTTCTACCATATCAAAAAGACTGACAAACTATTAAGACATACTCTTGTTGGTAGGTCATAGGAAATGCATCAGCTGGATTACAAAAAATAAGAGCAATGTCTTTGAGTTTGTGAAAAGCGCTTTACAAATAAAATGTATTATTATTATTATTAAGAGCAGTGTGCAAAGGAGTTTAAGTTAAAGACTTTTGGGGGGTAAAACCTCAACAGATGGTAGAACATACTTATGAGCTTTTTGTCATCCATGAAGTGTCACCGTCACCTCATGGATGAGAGGGGTAAGAAAAGCAACCTTGAATCTGGCCATAATATATCACTAAATACCCCCTCTTCTACCTACTGTACTTTTAAGTTCATTTCAAGTATTGAGGGCTTCTGTGGGGTTCAGAAAGCTGATCTGGGTCCAGTGTTTCTGCTTCACTGATGTGACGGTATTATGGACCCCAGGTCAGAGTTTTTCTGCTTAGTTTGGATCAGATGAAGACGAAGCTGTGTTGTGGTGGACAGTTGCACTGCTTGGTTCTCTGGATCTTCCTCCATGTCCCGCTGCACTGATGGTTCCCCACCGCCAGCCAGTGGAGCACAGCTTCTCTGCAACACAGATCCAGCAAGTTGATGGTGTTAATGCTATCATATGCATACTTCTTTTTAACCAATGTATTTTAAGGAGTCCACAGACAGCACATTGATCACAAATGTTACAGTAGTTGAGGGCCTGTTCTGCTCAGATATGCTCCAAAAATGGTTTCGAAAAGTAGTTTTGGCTTTTTTGTTTTACTCAAATCTTTGCAACTTTTGGAACAGCAGGAAAAAAGAGAGAAATCAAAAGTCAAATCATCCAGCTGTCCAGGTTAAAAACATACACTACATAGCTGAGGGGACACACACTTAAGGCCTATAGCCTCATACTTGTCTGACTCCTGACCGTCTCCTTGGCAGCTTCCACTATTGTTTCGCATGGCAGGAGGCTCGCATGCCACACACACTCTAAAGCCCTCGGTTATGTAGCGCATCCAGTGTGTGTGAGGCCGGTTCTGCACTGTACAGTGGGGCGTCCTGGACTCTAGAGTGAATTCCACACAAAACCTGAGGGGAGCAGAAGCAGGGTCATTAGGGTCACACAGTCATTCCCGGGATATCAAAACCAATATATCATACTGAAGGATTACAGTTAACACTTAATTTACTCCATCAGTGTGGTATAGACATACTTTATTAGACTGCAGCTGATGGGGGCACCACGAGCTGCAAACAGTAACTCATCCGCTGTCATCGAAACCTTTGTGCATGTGCTTTTATGCAACAGTCCTTGATATTTAATTTCAAAGGCTTGTGGGCAATCTCACAGCAGTGCTTTATTTAATGGTCTGTAGACAGATATCCAGGTGAGCAAACATACACTGGTAGCTCATGCAGATGGGGAAAACATTGGGCTGTTATCTCTTTTTCAAAATGGTTGAGGTTACTGCTAAAATAGAGTTAACCCCTTGCAGCTCTTGTGAACTTTTCAACTCTTGGATTTAAAGAGTGTTTGCCATTTCAGAGCGCTAAAGGAGGCGTCATATGAAACATACCCAGGGTTTAGGGGGTTTCCATAGTTGTCATGTTTGGGCCTTCCTTTGCTAAACTCCATGCTGGTGATTAATGCAGGACCTGACAAAAGAAACCCAGTTTCATGTTTCACATTGTAAAATCAGGAGTGCATCACAAAAAGTTCCTGTACTTTGCAGACTATAAAGACATTGAGGTACCTCTTTTCTTTCCTCGTTGCATTTTTGAAACCGAGGCTAGACTGACTGTTGTTAACAACCCCTTCATAACTGTTTTGTTTCTTAAATCACATTTTATTTGTAGACGGACCCTTATCCTACCTTTCACTAACACGGAAATAAATTTTGGTTTTTCTTATCACCTGTTAATTTACCTGAAACCAGTTGATATTTTTAGTGGTACAGATTGGTGCAATAAGTTCGAGGCCTAAAATCAATACAAGACAAATATATCTTTATACCTGAGTTGAGTCCACAAGGTTTGCCCTGGTGGTTTCTGTACTCTCTGCAGCCGCTCCGCTCCTCCAGACTGGGACAGGGCTCCCCACTGTTGCCGGGTAGCTGCTCCACATGTCGGACCCGAACTCGCACTGAGGGCCGACAGGGCTTGGCACAGCCACTCCAAAAGCTCCAGCTGCTCACTGCACAGTCCTGAGCTGGATGTTGACACCCGTATTGTTGAAGAGTGAGTAATTACAGGATATCCCCTCTTGTAGCAAATAAACTCAATTGATGTTAGCAAGGCACTGACTTGTGTGTACACATAGAGCTGATTAATATTGTTTCTTTTCTACTTTGACACCTTCATATAAACAAGAGGATACAATTAGAGGATATTGACCTGAGTTAAATGTCATAAACTAAAAGATATGTTCTTCACTGACATGCTAAGAAAATTGACTTTTCAGGAGGCCAAGCCACCCCCGCCCCCCTCAAGACATGCCCCTGGGCCCTGGCTGTTAAACCAAATACCAACATCGACTCCGAGTCCTTGCAGCCTGAATAATCACAATTTTCCTGTGAGACACTGTAATGGAGCTAAATATCCCGGAAATAACTTTAGCTCAATGAAGCATTGATTGTGACTTGTAGAATTAGTGTTTCTTGCTCTGCTACATGCACTCTGAGAGCATGCCAAGTGAGCAACCATTCAATCACCGGGTCCTGTGATTTCTCTTTTCAGTTCCTCTCTCTGCTTGATGATCAAGCTTTGATGTATTAAGCATGCAGATTTGGTGTCCACCAGCCTATCACATGTATTAGGTACGCTCGGCTTGTTTGACTGCAACTGTAATTGCTACAACTGATTGACAGAATCACATTCTTCAAATATTTGTACTAATTCCATTATGTGGGCCAGTCCACTGAAATGAGGTTAGGCACAGAGTGGCCGGGGATATTTACTGCAGTGATTATTGCCCTTTTCTGACAGAGCAGACATTACACATGCCTAAAAAGCAAAGTAAATATTTACATTGTGTTATTAATGCATGGAACGAGAACGACTGCGAGGAATACAGCCCACATGAGAGTTTGACAGGGTCCCCAACTGTGTGATTAATGTAGGCAAACAATTTCACATGCCTCAGATAAAACTGGATCCACCCTCGCCGTATCTGTAACAACAAGGTGCTGAAAACAATCCTTCTCCTGCAGCTATCTTTACTTTCTGTCCTATAGACACATCCAGAAGATAATCAGGTTATCTTGTGTCACAGCTTATCTCTCACAGGTTTCATAGAGTTAAGTTGAGTACAAAAATACATAAAGTGACTCTCTCTGTGATTCGTTCATATGCTCAGCGGCTCGTCCATTCATTCATCCCTCACCTGGACACTGTGTGAAATAGTCAAAGCAGCAGTCCTTGGTCCTGACGCAGCCCTCGTCACAGTAGCATGTCCCATACACTCGATCCATCCTCCAGTCTGTGGTTGTGCAGCTCAAGTCTCTGCCTCTGCAACATTTCCCTGAACAACCCCCAAGCACCAAAAAATGGTTCTTCCCCAAAGAGGAGACAAGCAGCAGCAAACAGGCAAACTCCAGAGAGGACCCCATCATGAGGGATCAGGCCGGGCGTCTACCTCTGAAGTACAACACCAGCTTTTATGACCTCTCAAGAGTTCCTGTGTATGTTTACTCCCTCCTTGGTGCTACTCTGTGTTACTCATGATCATAAGAAGGAGAGGTTGGAATACCAGCCCAACTCAGCCAACACATCTGCCACAGGAGCCCTTGTGACCTGGAATTCCTGTGTCCGTCTCCTGTGTCCAGCCCTTAGCGTTCCCTCTAGAAAACAGGTCCGCAAAGCAATCTACTGTACAAAGCACCCCATTCCAGCTCTGCTCTGACTCCCATACATCTTACATTGTGTCTGTCCCTTGGAGCTGCTGGCTGTCTCTCCCTGCTCCCGGCTGAGCACCTCCCTTCAGCAGTCACACAAGGAGAGGAGGAGACAATGAGGGCAAGGGAGGGCCGAGCTGGTGGGTTTAGGGTGTGTTTTACCTCCCAATTTTGCTTTCTCTTTCTCACCTGTCTTATTGTTGTTTACTTTTTTCCCCCTTCTCTCCCTCTTCAAGCAGAATTACTTGGACCCGGATGCCATTCTTACCAGGCCACTCTCTGCCACCCAAGACCTCTAAGTCCAAAAAGAAAGGGAGGAATGTGAGCAGCTGGCTGGTGTCCAAACAATTGTGCCAGCGGGCCTGCTGAGAGTTGTAAAGCCACCCCTTGGTTCTCACCTCTCTACCTTTTCCTCATTTTTGTACTACTGGCATTGTTGTTGTAGTTCGCTGGAAATCCCACCACTTCAATCATGCCTTTCCTGTTATACTTTGTACCTTAGCAGGCTTCAAATATCATGTACAACTTTAGCTGACTGTTATCATTTCTCATGTTACACTTGTTTTCTTCCTTGTGAATAAGCTAATACAAAAATCTCCTCATATATCCCTGCAAAGCTTTGGCTGAGAGCTTGGTGCAAAGCTAGGTTAGCTTAACCTTGCAGATGGAAGAAAAGCTGGTTTAATCCAAAATTTAAAAAAATCAGTAAAATCCCTTAAATATCATCAAACTGTTTTTTGTTTGTTTGTCTAAATCCCCTAAAGAATGAAAATGTCATGCTTGAGCTTTGAAATCCCACTGTGACAAGATGCCAGGAATTAGCCTGCCCCTGTCCAAGAAATAGCCTGTCACTTAACCACTAATTCAAAAAACAAAAATAGTAGAAATAGCAAGCTGATAGAAGTAGCTATAAAGCATAAGAACAGATATAAGCAGACATCACAGATCAAAAAACAAGGAGTCAGTCCTCTCATTTACAACTGGACAACAAAGAAACGAGAAAACTACTAAATATTCGCCTACTATCTATTCTTTACACTAATCTAAGACAACTTTTCTCTTAAATTAGAAAATGTTTCCTCAATTTTGAGTCTGTAGTTCCATGCTAGCTGCATGCTAATCTTTTGCAAACCTACAGTGAGACAGTCTTTTTTGATAAGCAAATTTCTTCAGTTTGAGTCCAGGTGTAGGCAGGCCGGCTATGAGTCAGTAAGCTAGAGCTGCAGAGTACATGACATGTTATTTGCAAACCAGGGTGTGGCTAAAATTTACAACTCCGGCGGTCACCTACAGTGTAGGCGACTGGTAGATGATAAATTCATGTTATATACCAAAATTCTGCAGAGGGACGCCCCTGAGAGCATTAGTAGGCTGCTGGATTGACTTAATATGATGAGACTTGTGGTTGACAGATGATTGATGAACAAGTTGATTAGATTTGCTGGTTAGAGTGGAATTAAGATATTGCTGTCTAATGGAGGAATTTAATATGTAAAAGCTCATAACATAACGTGCGATCTTGCCTTATATGGCTTACAGTCATGCAGCGCAAAAGAGGTTCATTTCAGCTGCTCCTGTTCAAAGGGTCGCTTTCTTATGACTGATGATTCTTCATATACATATAAATTTAAGTACAAATGAGCCTATAAATTGGACGAGCTGCTTGCAGCATAAATCACTGTTATGTTTGCGCAAAGGGCCTAAATGTCTGAGGATGTTGTGAACTCCGTCGGGTCAGCTCTTCACCGAGTGGTTCCTCCTCCGTCTCATGGGAAACTATCGAGGCGTCTGCAGGGAGCATTACTCAACTCAACTCAACTCAGCTTTATTTGTTAAGCACTTTAAAACAAAGTGCTGTACATAACTAGACAAAACAAAAAGATAAAAAAACAATCAAAAAAACAATTAAAACAAGGGATGAAATAAAAGCAGAGTTAAAAGTAAAATATAGTTTCAATGTTTTTAAAAACTAATTTAAAAACATTAGCAGAGGAGGAGGCCCTCCTGTGGCTGCTACGAAAGAAGGAGCAGATATTTGTTCGAATCAGGATACTTCTGCCTGAAAAACAGCCTTTAGAGAGCAGAGGGGGTTCATTTTGGTCCTTTGATTATTCTTCACACATAAGCAGGTAGGTCAAGCGACAGTAATAGCCTTCATGTTCACCATAATCATTGGTAGCAGCAGCATCACGGCGGAGCATGTGTCTAAATCAGTGTATAGTAAAGTTGGGGGGAGTTGAACCCAGACTGACCTCAGACGTATCCAAAGTCTGTTGTGATTTTGGTCAATTTTATCTACAAATATCAAATTTAGCATATATTCACACATTTGAAAAGCATCACTGATTTCTGAGGTATGAGTTACAAACTTTATAAATGTAGTCAGGACACTTGAAACGTGTCGCTGAGGCTAACAAACACACACTGTACATCAAGTGCTGATTTGATCTGCCCACTGAAGTGAAACTGCATCAGTTTGCTATGTCTGCAGCACGTTCAAAGTGCACATCAAAGCATGTGTGTTTTACATCTGACAGGCCCCCGACCCTGGACCTCCTGGCCTCACTGTGCACTTGTCAAAGACGATCATCTCTCCCTGCAGTAACACACGCTGCTTGAAGTGTAGAGACAGAAGGAGATTAAGCTTGTGTTAATGTGTTGCAAGACAGAGACCTGGAGCTATGTGTGTTTATGGTCTTCAAGCTCAGTCACAGTTTACACTAACACAGCTTATTTCAAACAGGCAAATTCAGAAAGAGGGAGTTTACAAAGAGATACTGATACTCATACAACCTCTGGTGCTGGGCGTTAAGGTATGGGTTGAATCTTAGCTCCATCTCGCCTACATGGGGAATGCAAACTGTGACCATCCCCATAGTAACCGCTGACCTGGGTTGCTGTGGTTTCAAAACCTTTGTTGACAAATGCTAGAATTCTGCTTTTCCTCTCCCCACAGGTTGTAAAGGTATGCTGATGATGTCACCTTTGACCAGGACAACACTCTATATCTCATGTACACACACAAGGGTACAAGTGAGGGATCATACACAGACATACAAAAGTGTCTTTTACTGTAAAACCCAGAGTGCAGAATGTAATCTTCTATAGTAGTATCCGTGCTTCTATTGGCTGTAATCTAACGGAAATTTAAATACCTGCAGATAGCAGCAGATAACAAGTTGAGAGGGGCAAGTTTAGATAATGACTGAACTTGCCCTCGAAAGAATCAAAAGAACCAGTTTCATGCCTTTGAGGTTAGTCACAGTGAATCCTCTATTTGACAATTTACAGTGAAACTGAGACTGACACAAACAGCTAAAAGATCCCATATTACAGGTAATGTAATATTCATCTAACCTCAGATCCAGTATGATCACTTGTGGTTTTAAAAAAGCAAGATGCCAAACTCATGGCTTCAGAACAGCAGCCCATACCATCGGTGAATCTATATATCATTAAGACGGACCTAACAGAACTTGTGTTTCAACTTTTCACAAATCCATGTCCTGATGCAAACTTAGGATCGGGTTATTGTGAGGAATCACATGAAAATCAGTGGGTTTCAAAGGATTTAGTGAACTAAAAATAGCAGCATTTAATTTGCAGACATATCTAGAGGCGCGAGTTTGGCTTTTTGTTTCATCTGATCACATGGTCACCTCGGGACAGAAACACAAGTGTTAGCTGGAAGTTTTCAACTGTTTACTGCTAACAATATTAAAGTGCCCGACAGGTGACAGTGTTTCCCAGAGCCTTTATCATGGTCTGACAGTAGCTGAAGAGTTCTGATTTTGTCTAATGTATAACTCACAGTATTGACAAAATATATAACTTGATCAAATGTTTTATGAGCAAAGTTTTACGGAGCAAAGACAGTTCTCTCTAGATCAGCCCTCCCTCATATGTGCTGCCAGTTTCTGTCTAATCAATGGAAAGCCTTTGTTCTCTAAATTTACTCCCCACCCACTTCTGTCCCCTTATATATACACAACTAATTTTTATATATGTGTGCATGGATGTATGGCAGTTTCTTTATCAATATATAACAGTTTTGGTGCTTTATATGTGTAACCTGCCAGTTGCTGGCATTTGAAATAGTGTCTTAAAGCCTATTGTGTTATTTTTGTGAATGGTGTCTGTGACGCATACAGGCAGTAAGGTGTATGACTCATTGTTTGAAGAGTTGAAAAGTAGGATGTTTGACTTGGCTTGTGTCATCAAACACACCATTCAGGCAGGGATTGATGTAGGAATTAGATAGGTGAGGGTGAGCGGATGAATCCAGGTGAAATACTCTGATATTTTTGACTTAAAAAAGTCCTCACATCACACTAAACGAGTGTCCTCTTGATGACCCATTTTGCACATCCCGTTAATGATGCTCCAGTAATTACAGGTCATTATTTTTTGATAGTTTATGATTGACAACATGTCCATTAAGAGAGGAAATATGACGCCCTGGTTGAAGTTCTGAAGGCACACTAGCCCTGGAGCCACGCCAACCTAATAACAACAAAGACAGTAAAATTGATGAAACTTTTTTTTCCCCCTGCCTGGACCTGACATCATCTCTAATAATTGCCCCTCATCGGTCAGTCATCTCGGCATAAACCGCCATATGTGTATAAATCAATGCAGATATTAGAAGCAATGGCAGGTGGATGGGAGGCAAGATGTGTGAGTGGGGAGTGAGACTGACCGGTTCCCCTGAGAGAGATGAGGCTTCAGGTAATGACCGTGGAAGAGGGAGCATCCATCATGGTTGATTTCATAAATCACATGGCCAAATGTCAGAGAGCAGCACCCAGACTCGTGCAGTCACTCTACCAAGGGCAAAGTGTATAAATATCTCAAAACACAAGATTTACATCAAGGACGAGCACTGGAAATCATCCTGCAGCTCTTTACAACCATGTTTCGAGAATATTATCTAAGTCAAAGCTGGTCATAGAAACTTTTGAAGTCAGGATTTTACTGCAGGATAATAAAGGACCCCCTCCCTTGCAGCTGTAAAAACTTGTCTGCAAATATTCTTAACAGATAAAAAACTATCTCAGTTTTGACCCAACAAACAGAGATCATAAAAAAGTGAATATTTGCTGCGCGGTTTGCACCTTTAGCACAGATTTGACCAAGTTTAAGGCTCAGCTGTGTTTGTATGATGGCAGAGGTGCAGGTCTGACCCGTCTGTGCCCCACTTAAACACACACAGACACACAGGTTACTATGGGACTAGGAGTTCCTGTTGACACACGTCACCTGTTTGCTCTAT